ATGAGCCCTCGAACTACGTCGGACGGTCCGAGGCCCATCACTATGCAAATGAGTGTATTTCTCTAGTCGTGCAAATGGGAGATTATTAGGTACCTTATAAGTGGAAAAGCCGAGACCCTCTCTTTATCAAGCCAAGGTGGTTAAGTGAGCAAGACGCTGACTCGCTAACCTGGAGGTCGCGAATGTTCATAGGGATTATCCAGCGTGGTTTCCAATTGTCAGTGGTAAAGGACAGAGGGCGTGACAAGGACAGTTGTCTAGTCGTTCGGATGGAACGACAAACTGAGGTCCCGTATACACATTGGTGTGTACGTAAACGATCGCTTGGCAGATGGAATTCGATATAAGTGTAGGCCGTAGCGGTGCTGTCCGGGCAAAATTTCCCTCATAGCACACTATCCTGTCTTCATCAGTCCAGTCAAAGCAAAACAGTAGGACGTTAAACCCCGGTTCATTCTAGTTCCTCTCTTTATCTAATCCGGCACTGGCCGTCATTAAGTGGCTTTTGTTAGCTACACATGCAGCACCATCTAATCTCAATTAGCTAGACAATAGGCAAAGAAATGTGTGGAAATTCTACAGTAGTATATCAGTATATTAAAACTATATGCACTTCACCTCCAACCTGCTTTTTATATATAAAGGTTATTGATGTTGTATGTCAACTACAAAATCACATGGGTCTACTTACGTAAGTGCTATATCGCATTATAAGTTTACTGTATGTAAACATCAGACTCATAACTGTCATGTGAGAATTCGTGCATCGATTAAATCGTTAATGGATAATTTTATTTTCGTGATAATAAATCCATTATGCAACACTAAAAATCAGACATAAACCATAAAATACATGTCCTATGCTAAAGAATGAATGAATGAATAAAATGTGGTTTTAGGCCACATCATTTCCAACCGGGACATATTGCGCCAAACATAGGGTGAATTAATTATTCGAGACAAAATATAAGAAATCACAAAAGTATATTTATATCCATAAATAAAAACAAATATCACAGAAAATGTATAGAATTAAAAATAAATATCAATAACTTTATGGATATAAACAATTAAAATGAAAGAGAAAAAGGTTATATATACTCTTCAAAAAAAGTAGGGGATATTGAAATGCTAATACCTATGCAGGTTGTGATATGATAAATAGTCATGGAAACTTTACATGCTTTGAGAGTATGGTCACAGATGAAGAACTTATCGCCCCAACAGAACCACTGAGCTGCACATGCGACACGCAATAACGCCATACACGTGGGAGGGGTTCATTGTCAAATTTGACACTTCAAAGAGGGTTGATGAAAACTGCCGCGTGCTGGTTTGTCCTATCCATGTTTGCTTTCCTATCGGTTCTTGCATAAGATTTACTGCTTAGTGTATCCTTGCTTTAGTGTGTTACGTTTATTTTACAATGAGACGTCTTCAACATGCTTCAAATGGGTTCTACGCAGCGAGCAGTAGTCAACATGCTTTATGTGTCACAGTCTGTGATCAGCAGACTGTGGAACCGGTATCAACAAACACACAATGCTGATGCTAGACCTCGTTTAAGTCGTCCTAGAGCCACTACACAAGCCCAGGATCGATATATTCGTAAACCGGTCCTGCGAAATCGAGGACAAACGGCCAATCGGCTTTCTGTAAACTTGTATCAAGTTACAAGAATTCGAGTTACACCCCAAATGATTAGAAATCGGCTACAAGCAGCCCATTTGCATGTGCGACGACCGCGTGTTGTGCCTCCATTAACTCGCCAGCACATGGTAAACAGGCGGCAATGGTGTAGGCAGCGTAGAAATTGGGGTAATCGTCGATTGGTGCGTGTAATGTTGTCACCGTACTTCCTGATTTACGTTTGGTGCTATTAGTTCACCCCCAAGCAACGCAATTGACCATGTTTATGCTTCCAGTTAATCAAAACGAGGCTGCAGATATGCTTAAATGCCAATTAGGTTTGTATTGGTATATTTTTCCTTTATAATATTAACGTTATTTTTTCATATTAAAACAACTTTCTGCGGTAGTATCCTCCTTTAAGGTGCTTAAAGCATTTCCCCATGGATCATTAGCATTTCCTATTATCCCGTACGGAGCTATATGTATACTGGCCTATTCATTTCTAATTATATATTCATATCATATCATTTTTTTTTTCACCTGGGTCCTGTGAGTATTCGTTCTTGTTTGTACACACCGTGACTTCATCATATAATACGTTATTGGTTATACTGTTATTTGTAACTTGAATTTTGATAATGTGGAACTGCAGGAATTAAATACTTCTAAGCCCAGCTTCTGTTCTTGTATTATTCGGAAGCAAAGTGTTAATTTAAGTTTTACGAAACCATACGGAATAACTTTCTATATGATTTTGTTTAGTTTCGTACTTTGGTTCAATGTGGGAAGCCATGTGCTTTGCCAACAGCAAACGTGGGCAGGTTTCTTTTCGCCTTGCCCGTCCACCCTTTCCCAGTAGCAATAATGGAGGACATGGGTTTGAGCTAATTACAAGTCTATGTAGACTCAGAGCATTTTGTCGAATATGTTGACGAGTATTAAGTATTTTAGGTACGTTATTGGTTATAATGTTATCTGTAATGTGGAACTGCAGGAATTATATACTTAGAAGCCCAGTTTATGTTCTTGTTATTTTATTATTGGGAAGTAAATGTTGACACAAAAAAACATTTGTATTAAATCAAACATAAATTGGTTAAGTGAAGTAACGGTGATAATTCTTGTCGACAAATACGATCACTTGGTGGCATTAATTCAAGTCTAGAGGTAACGATAATTCTATTATCGAGTGAAGAGAAAACCGGCCACGTGTACACGGATCACACATCGCCGTAGAACCAATTTTGTTAGCGTTGCTTTTTAATCGATTAAGCATTTAAAGTTAAATGCTACGATTTAGGGCAAATCAATAAATGCGGATAATTAGGTCTTAAAAATACACAAAAATCAAATGGATATTACGTTTCCGGTCTTTTTATGCCAGTTTTCCGTTTGCTGAGATGTCCAAAACTTTCACATCATGGTTTTCTAAATTACCTCTTACTTCTTCTTAAATAGGGTTTAATGTCCTACATTTCTTCAGGGTAAAGGCCAATGAAGATGGAATAACGGGTCTTGTAGATTAAGACTATAGCGCATGTGCAGTTTAAACTTCCGAGACGACAAGTCGACAAGTCGACGATACGACGGTTTGGCTTCTTGTCGTATCATTGACTTGTCGACTTGTCATCTCGGAAGTTTAAAACTGTACATGCGCTATAGTCTTAATCTACAAGACCCTTTCTATACTATTCGCTAAACCACTTAGCTCATGTGAGAACAATAGCCTATAGGTTCAAAATTAAAAGAGTTTTAGAAAATATACACTTATAGACCTGTTTTTTTACGTTTTATAACGTTTCATTAATCAACGTTTTTCTTTTGCACGAGTCTTATTTATATTGATCACTAGTCTTATTTATATTGATCTAATCTGCTACTTATATGAGGTAATGAGTACAGCTGTATTTTTGTGACTTGTAAAAAGAGACTAAGCCGACAAGTCGACATCTCGATGTTACGACAAAAATAACACGATGTTACGACAGAATAAAGTGTCGTATTATTGCGTCAATACTGTCGTGATGTCGTGTTGTCGCGTTATGAAAAGGGCGAGAATTAACATGGCCACTATCAGCCACCATATATATACTTATTCAATTTGAAAATTAATAATTACTAAAATAACTATGAATTTTTTATTTCTCCGCTAATTAAAGGATATTATTGATGTCGGTAATTATCACATAGAACTGGTTAAACACGTTAAAATATAATTTTAACTCAGATAATTACTAGGACAGATCCGCTATGGAGCTTTCAAGAAAGGGACGTGACGAACCCAAAAGGAAAGCTAGAATTATCCTTCTATATAAGTGACTAGTGATAACAGATACACGGGCGAATTTCTGCTCACTAATAATTTCTTCCAAGACCAAAATTTGTTATATGAGACTGTGGGAAATGAAATGAAATGGGGTTTAACGTCCTACTGTTTTGCTCCGAGCTGGGCTAATGAAGACGGGTATACGCCATACAGTGTGCTATGAGGGAAGTTTTGCCCGGACAGCGGCACTATGGCCTACTCTTACATCGAATTTCAACTGTCAAGGGATCTTTTACGTGCACGCCAATGTGTTCACGGGACCTCGGTTTTTCGCTCCATCCGAACGACTAGACAGTTGTCCTTGCCAGGCCCTCAGTCCTGCATCACTGACAAGGGGTAACCACGCCGGAAAACTTGGATGAACTTTCTCGGCCAACGCAGGAATCGAACACGCGACCTCCAGGCTAGCGAGCCAGCGTCTTACCCACTTTGAGACTGTGGGAGGATATCTGATACTTCAAAATAATAATTGACTGTCACTAGATAAGACAAAACGAGAAAAATAGAAAAATTTCGTGCATTACCATGTTTTTATTAAGTATAGAATGAATAAAAACAAGGGAATTTACGGGCTATTTCTATTTTTCTCGCTTTCCTTTATCTAGTGACATTCAATTACTTTTTTGAATTGTCAGATATCCCCTCACAGCCTCATATAACAACTTTTGGTCTTCGAAGGAATTATTAGTGAGCAGACATTCTCGTTCAGTCAGTTATATAGAAGGATAACTCACGGTCAGCTAATAATAAATATAGGTGAAGAAACCAGGTCTCATCCGTCCTAATGTCTTCATACAAATTGATTAAAGAATGAAATTATGTCAGTGTTTGGAGACGCGGTACCACAATGACTGACATTGTTCGACGAGAAAGTACCTCAGGTGCAGAACGGAGGTTGAATCCCATGTGTTTAAAGACAAAGTACGTCGGGATTTGCCGGTGTTGTTTCCCTTTGTCAGTGGTATAGAACGGAGGTCCCGGGTACATGTTGGTGAGTAGGTGCAGATAAACGCCGCGTTTGTTCATTTTTAACACATTCAAGTTTTAAAACAAAATGTTTTATTCAACCAATAAGTGCATAATTATAATTGTAATAAATTTCGACAAGTCCATTTCACGACCATGAAATCTGTAAAAATAACGTATACACAACCCACACAGATGCCGGAAAACTATTTATGAACCATGTAGATGAACCAGATGATGACGTTCCACACCTAGACTCTGAAATATCACATATAGATAGAAAAGACATGTGGTTTAAAGATGTACCTCAAGGTTAACAGGGTTAGGAACCCAATGAACAGTGGTGTATCTGAAGAAGTTAGCGAGAGAAATTGCGCCCTTGTCTGGCAACCTCTTTTTTTATTCGTTCATATTTTATGGTCATACTGCAGATACGCCACTGCCCATGACATGATCATAACTATACCTGAATGCGCAATACATCTAGGAAAATGAATCCTGTAATACAAGAGGTAGCAAAAGTGTTACAACCAGTAAAATAAAATTTGATATCGACTTGCCATTATTTCGAATAATGGCACGGGCACTGTGTCAACCGTAGTATATTACTTATACTAGATGGCGGAATATATTGGACTGAGTGAGGTTCATAAAAATGCACGTGTGGGAAACTGTAATCTGTATATCGGTTTGTCACGAGCAAAACTGTACATATCTATCGCCCTCGTGCTTTACCAATATATTACTACCCCCCCCCCCCCGCCACTGACCTTCAAACCACACCTATAGGCTAGTACAAACAACAAATTACTTACACCTGCATTTGAATTTATGGCAATACATATTATCATTATAGGTAGTTACATTAGTCAACAGACTTATGACTTACATATTTAACACAAAATGCTAATTATTTTTAGGCTTACATACATAATGACAAACTTGAAGACTACATACATAATGCCATTGTTACATTCATAACTCTATTCTTAAGACTTACATAATTCTATTTTAAATACTTGCATAAAGCTATTTTTAAGACTTAAATAATGCTATTTTTAAGACTTAAATAATGCTATTTTTAAGACTTAAATAATGCTATTTTTAAGACTTAAATAATGCTATTTTTAAGACTTAAATCATCCTATTTAAAGACTTTCATAATCCTATCTAAAGACTGACATAATCCTATTTTAAAGACCTACTTACACAATGGTAATGTGTGTTAATATCATTATCTCATTAGTATCCCAAAGCCAATGAATAAATATCCGTACCCAGGAAATCAACTGGTTTCCTTTACTTATTGTCCTGTTTTATCATATATTACCATTGAGGATAGATTAACCGTTTTGATTTATTATGTACAGTATTTAAATCCAGACTAGTAAATGGGGTGTCTGTCATGAAAATTCCAGAAGGTTCATCATAGATTTATAACATATATATTCTTTATTGTTGTCATAAATTGAATTGTTATCCATAGTTGCCATATTTACTTGAGAGGTTTAAAAGTGGCTTAAACTCACCTGTGAAATCTTTGTTAAGTTTTTGACCACAACCACTACATGATATTTCTAGAAATTCCCCAACTGAAACAAAAGGAAATTGTATTTGCCAGCCACATTTTCGTTTACAATTCATGATACATTACATTATCTGGGCTTAGCTCATTATACGGACTTTCGCCACAATTTCGCTGATGTTTCCCGGATTATGTTCGTTCATAAAAACATAATATAGCTGTATAACTAGCCAATCGAGGCTACATATATATAACTACCTTCCAGTTTCCGGCAACCAAAGTCTCGTTCTACCAGTGTGTTAGCTAATAATGGTAATGACTGGTTATAATTCACAAATATATACTAATATATTGCAAAGACTGTTGTTATGTCATTAAGCACATCCGAGCACAAAAAGCTCTTTCAAGAAAAGAAAAATATGACCGACTATTATTACTTTGATTGCGTAAAATCAACATTGTGTCGATATGTTCACAGAATCATTCACTTTATCACAAAAGTATAAACATTGGCTTATAGTTCGTCTATGGGGTTCTCTCTCAAATAAGAGCGGGACAAATGCGATTTGTCCCCATTCACTGCCGTCAGTTTGGATTAAAAATGGCCGCCTCAGGCATATCTGATTTAGGCTATGATCATGTTCGTGCCTTTGTCAAAAAATGAACGATTTTTGCATTCAAGCGATCTGACTAATACTATAAACTTTAAATGAATTAGAGTTGAATTAGATGACAGGTTATTTTAATTAATTGGGTATGATCCTACACTCCATATTTAATATCGATTCGGTCATGCTGGGGCCTTAATCATAAAACGTGATATGCAATGAAATAGGGTTTAATGTCCTACTTCCCTGCACCAACGGAACTAATAAAGACATTATCATAAAATCATTTAAGCTACCGAAATGTAGAACACAGATTTTGAAACAATTGTTCTTACTTGTAAAAAATTCTAACCACATAATATCGTTTTCCATTGCTGTCAAATCCTTAAATTCTATAAATATCGGATCATTTGTATAGAAGAGAACAGTTGAAAAATACAGGGTGTCATCGTGGGTACAGTTGAACAACTTCCGCTTTCCCGAGGAGATTTTAACTTTGTTGCAAGATGCTGGATTCAAATGAATGTATTTGCTGGCAACTCCTATTTCTACTGAACTGCGAACCCTACACAAACAGGATATAGATCCTAATGATTGCTGCTTATCCGAGAAATGTAAATACACGTGATTATGTTTTTTGAAGATCCGTTCATCTACAAAATTGTAAACTCTCGAATCTGAAAGATAAAAATAGTAGATATTGACAGCTCCCACTGGCGGAAGTCTCATGGTTATGTGTGATTTTCCCCGAGAAAAAAACCATCCCAAATGAAATGACACAACAATTGTGGGGAACTTCTTTGATTTGTCAACACTAAGTACTACACTAAGTACTACTGCAGGAATGAAAAAAAAATATATATCGTATTTGTTTAAGGGTTTCTTGACAAAATATACCCTTGGAGAATATGACTATCTACACGTGCTCGACACAGTCTTTAAACTATTATAAAATAGGTCAAGTATATGGTACATTAAAGATACATTATGCAAGATTTAGATTAAAAGTTGACCGTTCTTGTTATAATGTGAGCTAAGTTATCACCGTTTGAAGTTTTAGCAAGATGTGGCACAGACTGTTTATTATCGTAACAATGTTACTTGTTATTCGTTACGTAGCCTAGCTTTGTCATTTTTCAGTTAAATCATTAAATGACGAACCGTGTTTTAATCCGTTTAAATCTCCGCCGCCCGATGACCTAGAGAGTGGATTATAGGCTTGTCATGTGAATACATAATAAATGTTTAAATATTAATTTATATAACATTTGAATCCGCAATAAGGACCTGCAAGAGGCAGATTTAGCTCTTACAAAGTCATAATGTATCTTTAATGGTTTTAACAAGACTTAATTCTCGAAAAACGCGACAGTGTCATATTTTCTATAACCTCAACCTCAATAGCACAGAAAAATATAAATGTGTGTAACTGGTGCTTTGTCCAAAATGTAGTTCTAGGAGATAACATTAATTCAATCCTTGCCCTATCCTTAACCATAACCAGGACTTCCCGAGGGAGGACTTGTGCGTATGGATATGACATCCACAAACAGCCTGGTTTCCCGGCTGGACTGAAAATAGATAACTCCAACATACTTACCTTGTACACAGATATAGTTGTATCTCACGTAATCATACCCTGGTCCGTGGTGAGTATAAGGGGAGGTAACGGTACACGCTCGTTGGTTACTACAGTTATTGAATGTGGAGATGACATCAGTTAGATTAGCAAGAGTTGTCTCCTCACTATCAATAGTTAAAAACGCATCTGTCTGCTGTAAAGATTGTGTCTTGTTATTTTTATTCTTAGAGCAACACGTTTTCGAACAATTGTCTTCATTGGTGAGTGGACACGACACACCCTTGTTGTTTCTAATTAAAGACACTGGTCGATAGTCATCGTCAAAGGCAATAACTTCGTCATCACCGCAAGCCAGTGTGTGCTGACTACATGGCGAATCGGGCGGACCATAACATCCATATACTATCTGACACGATGCTGGATCTGTAAAATAACATGATTCGATGACGACGAGAATTGGTGCTTTAATCTAGCAGACCCAGTTTGCACCGAGTCTCGGAAATAAAAGTGGATTGTGGTATGCAAACCATCTTTTTGGACAGTTTCAGCTCCAAATACTCAATGAACTGTTTTAATTCAGTAAAATATATCTGGGCGGCTACTTTAATTTATTTTTTAGGACATTAGTTCGTAATGTCCGTTAGGCGGATCTAGAATCTATTCAACTGTTAGAGAAAACGTTACCGCTACCTTTACGTTATGTCGAAATGTAAATCGACACAAATATACAGTAATGTTCAAAATACATAGAGAGAGAGAGAGAGAGAGAGAGAGAGAGAGATAGAGAAAGAAATGGGGTTTAACGGCCACTCGACACAAACGGCCACTCGACACTAGGTCATTTCGGGACTACCATATGGTTTATTTGTATTTCAATAATTCGCTTGCGCGTAGGGGTCTTTAGCAGTGGGAGGAACCGGAGGACCCGGAGAAAACCCACGAGGTTGGACAGGCGACCCTATACTTGTCACGTACAACCGGGGATTCGAAACCACGCCAGTCGACTCAATCACAGACTTTATGATACAGCGCGCGCACGCTAACCATTCAGCCATCCAACCCCCCTGTTCAAAATAAATAATCTCACATCTAACATACGAAGAAAATAATGCCGTTTTCTGCATTTAAACAAAACAGCTCCACGGCTAAACGCTAACAAACATAGCTATATCAAATAAAAAAAATAAATAAATACACAGACTTACCAATTAGGATCAGGATAAGAAGAGAGAAAACAGAAAGCATGATTTGTGTTTCATATGATCTTAACTCGTCTCAAAATATAAATTGTGTAAGTTGCTATTCTATGCCCTGAACAAGTCTTTAGTTTGTTTTGATATTTTAAAAATTATTTCTAAATCCATCAATTTTCCTGATTTCTTTTTTCATTGATTCTTGTAGCTATCCTGTTGTACCACGTTTGAAGAGCAACCCCGGGTAACGAATACAACAATATAAAACACTAGTTAATTTATTAAGGACTAATCAAATTAATATTACATATTAAAACAGTATAAACGCTGAATACATAATGACACAGAATTAACAGTTGTTACAAAATATGAGAGACTGATCTGTCATTTAAATGGCATTATATAATTCATAAAATAACTAATAACAGTACAACTGTATATTAATGATGGTATCGGCGTCGAGGGCCCTTGTTTTAAATATCACTTCTTGGTAGAACGAAGTGGAGTTTAAAGATCGTCAACACTATACTTCGATTATTTTGAGACTGACATGTAATATATTTCGTTTCTATGGTTACGTGTACAAGGGGTATGTGGTGGTGGGGGTGGGGGGCATTTGTCCACACAGCTACGTTTTCATCTACTCTTCTTCGAATTACAACCACCAGGGTTTCTTTAACAATGTGGTCACGGGTGTATATCGGGTTTTCATCTCAACCGAAAGACCAAACGTATGTTCCTTGTCAGCCCTGCAATAGCCAATCCATCTTTAAAAAATTTTACGATTTTTGAAACTTTTCCAAGAATATGTATTTAACATCATAAACGTATAGATTCGACAGTGTAAGGAGGTTGGTTTAAATCAAAATCAACTAGTACAAATCGATAGTACACAAAAATATGTCTACTGTCTGATTCATCGTAAATTTTAAACGGATTTCTTCGATTATGAACAAACTACTTAACTTTGGTTATTATAAACTTACCCGTGTGTTTGTAATGAACTCCCGTTCGATAAAATCCATTGCACAACTAATTATCACAACGATGAGAACAATTTCTCTCTTGAAAAATTTGAAAATTTACTTGTAATTTCGACAGAGTCGATGTCAACAATGTCTTCGTGACGTATTGGTCGAATCCAATATACCTGTTGCGGGGGTTGGTTAACATTGAAAGATAGTTTGACAGCGCGATCATTTTGATCGTATATGGGTTTGGGCGACGAAAAATATCAATTGAAGGCAATTACATAGGAGATTTATATGGAAACCATTGATCGCCAGTCTATCAAATTTTCTTCACAATTAAAATATCACTGATTGCACGGATACTCGTAAAAATAAAGTCATGAATAAACTATAAATATCCTATCTTCTTTATATTATAAATAATTTAACAAGGATCATGAAGCTTACCTCCGAATTCTCTGAGTGTATTTTTAATTTTATACGCATTCTTTCGATCGAATAATAACAGCTTCAGTAACATCTTTAAGCGTGTTGCGGCAGCCCTCAGCGTGTCTATTGCCGTATTGGGTGCCCGGGTGGGTATATAATGCTACTAAGCCCGTATGACCCCGTAAGAAGCGGAACATTAATTCTCGATTCGACAGTTTTGACCGAAGTGTGATAAAGCCCGTAAAACGAATGTATAGTTGTGTTTGTGCGGCATGCGTGTTCAAAAGTAAATAATCCCATCCGAGTCGCTAATCAAATAACTAGAACAAAATATTTCAAAAAGTAAAGCTATAAAATTTGCAGAGATTTTACTAGAATGTAAAAGACGGTAACTAAATACAGGAATGCGGGTAGTTATGTGTGCGAACGCTCAAACTCAATGCCAATTGTCGTAGGTATCCAGACCACTCGGACCAAAGACTACTCGGACTAAGACCAGTCGGACCAAAACAAGACCAGTCGGACCAATTAAATTATATTATAAGGCTAGACAATATGCTATTTATTTATTATTAAATCACAATACAAAGAAGCAAATAATTCTTATACGGAATTCTTATATTTAGAGTTGTTTGGTTCAATTTTGTGTACGTAAATAAATCAACGATTAGTTTTAAAATTAATTAATAATGGTGCCAAAAAAAAATATCAATCTAATTTTTCTTTACTCTTGCAATGAGACTCGGTATGTCCAGACTTTTGACAGTTTCTACATATACGGGTATACTGTTCTTGTCTGATAGCCTAATTTTACTTTTTCCACATTCGCGGTATCCCCAGTGGTTTCATTCCGTTCTACCCCACTAACCCCTGGGTTACTATATATGGGGGCGGGGGGGGGGGGGGTGGAGACACGTTTTCAAGTTATCCGCCCTTGATGCGTTAATATAAACAGCACATAATAATACGAAGACCGGACGTTTATATGCCCCTTTTTAAACGTGACTACAAGTGTGGTTCTCGATATTTTGCGATTTGGAATACAATTATCAATTTATTCAAACAACACGTAATTATTAGTTCGAGTAGTCATATTAAAACACACACAATTATCAATTTATTCAAATAACACTTTATTATTGGTTCGAGTAGTCATATTAAAATAAACACAATTATCAATTTATTAAAATAACACTTTATTATTGGTTCGAGTAATTATATTAAAACAAACGCAATTATCAATTTATTAAAACAACATTTTATTAATGTTCCGAGTCGTCTTTCTGTTGGGTCCGAATAGTCTTTTTGTATGGTCCGAGTAGTCTATTTGTTTGGGCTGAGTGGTCTATCACTTGGTCCGACTGGTCTTGAACCGAGTGATCTTTGGTCCGAGTGGTCATGGATTCTTGTCGTAATTGTACTTGAATTTCCTATGCTGTCACCCCTAATACGAAATGATATCTTCCGCAGAGTGACGTAACCATCTTCCATATTGGTATTTTTCTCTGGGAAAAGTTTGTGATATTTCAATTTTTCAAGAGAGAACTTGTTTTCATCGTTGTGATAATTAGTTGTGCAATGGATTTTATCGAACGGGAGTTCATTACAAACACACAGGTAAGTTTATAATAACCAACGTTAAGTAGTTTGTTCATAATCGAAGAAATCCGTTTAAAATTTACGATGAATCAGACAGTAGATGTGATAGAGATCAATTAGGCATTTGTATATAATATACACGATTCCTCCCAAACTCTTTTCACAGTCAAACACTTATTATATTATGATAATTAACCAATTTGACACCGAACACGTGTTGTGATATGAATATTCAAATATTTAGTCATAACGCAGGTGTTTGTTTGTGTGCTACATGTATTATCTGGCTGGGCACAATTATGGAGAAATGACCTTCTGAAATGATTAAAAGTGTATGGTTATGGTATAGCTATCTCCAAGCACCATCAATCAAAAATTGGCATGTGATTACACCCGGGGATTTGTTAGGCGCCACCGCTAACTAATGAGAACCAGGGTTAAAACACCCTGATTAAGTGCTTCTCGGCCCACGCTCTGATTTCTGCTCTTGCCAATATAATCGAGAGGCAAGGCTCTTCCGCTAGAACACTGTCACAGAGATACCTAGAATTGGATCAATGAGTAATTATCTACGTTAAATATTATTATACAGTCCTGCGCCAGTCGTATTCGACATTGCAATCAGTGTCAAGATGTTCGTTGGCTGTGAGTGTGTGTGTGAGTGGGGGAGGGTCACGGTAGGTAAGTCTTAGTGGCTAAGACGCTGGCTCGCTATCCCGGTGGTCGGGTGTTCGATCCCTGCATTGGCCGAGAAAGTTCATCCGGATTTTCCGGCGCGGTTGCCCCTTGTCAGTGATGCAGGACAAGGCCAGCTGTATAGTCGTTCGGATGGGACGAAAAACCGAGGTCCCGTGTAACATTGGCGTGCACGTAAAAGATCCCTTGACAGTTGGAATTCGATATATGAGTAGGCCGTAGTGGCGCTGTCCGGGCAAAAATTGCTCATAGCACACTGTATGGCGTATGCCCGTCTTCATTAGCCCAGTTCGGAGCAAAAGAGTAGGACGTTAAACCCATTTCATTTCATTTCTTTGACTGTGTTGACTGACATTTTTGAACCATGAGAGTCATCTGGATTCAGAATGTTAAATGCATGCGACTCGTTATTTGGACCAATGTTAATAAACAATGAAGTTAAAGTTGAACACGCAATCTTCATTTTTATATTAAGGAGATAATCGTCGAAGATGTTTAATACATATTAATTTGTTTAATACGCTTTGCAAATAATTGGTTTTTAAATATAATGTGTGAAAGTAGTTTGCTAAGCCCCGTCTTAAACAAATTAATACCCCAGCTGGAGCGAAATGTAGGTCACTGTAATCCAACAAGCCAGCTAAGAAAGTCTTTAATCCGACAGGTGGGATGGTGTCTCGCGCGCTGCCACTTGTGGATTGACCATTCTAAACTAGGCATATCAACAACACTATTATGGTCAAACCGGCAATAGGATAGCTTATTGGTAAATATGAAGATGAGGTCGCTGAAATGATATAGAAAATACGGAACTATTACCAGGATGACAATAACACAACAAAGTCTACTTTATAATCCATAATAGATTTGCTTTTCAAAATAGACAAACTCTTTTCAAAAATATAATTATCATTCTGGCTATCTAAAACAAGGTTTAATACGTGTGTCATGCGCATATTCAAAATGATATTTGCGATGTGGATTGGTATTACATAAAGCTATAAATAGGATATCTGCGATATCACTTGGTGATGGAATCGGGTATTTAATAAAGTAAATTATCACATTTTTAAAATCCTACCTGGATATTGTATAGGTATACTCGGATGTTCCACAGCCATATTGTTCTGACATCCGGTGCACGATACATGTATAAAATCACCGACTGAAATAAAGTAAGGATAAATTCAATTTGTTCTGTTTAATGTATCTAAACCGATCTGGAAGGATAAAAAACCGTAAGTAGTTCTATCAGTAGTCGGCGTATTTATACTTTTCCTTTCATTTCTGTTTCGAAATCGTATTCACCTAAGAGGCCCGGGGCTGTACAGGGCTGTGGACGCTACGGCTCGCCTCTTTAACCATTCATTTGATTTGTTATTTGTTGTTTATGTCTTGCGGGGGGGGGGGCCGAATAGTTAGCACGCGCGCGCTTTATCATACGGTCTGTCATTGAGTCAACTGGCGGGGTTTCGATTCCCCGGTTGTACGTGACAAGGAGTAGGGTCGCCTGTCTAACCATATGTTAGTCCCGAAATGACCTAGTTTGTGTCGAGTGGACATTAAACCCCATTTCTCTCTCTCTTTGATGTCTTGCAGTGTCTATATATGCACTTAATTACTGTTACGAAACAACAGTATTTCAATATCAATATTGTATAAATTGCTATCGATATCTATAGGCCCTATAAATAAAAATCAATTTAACGATAATCCAAAATTAGACCCTATTAGGTCAGTAATAGAATGTCTTTTTAAAAATTTAAAGTCTCTAGTATGGACTGGCGTGAACTTTAGGTATCAATCTCATGAAATAAATTCGAACCAAGAAAATGGATACGTACGTGCTCACCGAAATCAAACAAAGCGATCAAGGGCTTCAAAAAGGAAGAAGGTAAATCTTACGTGTAAACAATTCTATCCATAAAACATCGTCCCGTTCAGGCGAAACATTGTCTAGTTGTACCGATATACTCTCATTGGACAGAAACAGAACTTCTGCAAACTTAGTAATACCATCATCAGTACAATGTAAAAAAGATTGATTCTGTGACAAGATCTTTATCCGTTTACAAGATTCTAGACCCAGGTTGATGTAGGTGCTGGCGATTCTTATATTTCCCCGACCTTTGATCACACAAGAACAGGTTAGATTTCTTAAATAATTTGATTTCCCAGAAAAATACAGATAAAGAAAGTTCCTCTTTCTAAAAGTATATTTATCCACCACATTATAAATTCTAGACCCTAAAACGAAATATAAAATTTTGTCATCGATTTGAAAACCCTAACTTAAAATATCTGCTAACGGGTAGCATAAACGGAAAATGAGAATCATGGTTATCAAGACGCTCGCGCATTATCAAGAATACCCGGGTTCGATTCCGGAGTTGGTCGATCGAAATTCTCGAGTTTTTCCAGTAGGCCATTTCCATGTTAGTGGTGTAAGAAGTAGGGTCTGACAAGGAATAGTGACTAGTCGGGTGTTTTGCAAGACAAACTACAAGTAACGTTATGTAAATGTTGGTTGAGTTTACAGTACGTCTCTAAATTCCTGTAAAAATTGTCAAACGCACGTAAGTAGCCATTTGGGATGATGCAAATAGTATCCACGCAATAAGAACAACAAATCAGAAGACCAATCTGGTTCTTTGGTTTGTGGATACAGACCTTGGTGAATCTCCACTTTCAAAGTAAAAATGTTTGGAACTTACCTTGAATACAGATGTAGTCATACCTGACAAAATCATATTCACCCCCTAGTTCGTTAAACGGCGGAGAAATCGTACAATATGGTTGATTTGTACAATTGTTGAACAAAGAAACCAGATACGAGGAATTGTTGACCGGTTCATTGGACTGATAATTAAATACCTGGCCTCGGTGGTGTTCACGCTTGGTCACATTTACCGCGTTCTGTCTGCAACATATGTCAACACACTTCTTATCAGGTAGAAAAGGGCAATCGATGGTGCTTGGCTTGTTAAAAATTGTTACCGGGCCATAATTATCATCAAAACCAATAACTTCATCATCACCACAAGAAAGTGTGTGTTGTGTACACGGCTTATCAGGTGGGCCGTAACAACCATAAATTGTTTGACTGTCTGTTGGCTTCGCTGTAATAAATGGAATGAAGTCTAAATGAAACTACACGAATTGGTGAGACTCAGAGACATACAGAGAGGGTCTGTTCAATTGTGGTCATGCTCGCCATTTTGTTATCCAATCTGTGCATTTATAGACCAACATTAGAAGAAAAAAATAAATATGAAATAATGGATATCCGTAAAACGGAAATAGTTCTGCATAATATATCGAGCCAGGGGCGGGAACTTGCTCCGGTGATACCTGTTCCTGTGTGTAACCTTAAAATGCCGCTTGCTCTTTGATCTAGGTCAATAATAAAACACCGATTTCATTGTATATTGCATTAGTTTCGTGGAATGACATTCGCTCTCTTTCTAGATAAAACCAATTTTGAGAATACATGATTGATTGTTAAACTGTCAAAATAGTAAGTCAAAAGTGAGACTAATAATTTAAAACCAGTATTTTTTTTACCTAAATCAAAGGGGTTTAGCTTTTTTAAAAGCCATAAAGTGTGAGTTAAAACAAGAGCCCCATAAGCAATACGGTATACATCGCCCGAGCTGAATTTCAAAACAGGTAATTTGTTTTCGAGAAGTCATTTCGTTTCCATATTAGATTTTAATCAATATATAAGACTACGTTTAAAGGCACAATATTCCGGACTAAAACAAATGTAGACTTTCAGATAGTACAAACAAATGCAAGCTGGTCGATCCTTTATGGAGTTTAAAGGAGCTAAATCGCTAATATTTGGGATCTTGAAATTGACACAAATGGTTCGCAACGCATATAATAATGTCATATGAATGTATATAAACTGATTTACATTTAATCGTTACTGTTTTTACTGTAATTTCTAATCAGTTATGTTCGGTGAAATACGCCAGAAGTCGCAATTGAAGACAATCTTTAGCGTCTGGTTATTCCAGTCTAAACTGATGGTATTTATTGCGCATGCTCTCCAGATAAGAATATAGCGTAACTATTTGACATGACTTATGGAATATGTCTAGCCTCGTTCTTTGAGTCCCTTGTTCCAAATGGCACTGAAACGCATTATGGTACACGATTCGTGTACCAAAGACAAAATGTTTATTTTGTCTTGAATATTGGATATCAGAAGCCCATCTTTTCCCTGTAAGATCGCAAGACCAATGTTGATTTGAATTGACAAATAATTGTGTTTTCAATGTCGAAGATTTTTGATGATAATGAGTTAGAGACTTAGCTACTTTAAAGCCATATAAAGTATCAATAACTGTTTATGGGTGATATGTCACCGTCTTGTTCTAAGATTGTTAGCCGACGCCCCTGAACAATATTCCATTTCTATCTACGAACATTTCAGATTGTAACTTTAAAGAAGGCAAGTCAACTCAATATCATCCACAGTCTTCGGCATTCAAAACACGACTTATTGATCAATTTAAATCAATATTGATGTGGTTATCTTTCCGTGAAAAGATGGGCTTCTGATATCCATTCATGGCGCACGAATCGCGTGCGAGAATATTTTCGAACGTCATTTGTATTGAAGCGACTTGATGAACGTGGCTAAACATATCCCACAGGAGAATACTACTGGTATATACTGGAATAACCAGAAACCAAATTTTGACTCTTCGCGTATTTTGTCGAACATAACTGATTACAAATTACAGTAAAGAGCAACGATTTAATGTAAATCAGTTTATATACATTCATATTACATTATTATGCGCCGCCACTCATTTGTGTCTGTTTCTAGGTGCCAAAGAAAAGCGATTTAGCTCTTTTAAATACGGAAAAATATAATTAGGCAACTACCGCGTTGACGCTTTAGCGAATACACACAGGTACATTAATAAGAAGATGTATCGAAAAATATTAAGTAACATTATACTCACCCGCAAACATCAGTAATAAAGTTACCAAACTTATTATATTTCTCATTTTGAATATTTTTCAAATTTTACAGTTTCACTTGAAGTCGTTAATTTTGACTCACCATTAGTTTCCGTATGATCCATTGAACATTGCAATAGTACATAATTAAAACACTATACGTTGTAAAACTTATCCAATAATAGAAATAGCAATCAAAAACATAAAGAAAAACGAATATGTTCGGTTCGTTAAATTCCAGTATTGATAATCGTTGATTTCTTTCTGTCAGAAACTTCTCACGATAAATACTGTCAGCTGGTCTCATTACACCAAAGATCATACATTCATATAATTAAAGATTAAAGGTCATGATATATTTATTATATCAATGTATACATTGGATGCGGGAACCTCGATGGAAGGGTGGTGAGAGATTCGATCAAGTCTGATGTCCACTCGTCGGGGTCGAAGAAGTAGGGCCTAGCAAATAACAACGTCAAATCCCTGAAATTGGACGAACAGCAGAGTCACATGTACAAGCCGACGTATAAAGTGTGTTAGATTTAATCTAAATATATATTTACTTTCCTTAGGTTCAGTCCATACGGTGGTTGGGCAAGGGGAAATCCCACTTTTCTAAAGTATCTCGATTGACTTCGTATTTCTCTCCATCGATTGTTTTGGTATCTCCATCGATTGTTTTGGTATCTCCATCGATCGAATTGTTTCTCAATCCGCCGTCTTCATCGCTTATCCGTCTTAAATTGTGAGACTTACACACGTGTCTCGTAGACACGACTACTTAAATCAGCTACCATCGCCAACATCGCGTAAACAATCAAGAGCTCGGCTCTGTGACGAATCAGCCGCCTCCCCCTTGATTTGGACGGCATGGTTAGCGCCGACGCCGCCTCTCAGTATCTCTCTGATATTCCGAGACTGACTGTCGAATGTCATAGGGGATAGCACAAAACCAAAAATCTAGGTGTGGGGTCAGAGGTTTTCGTCGGATCTGCTGGCAAGCTGTATTAAAACATATGGAACATTAATTGGCCAAACTTTATGAACAGAAAGCCAAGCCAGGATTTGCTTAGATCAACAGACTTGTCCAAAACCAGTCCCAATGAACTAGTGGATTTGTCTCCCGTTTTACTAATTACCCACTATGCGTATGACCGGTTGAAAGTTGCAATCAAATCTAAGATTTGTATTTACCGATGGTCTAACGACATCTTTAAAAAAAACCAAGACAACTATAAAGCATTTATATTAAATAGTATTCAGTTGCATGCGATATCTGGGTCGTATAACTTGGACACTGTACAGGTTAGCATCAACTACTTCATGTAGGACCAAGGACAATTATTTTGGGTATGTCCATGTATTGTGCACTAAATTGGGATCGTTATGATTAAAAATAATTCAAATCATGTCATTCAATGTCTAAAACTATTGGAAAAACCCTTTTGTTACATATTCGAATTATAGACTTTTCGTAATACCGCCAATATGCTTCTTCTTCAACAGGTGCGATAGAGTAACCCAACTATAGTTTTTAAAAGACTTTATATAATTAATGTGAGGCATCAGATGATTGACCCAATTAAACTACATGACAATACAAAGGTGTAATGAAGCTTAATGCACTTAACAATAATACATATTTTCAATGTACTTAAAGGGGATATATAGTTATTACGGAGTTTGGATTAAAGCGTATAAAACTTGTATAATATTGGTAGCGGTGGCCTCACAGATGCAAGCTATAAGGACAACACATATTAGGCAATGTCTAAAGTGACACCCGTTTAAATCATAAATTAACTGGTTATACTTTAAGAAATAAATATGACAGAAGCTGTTCTAAACGAAACTGACTTTCTTATACATCGATCGCCAATATGAGTATCGGAAATACGAGTTCACACCATTCCAACCATGCGTTAGCCCTGTTGTGAGGACCGTTTTGACAAACTTGAATATCTTTTTAGGTCCAATCCAAGATTCGAACTCGAGTAACGTACAGCACGATATTTAGTGAGCAGAAATTCGCCAATGTATCTGTTATCACCCGTGTTTTCCTTTTATGTTCGTCACTTCCTATTGTTGAAACATTGATTATTCATCTATCGTAGCAATGATCTCTGTGATAAAATACTATTTGGAACGTGTTTAACCAGTTCTATCACATATGTGATAATGACTGGCACCAATATTGTCCTTTAAGATTCCAGATACCAGAATGATTCGATTGATTAGCAATTGAATGCGTGTTGGTGGAACTGTTCCACTGTATTTGTGTCATGAACTGATCAAGTCCGTTTATGTCCTTTGTATAATTCTCTTGTGTTTGTTGTTTTACGCTGTAATAAATCATGTTATTAATTATAGGTTTTATCAACGAAGTATCTCTTTTATTATAAGAATGTTCTCCTTTACAGTTCATGTTCTACTCTAAATCGCATTACTAACCTGATACCCTTCTATGGAATAAGGATCACGTATATAATTTCAAAATATGTTTTCAATTCCCAAATCAGTTAGAAGTCGGAAATGTGCAAGTTAAATTCGGCACAAACTAGGTTATTTCGGGACTAACATATGGCAGAATTTATTTCAATAATGCGCTCGCGAATAAGGGCTTTTAGCAGTAGACGGACCCGGAAGATCCCCACGGAGTTGGTCAGCGACCCCACTCCTTGTGTAGTATAAGATTTGGTCGAAACGTCACTTGACTCAATGGTAGACCTAATAATCTATATCGCACGCGTTGAGGGCCACTCGACCCCCGACCCTCTCAACTTTACGGCACTTGGGCTACTTCCGCATTAAAATTTGTCCATTAAACAATATTTTGAAATACATTACAACATTACCTGTTATTACATGTTGGCAAGTTTCACCATAAAATCCCAACGGACATGTTACCGTCGATGATGCGGTTTGACCAATATCCTGAAAAAATGACATACGTCGTCTTTATTAATCATAGCTGACTTCAGAGACAAAGCGATTCTGCACGATCGGCGAAAACAGTCAGCTAAACCTCTCGAGAACATCAGTCAGCTAAACCTCTCGAGAAATAACTGGTTCGGCTAAAAAATGGCAACTAGCGCTCGCTAACAATGGTGTCGTCCTCAATACACACGCATAGGCTACCATTAATTTTACACCCAACACCAGAAAATGAAGGAAATGAAATAAAATGGGGTTTAACGTCCTACTGTTCTGCTCCAAACTGGTTTAATGAAGACGGGTATAAGTCATACAGTGTGCGATGAGGGAAATTTTTCCCGGACATCGGCCCTACGGCCGACTCTTATATCGAATTCCAACTGTCAAGGGATCTTTTACGTGCACGTAAATGTGTACACGGGGCCTCAGTTTCTCGTCCCATCCGAAAGACTAGACAGCTGTCCTTGTCAGGCCCTCCGAAAAATTAAGGTGAACTAAACCTATATGAGGTAAATATATACCAACGAGAAAAGTGATGCCCAACACAACATTGATTAGTGGTATCTTAACTCTGAATTGGTAAATATCTATACCAAGATATAAACACACCTAACATCGTACAATAATTTGGACGGAGACAGGATAAAGTATGTCTGAAAACTGAGGATAAAGTGTGTATGAAATTAACAATGGTGTGAAAATGATAGAAAGTTGATTTGATAAATCATACTAACCTTTCTATAACAAGAACAACCAGTAGTATCACCAAACTTTATACAATCTGTACCAGCCTGGTATAATCTACACTCTGAGTTTACTGAACAGTATAAATATCTTCTACAGCTGGACTCCATTGTCATGCCACAGTTAAAACGTCGTCTAACTTTATTTGTAAACATTTGTAGAGGATCATCACAAGTATTTTGAAAAACTTCTGTTTTAGTGAAATGAGAAAATTGGTCACTTTCGGCTTCACAGATGACCCATAGGCTAATTGCAATATATATCACCAAAAATTTAATGATAGCAGGGATAGTTTATGATACGCACGCAACCTATCTCGTCTTTCGAAGAATCTTAAACAACCACTCTGGAAATTCATCTTATATACACACATAGAACAGTATTACTAATAACCGAAGATCAATATTTATGAAAAAAAAAAAACGATAATGTGGAAAAATATATGGTTGAATAAGGTTTGGTGTTTTGTAATTCTTGATTAAACGTGCATTACAATTTAATCCCCAGAAGCTTGTTGAACCAATCATCCTTAGTTAATTATTGTTTGTAATTAATGACTTAAGAGAAATGTTTATACTGAAAAGAAAATATGTTGCATAAGAAGAATGCAATTAATTAAGAAAACACCAAATGACTGTTGTATAGTTTAAATGTAATGAAATGGGGTTTGAGGGCCCACATTTCTCCCCCCTCTGGGCCAATGAAGGCGAACATACGCCAAACAGTGTGCTATGAGGTCCACTCTTATTTCGAAGAGGTTTTCTTTACTTGCAAGCCAGTGTTTTGTTCGTCACGCTTTAGATGTATGAGCATATCAGAGTTTAAAATGATGTAAGGCATAAGATAAATTAAATTTCCTTTAAATATTTTTACCTTCACCTTCTGCACCCTGTAAAATATGGAAATCAAAAATATCCAGTCGTCTAAGTTCTCAATGATCATTGTTTATTGAAGCGATTTTACATAAGCAGCAATGCTTGTTATTGTATCCATATATAGTATGTTAAATATATCTGTGACTCGCTAGAGTTCGACGAGATATAGGACGTAAGAAATCTTTTCGTCCACAAATCACTGTTCAGATTTCTTAACTCGCTCTTTGGTAATATATTCCACAATTTTCGTCCGTGGTGGTTTTTACCATAGGAGTACTCTGAAATATTGCATAAACTGTTGTTAATGTTTCATGACGAATAGAAGTAGACAAGTTTAATAAAAGTTCAACTTTTTAAAACGCTCCAAAACATTGGCATGCATGGGCAATCTGACTTTTCGGTCAGACGGGGAAAATATTATGATACAATCTAGTTTGCAAATTGAAGTCTAATACAACACTAATTTTACTTTTCTGTTAATTGATCACCGCGAATTTGTACAGAATTGACTAGGGTTAAACATTTCGTCTGGGGCCACTCTGCTTGGCAACATATCATCTATATAGTTGGCAAAATAAATTGCCTGAAATCTAAAAAAACACTTATTTTACTGTTCTTTTAATTGACTACCACGAATTGTACTGAATTGACTATGGATTAAAACATTTTGTCTGAAGACACACTGCTTTGTACGACATTTGTCGGGCATCGATTTTTATTTAGGCGTTTTTGTGAACCGATTAGATTAGACCGATTAGCTATTATACGCATTTGTGAACCAAGTTGATTATGCTAATCGTTACATTTGTGAGACGATTTAACTCAACTGATTAGGCAAATCGACCTAATCGTCCCAGGAGGTGTTTAGGCGATTAGATTTGACGTTTTCAAATTGGCGGAATGTTCGACATCGTAAGTAATTTTTAATGCTTATTGTTGTTTTTCTCCATAAAAAATGTTTTTTTAAAACGCATTTGATGTGTTTAAAGTAGCTAAGTCTCTAACTCAATATCATCCAAAATCTTCAACATTGAAAACACGATTTATTAGTCAAATTATATCAACATTCATGTTGTGATCTTAACGGGAAAAGATGGGCTTTTGATATCCAATATTTAAGACAAAATAAACATTTTACCATTGGTACACGAATCGTGTACCATAATGCGCTTCAGCCCTAGTTGTATCAAGAGACTCGAGGGACGAGGCTAGACACATTGCACCAAATCAAACGGCGTATGTAAACTGGAATAACCAGACGCTAGAAATTTGCACTCGCTTGAGACTGCTGGCTTATTTCGCCGAACATAACGGATTTGAAATTGGAGTAAAAACGGAAACCATTGAATGTAAATCAGTTTATATACATTCATATTACAGTATTATATGCATTTCTAGGTCCCAAATGTTAGCGATTTAGCTCCTTTAATGTTAACTTTATAGTCCACAAGAATGTTAGATCACCTCTGGCTCTAAGCAATTTTTAGGCCCTCTGGGTGCCAGCAGTGTCATTGTAATCTGTAGGTAACTTGGACTACACGTGAAACACACACCCCCCTCGTCATGTTAGCAGAGACAATTTTTTTTCTGATCGGTGTCCGTGGTGGCAGCCATCTTACCAAATCGTAATTATCAAATTTCACATTTGTGGACCATAGCTAATCAAATCGAAATCATACCAAATCGTACAAGCAAATCAAAACCTAATCTAATCGACTCACAAAAACGCCTTTTGTGAATGCAGCTCCAACTGTCAGTTTGGATGAATGGAATTCGGGTCGGCCGAGAGAGGAATTTCGGTTGCAAAGCCATTGGACAACTTTGAATCTTCTTGACTCACGGGCTAGAATAGCAGACAAACGCATCTGCGTTGGTTACATCTTTTCGGGAGGGCGAGATCCTCATATCCCGCGACGATAGGCGGCGGCTCCATGGACTAAACGCTTGATGGGTTGTTAGGCTTTATTGTCAAGATTTCCAAACTTCCTAGGGGACGCCCCTACACGGGAAGCACCGAGATTCGGTCACCGCCGTCTGTAAAAGGGAATTTTTTCCGACATTTCAGGTCTGCACCCCCCAACATCCAACGATGGTATGGAACTACAGTAAAATAAATTTCTGTACATATCAAAGCAGTAGGCTAATAAACAAAACGTAGTATTTCTGAAATACAACCTGAGTCATACAAAACAGAAGAGTAGACTTATCTAAGCGTCAATAATCTAGATTTTTCTAGATACTCGTTTACGTTGCATATGTTTAGATAGTCTCTTACATTCGCTTAAACTATTATATAAAAAAAAATCAAACACCAATGTAATATAAACGAGTCCTACACACAGCACAAACTGAATATCACTAATATAATACACACGATGCATTCACATTGACGCAAACTAAATATCACTAATATATACTCTTCAAAGAAGTAGGGGATATTCTGAAACAATACAAAACTGCAGAAATGCACTGCTGTTTTTATTAGGAGTAACCAGTGTATGTTAATAACAGGCCAATTTTCTACACATGAACATAACAGTTCATATGGGCGGCTTATCTGACGGATCCATTTCACTCGCAAAGAGGTACACCTCTTAATAATGAGTAATTGCTCCACCAATCCTCAGACATTCAACAATTCGTCGTGGCATGCTCCTAATCAACCGTTCAATCACGATTTGGGGCAATCTAACCCACCCCTCTTACAGTGCCACGGCCAATTCTTGCAGGGTTGGCGTCGACGAACACGTCTCCCGATCAAATTAAACGTAACACACTGAAGAAAAGATACGCTAAACAGTAAAGAATCGATAGGAAAGCAATCATGGATAGATAAAGCAGCGCGCGGCAGTTTTCATCAACCCTTCCTTGAAGTGTCAAATTTGACAATGAACCCCTCCCACGTGGATAGCGCTATTGCGTGTCGCATGTGCAGCTCAGTGGTTCTGTTGGGGCGATAAGTTCTTCATCTGTGCACATACTCTCAAAGCATGTCAAGTTTCCATGACTATTTATGATATGGCAACCTGCATAGGTATTTGCATTTAAATATCACCTACTTGTTTTTGAAGAGTATAGTATAACCGATTGATACACACCGATTTTAGGTCTTTCTATGTGCCTGAAATGTTACATAAACTATAATTAGTCATGTATTAACATGACAAGACCATAAAAAAACTATCGATGCCATCGGATGGCTCCGATTTTAAGTAGATTAAAAGGGTTCGGTCATTTAATGATTTAATTTTAAAATAGAGAAGCGAGACTAACCAATGACCAATACGGTGGTTAGGATCAATGCACATAGGGCCATACTATATACCGGAAAACACCGGAAAACACCATTTTATACTGAATACCGGAAAACACCGGAAAAACACTAAATACCGGAAAACAACCTAAATACCGGAAAACACCCTAAATAGGTAACTCGGAGCCTGGTCCTCTGTGTGCGGTTTTGGACCAAGTGAGCGCCGATGAAAGAAGGTCAAGGTCATTACGATGTTCGTTTTACAAATAGCCCCCACCCCCTCAAAAAAAAAAAAAAAATCCGATTTTTTTTCTCCAAAATTTTGTTGATGCCTATTATGTTTTGAATGTTTTAAAAGACGCAATCAGTCTACCTCCATCATTGACCATATTTTATTTTGTATTTTAATTTTAGTTTTCAGTAAATTTCAGTAGATTTCAGTGTTTTAGTATTTCAGAAGATTAAACACTGCCCTCGGAGGGCCCCATTATATGCCGGTTGCGCCGGTCTCCTGATTCTTACCAGTAACGCTGGCATCAGGGTGGTACGAATTAGTGGAAGGCACGGCTAGGCCAACTCCTCCCTAGGTAACAAAAAATCGCATCATAAAACAGCAAGTATCATCAAAAGCGAGTTAATAAATCTCTGAATAGTTCGAGTTGAAGTTCCAGGTTTAACCGCTATGTGTCCTAATCACCAAACGAAATGGATGCCACGCAATTCTCGGACTGGCTGTAATCTGAAAAGTGTCTGTCCTTTCCAAGAGCTATCCATCTCGTTGGAAGTGTTAAAAATCTACTTGTTTCTGAGCTTACTTTCATTCCAGGGTCAAATATAATCACTTGAACCATAATAATATTCAACATATTCCATCATATTCCGAGGGCCGCACACAGGATTTTTTTCTGGATTACTTTTCGAGCTTTTTGCCTCAACTTGTTGACCAGTTTTCCTTGAGAAAACCCCAACTTTCGCCCAATTGTCCATGAGAAAACTACATATTCTATCTTACTGCATTGACGGGAAGTGGTAAGCTGGACGTCTGTTAAAAGGGTTGATCGATAAATTTTCAAGGAAGCAATTGTTGTTTTTGTTTGTGAAATAGAGGATTCTAGCCGATGAGGCTACTTTCCCCCAGAGAACCTCAGGCAACCAATTTGTTTGATGTACTACTATCGTAATAAAACATTACTATGTTAACCACTTCCTGGTGGCTGAAGATTTACACCGAATGCGTATTCGGAAAAAAATGTCCCCGAGAAAATGTTTTTTTAAGACAATCGATACTCGAGATGTCTTCTGTTGCACAAATTATGCTGCACTGTGTAAGAACTTGCATCCTTTGATCTGAAGATTGTAGATGGAAAAGTATCATTTGCACTATTTCAAAGTAAACCTGCATTTTCGTATATCATCTCGTAATTTGTGATTAATGACAAGGACTGTGGAAATAATATGGGTTGAGATCTATGTTCGTCACGTGACTGGACAATTCCACCCCCGTCCCACCCTGACGATGATCCCTCCCGGAGCGGCGCGGCGCGCTCTCTAAAAAAATCTCGGGCACAGTTTACTCTTCTAAGTTTTCCGGTAGCTATTTAGTTACCCGGAGTTTGGTCCTCGTGTGTGGTTTTGGACCAGGTGAGCGCTGATGAAATAAGTTCATTAACATACAAGCGAGCGATCGCCTACGGTCAAAGAAAAATTTCTTTTCAGATTTTTTTAAAAAATTTCTTCTCCCAAATTTCTCTCCAAAAAAAATTCAATTTTTCTTTTCCAGTATTTTTCTCTGTAAAATTATTTTCTACGGAATGTTTTTTTGTAAAACCAATTTTTCGGAAACATTCGAATTTTTTTTTTGTGACAGAAAATTTTTTTCGTCAAAAAAATTTTGGAGAAAAAAAAATCGGAAATTTTTTGGGGGGTGGGGGTGGGGGGCTATTTGTAAAACGAACATCGTAATGACCTTGACCTTCCTTCATCGGCGCTCACTTGGTCCAAACCCGCACACAGAGGACCAGGCTCCGGGTTACCTATTTAGGGTGTTTTCCGGTATTTAGTGTTTTTCCCGTGTTTTCCGGTATTCAGTATAAAATGGTTGTTTTCAGGTGTTTTCCGGTATATAGTATTGCCGATGCACATATATTTGTCAAATCGACAACTATTGATAACTTCGCTCAAAATAAAGTAATTTGAATGAAATTTTCAATATATTCATTTTGCTTTATCTATTTTTGAATTATTATAGCGCGAACGACCAGCTCTTTATCTAAATCTTACATTGTGCCCCTTTAATAGGATACAAACGACGCATATACATCGATGCAAACTAAATATCACATACACACGATTGATACACATTGACACAAACAGATCATTAATATGCTTCACACGATTGATACCCACTGACACAAACATATCATTAATATGATGCAAAGGATTGATACACATTAACACAAACTATGTATCATTAATGATATATAGATGATGGACACACACTGACACAAACTAAATTTCTATAATATCATATAAACGATACATATACACACTGACACAACTAAATTTCACTAATATTATATAGGCGATGCATGCACACTGGCACAATCTAATTTTCACTAAATGGAAGAATATGACAAAACTATAAAACAAAACTCTAAAACAAACAAACATTGGTTAAAAACTTGTCGTAATCACTCAAAGGAGATAAAACATCAAAAATTATACCATAAGGTTATCACGTGGCGTAGGTATATAACATCCACATTCAATAAATTATTTAATGTTATCTAGGATTGTCAGTAATCATTGTCCATTGATACAGGGATATCGCCGAGTCAGCGATAACTCTTAACATATTAAACTCAATACATCGACGTAGGGATTGAAGTGTGAATTTATTTATGGGTATTCAAACTTCAGTTGGTCGTGAGGTTTATTGCATAAACTAGTCTGTTCTGGCTGGATATGATATACAGATGATAGTTGGTAAAGTTGAATGTAAACGCTTCACAACTTGCCCTATGAGTTCTTAAATTTTATAAAAATTATCACCATATTAACAAGCTGTTGCTATGCAAGCTACGCCCACATTTGGAAATACATGAAATAAATGGACGGATAACAGACAAATAATAGGGCTCATAGGCTCATTGTTGCAATGCTTCACACCGAATTAGAAATAAATAATATTCAAAACTGTAGTCTCTTTCGCGTTTACAGGGCTTTTGGAACGGATTGTGTCACTTATCGCTGAATATCGATCGAGTTCGTACTTTCATAAGTGAAATTCTAAACACCAAATTTGAACTAAATGCGTAACAACGTTACCTTATATCAAGTTCAGAGGGTTTTCGACAAAGGCGGGTAACTCCGGAACGCTGAATATCGGTAGAGTTGGTCCTCTCACTAACCCAATGATACACGCCAAATCTATTACAGATCTGTGAAAAACGATGGCATCTATGGGAAGCACAAGGCTGTCGGCTAAGGAGTCATAACTCTGGACGGAAAGGTCGTGGAATGCAATTATTGAAAAAGTTTGTCCTCTCATGGCTCCAATGCTTCAAACCAAATTTGAAAAGAAAATATGTTAAATAATATAGCTTTATCGCGTTCATAAGACTTTCAGAAAAGGGGACCCGATTCACACCAGCATTTAACTCATCCAAGATCTTTTGAGTCTAAACACATAATTCAAGCTTCATATAAACGGCAGGGGCAATGCGCACCAAAACCGGAGATCTAGAGTGTCCACAACATGTTTGTATTTATTATATGCTTTGACACTCTTTGTTTAAAAGTGAACGGTCATTTTCACAAACTTCAAGTCCACCCGTGGTGTAAAGACGACGTGTGAATGGTTTTTAAAATCAAATAAACATTGTGACCTCTATAGAGCAGTTTTTCTCAACCATAGTGTGCCGCGAGATTTTTCTAAGTGTGCCGCGAAATTTTGAACGGCACACTAAGAAAATGCGAAAAACCACGTGATCCCAAATGAGTATTCACCGGTGTCTACAGATAAGTCCATAGCTGTGTTTTCTGTGTGTCTATGGCTAGGCTCTGTCTACGGTTGTATGCCGTATGACTTGACAGGTTTTTATCTTGCAAAATTCAATAATTTTTTTATATACATTTAGACAGGTGTGCCGCTATTTTTCACGTGTTCCAATGTGTGCCTTAGACAAAAAAGGTCGAGTACCACTGACCTAGAGGAAGCTAAAACCGTGATTTTGCGTCCAACAATGGGGCAATTATCCAAGACGTTACCGTCCGATACGTGCCAAAATCGAATTCATCCGTTATCCTTATAATAAACATAATTTAAAGTAGCTAAGTCTCTAACTCAATATCATCAAAAATCTTCGACATTGAAAACACGAATTATTAGTCAATTCAAATCAACATTGGTCTTGTGATCTTACAGGGAAAAGATGGGCTTCTGATATCCAATATTCAAGACAAAATAAAAAATTTACCATTCGTACACGAATCGTGTACCATAATGCATTTCAGCGCCATTTGGAACAAGGGACTCAAAGAACGCGGCTGGACACATTCCACAAGTCATGTCAAATGTAGACGCTATGTTCTTATCTGGAGAGCATGCGCAATAAATACTATCGGTGTAGACTGGAATAACCAGTCGCTAGAGATTGCCATTCGATTGAGACTTCTGGCGTATTTCGCCGAACATAACTGCTTTGAAATTAGAGTAAAAAGGGAAACGATTGAATGTAAATCAGTTTATTTACATTCATATTACATTATTATATACGTTGCGACCCATTTGTGTCAATTTGTAGGTCCCAAATATTAGCGCTTTAGATCCTTTAAGTTTTATCTAATTAGGATCAAAATTGTTACCGTTAGAGGGTCAACAAGTTAAAAACGTAAATTTTCGTAGAATCAGAGGGTATAATCCAAGAAGCTACGATCCAAAACGCGCCAAAATCGAATTCATCCGAGATCTTTTGGATATAAAAATATATTGTCATCAAAATTGCATAAAATTGTGAAATTAACATACATTTCTACAATAAACAAACTATAACTTCAACATGTTAAAACAAACATCCATGTTATCGATAAATGTCTATAAAAATAGACTATATATATCTTATATAATAAAGCATTTTATATCTTATAGGGGGATTGGGCAAGATAAGATAAAGAGCTGATCATGACAGTTCTCGCTATAATAGTTAACACAAATAGATAATGAAAATAGAATATGCTGAAAATTTCAGTCATTAAATGTCTTCTCTCTGAACCGAGATATTAGCGATTCAGTTTTAGGCTAGCCCCGATCGTCATTACTAACGTTAGGACAATTATATACAAAGTCTCAATTATCCAGTTTTACATTAAATTATCCATCACTTAATCTATTCAAACCCTAAAATAAGTATTGTTTAATGGTCGAGAACGAGACATTATAATTAAGTAATATATTGTAACAACAAAAGGGCCGTGAGGCCCTAGTGTTTTTACAATATATTACTCAATGTCTTAAGCTCGAGACCATTAAACAACTTAAAATACAGACACTTGCACGTGCTTTGCACGTCACTCGGGTTCAATATTTTAACTAGTTACACTTGGAACATTGCCCGTACGATTATTTGAAATAATGGTACGCCAACATAAATGGATGACGTCACATCTGTATTTTAATACAGAATAATAATACTATCATGTTAGGTACCGGTAGTTATTGTACGATCATAAGTTATGATATTACCCACATGTTTGATGACCCGAAATGGGAAAATTTTCATAGTTAGATTGGTGTTCAGAAAGATTGGAGTAATCTCCCCTTTCATCGTCAGCTGTCTCGTACTGGACATCCTCTGCTGCTTGTTCTGTCCGGACATGTAAATCGCCATTATGAGCTAGTTCGTACTCTACAATGGCGTCGTGCTTTTTGTCACCAATATGGTTGTAATCGTCTTCATTTAACATGTGTTCGGTTACATTACCAAGATGGTGGTAGTCATCACTAGTCTTCTCGTTGCTTATGCCTTCTATATAGCTGTAGCCGTCATTGGAAATCTTCTTGTTTTCGTCTAGGTGGTTATAATAAGCCTTTGGAATCTCACTCTTTACGTCACCAAGATGGTTGTAGTTAGCATAGTGAACTTTTTCTGAAACGCTTTTATGACCCGCTATACCGTTCAGATGATTGTAATCTGAATTCCGTGTCTTATTATTCACCATACCAAGATGATTATATGCTGCCCCCGACTGTTCATCCACACGAAGACTGTTGTTATTAGTATGTAAATGGTTGTAATCACCCATCGTTAGCCCCAGGTGGTTGTACGTGTTACTGGTTGTCATTGAGTTATCGTTCTTGATATCATGCAATTGATTATAATCGTCCGATTTAACCACATTAACAGATGGAGAATTATCGTTCTTTAAAACAATATTATTGTAGCCATCGCTTGGTTCTTTGTATACTGGATTCGATACTCTTGGACTGTCTTTGAAGCGACTGTCAATAAAAGCTCCAATTGTTTTCCTGCAATAAATATAAAATAAGTCTGTAACAAACACAGGTCAGATTTCCAAGGTTAATACATCTTGTCAAAATTGGTTAAATAGATTGTAACTACCATGGTAAAATTTTCGCTATTGATAATCTGTAATCGCGTTTCGTGTAATTAAGTAATGCAAGAGAGGAAACCGGTAATACATTTTCTAAAGACGAAAAATATAGTTACATAGATTACAAAAATGTAAGTCAATCGTTGGCTAATTGTACAGTGACTTTGTTATCGACGATTTTAAAAGTAGAATAAAATTTCTAGGATTGGGCCACTTAATGGCACATCAATTTATCTTATATTATGTCTGACCAACCTTTAATAGTGAATGACTAAAATATAAACCTTACCTTTTGAATATGAAAACAACAACAATGGTAACTAATATGACCAGAAGAATACATCCTACGACGCTTCCAGCAATAACAGCCTTATCTACAAAACATATATAATTACACCATAAATCAGCACCGAACACTTGTAGTATAATACTTAGCGGTGGGGTAATAAACGTGCCTTGTAAAAAATAAAGAACCATGCTGTCAAGTGGCAATCACTAGCTTTTAGTACTGTGTGCGAGAAAGAAAGAATTGCATATTTAGGTGGACATCACACTTGCTGTAATACTAAACACATGGCGTTCACACCATAAAAAAAGTATACAAATTTCTATGTTGAATTATGACAGTGGGGGACGAAGTTGATTTCTACAAACCAACACAGAAGTGGGGAATTAAATTGTTTATCCGTTATCTCATGATCTGTTATGTCACGTTGGTGAACTTTCGAGTAGCCAAAGGATATATAACTACATAATATACTACACATTCCGACTAGACACTACGATTGAAACACGATTTGATGGTAACCGTACTCTATTCTCTACGCGCCTGTAGGCTACTATATACACACTCTAGGGCATAACGATATTCAATAGAACTTTCTCGTCCCGGGGACATCTTCAATAGAAGACCTCATCTCGCTTTAACTACGTACGTCTTATCACGGCCTTCACGTAATACCCTGCATATTTCGGCACTAATTTCGATTGGGTACAAGCCCAGCTTGTGAGCCTATCAGATTCTGCGATCGTCGCGAATACCAAGCCTCGCGCTTTCAAGCTAAAATGTCTACCTGTAATAATCGAGTTGCAAAGTTCAAGGTTCGTTCAATGTCACGGTTTCTGTGGGGATCGCTATGCTACAACCTATAATTGAACGCTACTGTTCACGTGTCTGTAGATAACGTAGCTATAAGTTCGAGAATAAGTGAAGTAATCTAGCAACGTTCAGATGTTGTAAAACTAGCAGTCGTTGCTTCAGGAACATGTCCTGGGGGTGACACGTAGACACGCCCCCCCCCCCCCCCATGACCGAATGGTTCAGATTCCTTAAAATGCCATGACGCAACATTGAGACCCCACAACATGGAACAGAAGCATGATTTAAACTACAGTTAAGATTTACCCCCCCCCCCCGCGTCGTTCACAGCTTCTAGATCCGCTAGAACCCCACCCAACAGTTACCTCTGGTGGGACAGTTTAGGAACAGATATAGTGACTGGCGTCCAATATATGGCAGAGTTTCATTTATTTTAGAAATCCTACTACCACACAGTTAATCATACCTTATAACAAACTGTTGTATTGAAACTGTATATCAGGAATTAGACAATTTGATATGGGAATTCATAAATTACCTGTTGTATGTTGATTATAATTAATAGCCTTAGCACTGTTTATTTCTGTAGTATATAAAACACCTTCCGTTCTTCCAGATCTATCTTTATCCGTGGAGTTTGCAGGTTTGGAATTGTCTAGTTTAGTCGACTCTATTGTAGTTGTATCCGTAAATACCCGACGCGTGTCTTGTTCTCTGGTAGTGATTGTTCTTCTGGCTGGTAAGGTAGTTATGTCTTGTTCTCTTTTAGTGGTTGTTCTTCTGGTTGGTAAGGTAGTTGTGCCTTGTTCTCTTGTAGTGCTTGTTTTTATGGTTGGTAAGGTAGTTGTGACTGAAAAAACATTAGAATACAGATTATGGCTGTGCTAGGAACTAAACAGTCATACAAAGATAATTTTAGTTGTTCACATAATTCATAGATGTTCACATCCAGTAACTGAAACTACAACATAATATTTATTTGTATTTTGGAATCAACCTAACTATTAGGTATGATGTTGTTGTTCGTGGTGTTTAACGTCCTCTTGTACCGAGGGTGATATCCCAGAAAATTTATCATTTTTATTGATTTTCATTATCTTAGCGCATGCACTAGGATCTTTTCCGTGGGAGGAAACCAGAGTACCCGGATTACCCGGTTAAGAAGCCCCTCCCCCCACCCATCTCCAAGTCACATGCCCTCCCTCTAGGGGGTGATACTACGACCACAAACCAGAGGTGATCGGCCAGCTGAAGCTAGAGGCGCGACACTCCAGATCACAAGTTAATATTATTGTTATTTTAATTAATATATACCAAAGTTAAACAATACCTGCCAAATATCCATACAGTATTTAAGAATATGTATAATCATTATATTTTCTAGGTTTCCTCCCATAGATAAAGACCCCTATGAATTATTGAAATAAAATTGAACCATACGTTAGTCCCAAAATGACATAGTTTATCTGGAGTGGACTTTGTACCCCATTTCTCCCGTTATCTCTTTATAACAAAGTTGTACATTACCTGTCAAACATTGATACTCTATGTAGGAATATCTATACAAATTATAGTATTTTCTTTTATAGTAAATTATTTTGTAGCAACTTTCACTTTCATAATATGATTTTAGTAGTCGAAAGCGGCATGTCTTCTTCCCATTACACAAATCCATAAGATTCGATTCGACTGTACTGTTAAAGTCAAGACGACAATCACAATAATCCAAATAATGAATGCAATAACTCCCGCAGTCATAATTTCTAAAGCCATATCGACCATGCACAATATTAATCCTTTTATTTTCTTCACAAGATAGTTTGTGCTGATCATTCGTTCCACTACAAGCATAACTTCTCAATCCTGTTAAAGAGATTGAATTAAACTTTTATCCTCGACCCATCAGGTAAATAAATATTGATTGTAATGAAAAGAGTATTTATATACATATTACAGCGGAAAAATTTCAAGTCTAGAATATACACCATCAATTTTGTGTTAAAAGCACTAGCATGCCCCCGTGTGCATGTCACATATATAGTTTTATGTTTTTAAGGGATAAAATAGAGATTTGGTTTTAAAAAATGGTTTTGGTATGTCTGTTCCTGAAAGGGTTAATTAATTCCACCACATTGGAAATCATAATGTGATTGGATCAGTTTGAAATTGAACGGGGATATTACATCTTGGTTCGTCTTAAAATATAGGTTGTGTTGTTTGATATTTTAAAAATATAAATATGTTTGAAAGATTGTCAATGGAATTAACTTGCTTCAACGTTTAAAAATGCCGTTAGCTTTTGTCGGCTTCAAAATTTATGTTAATTGCTAGAGAATTCAGCCTCACGCCCCAAAAATAAGTCATTATCGCCATTAGCAGTCATTTATGGATTTGTAATGCCACAAGAGTCCGATAAGATATTCCAGATAATGTTTGGTACAATATTTAGTCAGTGGAACTAAACGAAATGATGTATGTGTTATAATTATATGCAATTTCGACACGATGGCTTTAGGCGGTATCACGTATATAAGGATATCACAATACGTCTGCTTCTAATAATAGAGACTTTTGGCAAGCGTAATTTCCTGGTCCGTATGGCGTATCCGTATGGATTTTGCGTGTGACGTCATCTATGTCTGTGTATTTCTCATACGTGATACGGCACACGGATACGGCAGCACGTATGGAACGGCTTTCATACGGAAATGGTCCGTATAACACCGTCGTCTTTTTACCGTCTTTTTTGCTACTTTTAGACGCTGAAATGTTGCATCATAGCGTTTTTATGAATCTATGTGTATCCCGGAACACGAAGGTGTATATTTGATGAGATTTTAACAGTGATAACGACTGCAATTTAATCATTAATATTGATGGGTTTTTCTCGGAATTTTCATATTTTTCCAGCCTGTCTGCATACTGGTTGATCTATGGGCTAAACTTTCTGAAATGATACATTAGTGAAACCAAAAATCGCTAAAATCTGCCCAAACTCTAAAACTACATTGACGCAACGTATCACATATACGATACGGATACGGGATACGGATGGGAAAAATCCGCTTTCCAAAAGTCTCTAATGTCTAAACTTCGTGTATACTTAGGCAAATGATTCAGTGCAATTCAAAAATAACTTAGACTAAGTGGAAATAAACAATGTCATTGGTCGATGGCTTGGGTTACAAGAACGTTCCTTCTAATTATGCTACATTATGGGGTTGTCAGTCATTCGCAAGTTTTGAAACCACTGTTCTAAATCTCGATTTTAGTATTCGGCGTCTTCATGAGCTTGCTCTAATTACAAAGTGTGATTGCAAAGTGTAAGTGTATTAACCTGAATCATAAACGAATGTCCAGTATTGATCTATAATTATTATGTACACCAAAACCTTCTTAAGAGATATTGTTTCATGATGATCAGACAATTGAAAGTATTATAACCAATCCATTCAAATCAGCAAAAAATGAGAAAAATCATAATTATTGAAAATATAAGAAAATAAGAAGTAAGATATCAAAGATGGACTTTTCACCATAGATAGCCGCGTGTACAAATAGCATACCCCTCAAATAAAAAAAAATATACATATTATGGAGGGTTCCGATGCAAGGTTACCATTTAAAATGCAGATGTATTAGCTGTCTTGCGATGTGGGTTGATTTTCAAAGCTAATATTCCAGACAAAAACGACAATGATATGGCTTCAAATATGTCTATTATACTGTAGTAAAATTCCTGCATTGTTCCGGAATTTTGACTTTTTTCTCATAAGTAATGACTTTTGGCACTTATTGCATCCATACATGGTGTTTTGAAAATCTGGTATTGGATTATTAATCGACATATAAAGCTCTTCCAAATTCCTAAATTTAAAGAATATTGTCGTACTAAATGGAATACAACCAAAGCACCAAAATCGAGTAATAGAATAGTAATTTCGAAACATGCGAAAGGTAACACGGCCGATTCAGAAGGCCATATCTCAGTCAATATTTATTACTACGTAATTTTACAAAAGAATATATGAACTGTAACATGGTTTTCATAATATTCTTAACGTTGTAAGCGGTTGGTCCACTTGACAAAGAATGAATTTGTTTTTAAAAATTCGTGTTTAATATTTCTGAAATTGTCAATGAGTTCATCTGAATATGTTAAAGGGTATCCACCCAAATACCAACCCACAATACAATATATGATCGATCGTTTGAGATATACATAATCATCTATATTTACTTTGTAAATCGTAGCGTATTATCTAAACAATTATACTCTCCATAGCTTCTGTATATTCAATATAAATAGTATTAGTTATATGTACGAACCTGTAGTCATAGGTAGCAGAAGAAACACGACAAGTGTTGTTTTCATTGTCTTGCTTCTGAAACAAATTCAATTTGTATATAACATAGCACAATGTTAATAATACTGACTCGAATTTATCCCCTGTAACATATTATACTAATAAACATACCTATTCTATTTCCAAACACAAAGGGTCACATGACTTCAAATATACAGATATGTTATGTTACTGTTCATGTATGACAACCTGTTTGTGCATAGTTTGAGTTACACCCATCTATCAACCAGGAAGTATATTACACATAATATAGAATAAACAGATGACGTAATGTTAAGGGAGAAATATTTTTATTACTTTATAAAAATATAACATATTATTGTCATCTAGAAACATATTGAATCGCTTACAAACCGGCTACACATTTCTCAAATATAACGTTTGAAAACTCTAATTGTTGATGCTACCAAGATAACTTCTGTGTATAGTAAGTGACGCTATCGAATATTATAAACCTGTAACGGTAAATCTCTTTGATCTTTGGGGTATATTATATGCCCAGAATAACTTGCGGTCTGAAAGGTTTTGGATATATACAGGGAAATTTGGGGTTATTCTTTTGAAAGTTTTTCTTTAAACCTGTAACAGGTTATTCTTCCAGGGTAGGTTTTTTTCCATAACAAAACATGATATAAGGTTTTTCTTGCGTGAATTCTTGGATATTCCCATTGTGCGTACATGTAAACAGACGGTTTATAAGCAAGATAAAGTCCTCGACTTCGGTTATGCTGGGAAAAAAAGACTTCAGAAAAAACCCTCAACAGGAAAACCTCGTCCTACCGGCCTCGGTTTTTCTTTCTCTCGGGTTATTTTCTTCAGTCTTTCTTTCCCCAGCATAACCTCAATCTCGTGCTTTATCCTACAAATAAATAATATGTGTTATTTAAACAAGGTAGTAGAGTTTAAAAGATCATTACAAAGTAGCAGAGCTTAAACTTTAAGAATATCTAAATTAATATTCATATTCAACAATTAGTATTTAATAGAATGATTAAAGGAAATAATGTACTTTGGCTTGAAAAGACGTATCGTGGCCTTAATATAAATGTTTCTCATTCACTTAATTTAAGTGGTTTTAATACGAGATATTGACAAAAAAGCTTTTCAAATGATTTAAAGTTCTTTTTATTAATCTGTAATCACTTACCGAATTGATTTCTTTTTACCAAATCAGCTGCTTTGTTGATTTAACTCTGCTATATATAACAGACTGTAAATATAAACTTTAATAAGTGGGAGGCACTTCAATAATACGTAGGAAAATGGAGATTCACAAAATATCATACAAAGAACTATATTTAGAAGATAAATTACACTTAGATTTCATTTAGACATATTCCACGTGTCATATCTTTTTATGTTATGGGAAATAGTCCATAGCTTATTTACAACATTTTAACAATTAACAAACCTGTCGTCATTGGTAGCAGAAGAAACACAGCAACTATAGTTTAACACTGGGACAAATTCAATTTGTTTATTACACAGCAAAACACGAGCGTATTAATAATACTGACTCGAATTTATGGTCCTGAACAGAGAGAGATAAATGGGGTTTAACGTCCACTCGACACAAACTAGGTCATTTCGGGACTAACACATGGTTCAATTTTATTTCAATAATTCGCTTGTGGGTAGGGGTCTTTAGCTGTGGGGGGAAACCGGAGGACCCGGAGAAAACCCAAGACACTACTCCTTGCCACGTACAACCGGGGAATCGAAACCCCGACAGTTGACTCAATGACAGACCGTATGATACAGCGCGCGCGTGTTAACCATTCGGGGGATCACGTGGCTAAGTGGGTAAGACGCTGACTCGCTAGCCTGGAGGTCGGGTGTTCGATCCCTGCATTAGCCGAGAAAGTTCATCCCGATTTTTCGGCGTGGTTTCCCCTTGTCAGTGATGCAGGACGGAGGTCCTGACAAGGAGAGCTGTCTAGTCGTTCGGATGGGACGTAAAACCGAGGTCCCGTGTACACATTGGCGTGCACGTAAAAGATCGATATAAGAGTAGGCCGTAGTGCCGCTGTCCGGACAAAATTTCCCTCACACTGTATGGCGTATGCCCGTCTTCATCAGTCCAGTTTGGAGTCGAACAGTTAAACCCCATTTCATTTCATTTCATATTAATAATACTGCCTCGAATTTTTAGTCCATAACACATTATAACAATATACATACCCCTGTTATTATAAGTATAGAAAATTGTACGATATTTCGTACGGTTCATGTATGACAACCAGAATGTAAATTACACATATATAATAAACAGATAACGTAGGGTTAAAGTACCAATATTGTTATTAATTAATAAAAAAAACCCATACTATATTATTGTCAGCCACGATCGAACCCACCAGCGTTTGGGTCTTCTCTTTTTTCTGGGGGTTCTCTTCACCTTCTTGAACATAGATTGTGCAGAGGACGGGTTCGGCGGTGAACGGTGTTTTTTTATATAGCATTTAGGAACCCACGAATATGTCGAATGTCCACGAAAAGTGCGGAATATTGTAAACTGTTCGTAGTTTTATCGACATCATTCATGGAGATCGTAGTATATTCGTAACAGAATTCAACCCCATCTCTCTCTCTCTCTCTCTGTTTGTCTTTATATCTAGGCCCTGATAACCAGTAGTGGTATCTGACTTGGCTTATCACGATTTAGTAAATATTAGGTTTATAATAGTTCTAGTATAATATTAATGAAATGTCACCGAATTCTTTTAAAGGGGCATTATGGAAGATTAGATAAAGAGCTGTCAGTTCTCATTATAATAGTTAAAACTAGAAAACTAGACAATGTAAAGGGAATATGCTGAAAATTTCAGTCAAATCGCTTCACACTGAACCGAGATATTAGCGACTGAATTTTAGGCTCAGCCTCGTTCATCATTACTAAGTCGGTACGATAAAATCATAGTCTCGATTATCTATTTTTTTATTTAATCATGGATGAGCGTTGAGCAGCAGATTGGATTCAAATCCTGAGAAAATCCGACTCATAAGATGGCATCGAGAGTTGATTATGGTCTCTTCATGTTAATAAACGTTTAATTAATAGTTTATATAACATTGCAGTCTTTAGGCCTGCAATATGCATATTTAGCTCTTTCTTAATGTATGTTTAAGTAGAACACTACAAGATTCCACTCAAATACCAACATGTATGGTCAATCATTTGGAAATACAGAATCATAAATAATATTAGAAATATTCTATAGCTTCTGTACGTATAATTAATTTAAACATACATTATGCAAGAGCTAAATCTGTCTAATGCAGCTCTTTCTTTAGGCCTGAAATGTTATCTAATTGATCAATTAATCATTAATTACCCTATCCAGACCATAATCAACTATAGATGGCATCGCTAGCCTACGACCTTTAGTGGATTATGAGCCGATTTACTGCATAACTTTCCTACACGATTTACGTGACAAGGAGTAAGGTTGCCTGTCCAACTTTGTGGGTTGTCTCTGGGTCCTTCGGTTTCCTACCACAGCTAAAGACCCCTACGCGCAAGCGAATTATGGAAATAAAATTGAACCATATGTTAGTCCCGAAATGACCTAGTTTGTGTCGAGTGGACGTTAAACCCCATTTCTCTCTCTTTTTTTTTCCTTCACGATTTAACGATTAAATGGATAATCGAGACTATACTGTTTATCGTACTGACTTTAGTGATGATGATCGAGACTAGGCGGAAATTTCAATCGCTTAGTGGATCAATTTGAATGAAATTTTAAGCAAATTGCCTTTACATTATCTAGTTTTTTAAATATTATAGTGAGAACTGCCAACTCGTTATCTAATCTGTCATAATGTATCTTTAAACAGTATTAATATTAACAAACCTGTAGCCATTGGTAGCAGACGAAAAACAGCAAATATTCTTTCCATTTTACTTGATATTGCAACAAACCAAACGGCGCACGTGACTTCAAATATACAGTTATGTTCATTTATGACATCATGTTGTTTTTCATTGTTTTAGTTAAACAAGTCTATCAACGAGGAAATAAATTGCATGCATATTTGGGCAGAACATCCGTTAGATGTAGCTGGTGTAATGTAGTTGGATCTAGGTGATTTGATCCCCACCCTGGCAGTAGAGTTCTAAAGACGTCATGGTGGAAGATTTCCAAGAAGGCCGTTGCAGTAGTCTATACGGGTAAGAATTGGGAATCGGGCTAGGGGTGCAGCTGAATTCTGAATTAGATAGGGCCTGGCGTTACTGAGGTTTCTTAAATGAAAATAACATTTCTTACATAAGTCAGCAACCTGTGGAATAAAAGATAAATTACTGTCTATTAAAACGCCAAGGATATCCACGTCTTTATGTTTGCAGGGCCGTAACTAGCTCAGAGCAACGAGGGGGGGGGGGAATTGTTCTCAGGGGTGCTGTAAAATTGACGGACAATGTATATCGGGGTTGGGTGGGTGGGGGTAATTAGTATTTTAGGCCCAGGGCAAGCAGTACGAAGCTGAGCATTTTCTGCTTAGGCAAAGTAGAGATTTTTATCTGACTGGTCGAGACTTATGAACACAATTACCCGCCTTCAAACTGAAGTAGAATGTTCAAACTTGGCGTAGGTGTCTATTAGGTGAACTTCATGCGCATTTTCCAGATAAGCAATTAGATTGGTTAAGACCTTGGAACACGATAACTTTGGTTCTAACTGGGTGAGAGCGATGAAACTCCGAGTAGAGAGTGATTATATTAATATTATTGACTAAGTTCGATGATAAGAAGTGTCTGATTAGGCTATGTATCGATAAGCAATTTAATTTGTCAAGGCTTTGGAACATAAAATCCCTGCTTTTACTTGAAGTAGAATATTTAAACTTGATGTAGATGTTCATAAGGTGGATATTTTGACTGAGTTCAATGATTAAGCAGGCAGGGCTAACTCCATTTATTCATTAGCCCAGTCGGTGCAGAGAAGGAGGGCATCAAAACCCCATTTCGTTTCGTTTTAAAAACTGACTTAGTTCTGTGTTGACCTTAGATTACATATGTGAATACACCGTACACAATATGACTCGTTATATACACATTTGGAATGGACTGAATAACGATAATCATTTCAGTATGAATATTTACAGAGGAAGCCAAACGTCAATTCGTCACCACAACGTCAATTCGTCACCACTAAGTCCAGTATGAATAATGACAGAGGACGTGAAACGCAATTTGAAACTACCAAGTCCACAGGCAAAAAATTTAAACATGAAACACCACATGACAGAACAACAATCTAGGCCTCCCCAGATATACGAACGATCACACAACATATCACATATTTGCATGTAGATCAAATACGACAGAATGCTCATGTGGAGAATCGAAAGCACGACCACTGGCATGGAACCCTTAGCATATAGAATTCGATATAAAAGTAGATCGTAGCGCCGCTGTCCCACCAAATGTCCCATAAAGCACACTGCATGACGTATGTCGGGCTTCTTTAGTACAGTCAAAGCATTTGCAGTTTATTATTGCCAATCACTGTAAACCAATTATAGTAGATGTAATACACATGGACAGGGACAAAGTACTTTGATCCGTTGCATCACCATGATCTTGCTAATCTAAACGGAAGACATTTTCATATTTAGGCTGGTCTCCATTTCCACTGTGGTTACTCACTGTTAAATCGGTGTAGGGCGAGGCGTCGTTGTTGAAACCAGTCGGTGTTTCGTACACTGTGTTGGAGATACCATCTTCTTTGTAACATATGCCCTTCTTTCTGAAATATACATATTGTTTATATAAACACCTAATTTGCATATTATTTATTCGCTATATGTGGATTCTGTGGATTCTGGTATTGTTTATTTTCGTCAATTGGATGTGAGAGGGGTTGGGAGGACAAAAGGTTAACGCGTGCACCTTTAATATAAGCCTATTATAAGGTCTGTCATTGAGTCAAGTGGCGTGGTTTCGATTCCCGGCTTGTACGTGACAAGGAATAAGGCCGCCTGTCCAACCCCGTGTAGTTTCTCCAGGTTTTTTCATTCCTTAATTTCTAAGAGGTAAATAATTCCAGAGATAGTGTGCTGCAATATGAAACGATCTTTTTGTCTGCTGGAGTTTGACAGCCAAAAAAACTAATAACGACTTGTTCAGTGAAATGTCCTACTAGATTCAAATGGTGTAAGTAGATCTTGGGTCTATTATGGTGATTGATTATCGAGTGCTTTTAAAGTTTATTACATAATTTTAAATATTTGATGAGTTAATTTGGGTAACCAATGAGTATTACATATATGATGAATTAATGTTATCCGGGATCCTTTTCCTTGTTCAAGTGTTGGGTTGAGCAGAAGCATTCTGGAGACATTGAAGCTTTGGCAAATGCCATTGTAGTAGACCATACCTTAACCGCTTAACGCAATCAAATTGTGAAAAGATCAAGTCAAATAGACGAGGAATTTTGGATTTTAGATAACTTATATATGACAGAGATGTATTCTACGCCGGAGTTTAGTGTTTAGTGTTGACAGAAACGTAACATAATTTACCACAAAGTTAACCACGCGATTTTTAACAATCGATGTTAAGGAGAAGTGAATTTTAATAAGTGGTTGACAAGACTTTCGACCCCGAAAATCTGAGTGATTTTGACCAGAAAACTAAATTTGATTTTGGGTACAAGATGGTTTTAAATATTTACCTACTTATAACGATATCAAGCTTACCGTTTTAATATGACGACAACAACAATGATAACTAATATGACCAGAAGAATAGAACCTACGACGCTTCCAGCAATAACACCAGTATCTATAAAACATATATATCAATATAATCATCAATAACAGTGGAATATACAACACAAAGCAACACCTAGTGCAACCCCCAAAGCTACCATTTGCCACCTTGATATCTATTTAGTTGGGTTTACGGAGTGATTACCTTTTGAATAGATTCATAATAAAGAATAATATGTTGAATGGGAAATCAGTATATAACTAACTTAAACTGACAATTAACTAGAACATGCTCACTTTATACAGAAGTAAACGGACATAATTTTAATAATTTATAGACGTCCACATCCAATAAATGACACTACAATATAATATTTATTTGTGTATTGGAATCAACCTAACTACTACGTCTCAAGTTGTTTTTCATGGTGTTTAACGTCTGCTTCCACCCAGGGTGATATCGCAGATAAGTTGTAGTGTTTAAGACAGTAAGTCGGTAAATAAATCAGATTGTTATTCAAGCGGTGAATAACGAATAACGAATAACGAGCTGTTTGTTATTCGTTATTCACCTCGTTATTCGGGATTCACATATCAAGGTGTTCATGTATCTTTAATGAAGATATTTCAGGATTTAATTCTAAACGATCATTGGACAACAATAGAATAATGGATTGTTATTCGTGATTCACCGCTTGAATAACAATCTGGTTTATTTACCGACTATACGTCGTTTAATATGTTTTCTACTGCTAGGTGATACTTTGCAATCCATTATTCTACTGTTATCTAGTGATCGTTTAGAATTAAATCCTGAAATATCTTCATTAAAGATACATGAACACCTTCATATGTGAATCCCGAATAACGAGATGAATAACGAATAACAAACAGCTTGTTATTCGTTATTCACCGCTTGAATAACAATCTGGTCTATTTACCGACTATACGTCATTTAATATGTTTTCTATTGCTAGGGGATGCTTTGCAATCCATTATTCTATTGTTGTCTAGTGACCGTTTAGAATTAAATCCTGAAATATCCTCATTAAAGATACATGAACACCTTCACATGTGAATCCCGAATAACGAGGTGAATAACGAATAACAAACAGCTCGTTATTCGTTGTTCGTTATTCACCGCTTGAATAACAATCTGGTTTATTTACCGACTATACGTCATTTAATATGTTTTCTACTGCTAGGGGATACTTTGCAATCCATTATTCTATTGTTGTCTAATGATCGTTAAGAATTAAATCCTGAAATATTTTCATTAAAGATACATGAACACCTTATAAGTTAATCCCGAATAACGAGGTGAAAAACGAATAACAAACAGCTCGTTAATCGTTATTCGTTATTCACCACTTGAATAACAAACAGCTCGTTATTCGCTGCTTGAATAACAATGTGGATTGTTTTTCGTCTAAAGGTCGTTTTGCTGTGTTTTATACTACTGGGGGATACTTGGCATCCATCATTCTAGTCATGGCTAGCTGCATATTGGAATCCCGAATAGAAAGTTGAATAACGAATAACGAGGTACCTCATTATTCGCCAATAACGAGGCAAGTCACCTCGTTATTCGTTATTGGTGAATAACGAATAACGAATAACGAAAAAGGATTCAACTTCACACTGCCGTCTGCCCGTCACATTTTTTGGGACAAAATAAGTCTCCTTCTAAAGCTGGGTCCCCACTGTCGTGCGATGCGTTACGATAAGACTGTCCTTATTGATACGTTTCGATACGATCAAAACGATTGCGACGACTGACCAAAATATGTAAGTGCTGGGACGATCCCCACTAATACTCCACGATTAAAACCACGATTACAATCGTAGCCCGAATCGAGATAGTGGGAACCTAGCATTATATACAATACTATGCTTAAGCTAAACGGAAATAAACAATGTTATTGGTTGAGGCTTTGGGATACAGGAACTTCCTTTCTAATTGAGCTAGAATGGGGTTACCATTCGTAAGTTTTGAAACTATAACAATTCTAAGTCTCGATTTTTCAGCGTTGTCATGCGATTGCTCTAACAAGGTGTGATTACAAATTATTGGAAGCGAATTCCTTCAAATGGGCGAAAAGTGTAAATATATTAACACGTTACAAATCTTGGATTTTCCGTGGTTTTGATCGCGAATCATAAAGGAATATCCAGTATTGATGCACAATTGTTAAGCACACAAAACACGTTCTTAAAAGATATTGAAAATCTGGTGGTGGATTATTAATCGACATAAAAAGTTCTTTTTGGAGAAATGTTTTTGCAAGATTTGTATTTGGAGATTTGTATTTAGAAATTTTTTGTCCCAGGTTTGTTATTGTTGTATTTTTCTGAAGCAATGTAAATGTAGGCTAATTTTTGGTTTTTCTAAAATAAATTTTATCTTTATTATTATTATTATAATTCATATTCTATAGCGCTTCATTATATCCGGTGATTTTACAAATGTTAATTTTAGTATACAAATGTCGAAATACGACAACAAATGAAGAAGTAAGAATTAAGGACTATGAATTAAGAAATAATGCCTAAAAACACTGAATAAAGAGCTGTTTGGTCTTCCATACAATAGTAGTTTCGAAACATGCGAATGATAACCCTGATTCAAAAGGCAATATCTAGGTCAATATTAATTCTAGGGTCATATTACTATTACTGTTACCCAAAAAATTTGAACCAAAGATTTCCTTCTACACATAAGCTTCGGCTTCTAACATTGAGGCCAATTTTGGGAACAGACAGTGACGCATGTCCCGTATAATGCAGAGTTTCATTATCTTTAGAACACTTTATACCACACACGTCAACATAGAAACAAACTATTGTATTAAAACTATTAATCAGAAAAGGATCAATTGGATATGACGATTGATAAATTACCTGCTGTATCTTGATTATGATTAACAGTTTCAGTTGTTCCAGATTTATTATTATCTGTATAAGATTCCATGGATGGTTGATGTCTAGAATTGTCTTGATTTGTCGACTTTATTGTAATGTTAACCGGGTATGCAGGTTGTGTAACAACGTGTGTTCCTCGTTCTATGGTAGTGGTTGTTCGTCTGGTTGGTAATGCAATTGTGACTGAAAATCATTTTAATAGAGTAACTGAAGATTATGAACGGGAACTGAAGTGGTTTACACGTATATGATTTATAGATTTGCACATTTGGTAACCGACACTACAACATTATGTTTATTTGTGTGTTGGAATCAACCTAACTGTTAGGTATTATTACTTTATTCTAATTTATAAAATATAACATTACCTGTCAAACATCGATACCGTATCTTTGAGTATGTATAATTATCATAAGATCTGTTGTAATGTTCACCAATGTGCATGTTATTAACGACTTTGTGGCAAACATTAATGTATGGCTTGGGTGTTTGAAAGATGCACGTCTCATTCCCATCACACGAATCCACAAGATTTGATTTAACTGTACGGTTAAAGTCAAGAAGACAATCACAATATTTAGACAAATAATAACAGTAATTGCTACACGATGAAGATCTAAAACCATATTGACCGGAAATAATATTAATCCTTTCTCCTTCTTTACAAGATAGTTTGTGCTGAGATCTTTCATCGTCACGTGGTCCACTACAAGCAGAACTGATTTTTCCTGTTAAAGAGACAGATTTTAAACAGCTAATCGCGAAGAAATCAGGAAAGAAATATATTGATCCACCATTAATATGTAATTTAAAGGTTCATAAAAACACAACTTTATGGATATACAACTTCATATTTCATTACATGCAACAATTTTATACTCTTACTAGTAGATAGGCTAAGGAATGATTTCCACTAGAATCGTTCACTTCCTGAGTAGAGCATGCAACTTTGCACGGGGGTAATATAATATCCAAAGATCATAAAAAATGGATCCCCAAAAAATGAACCGCCCTGGTGGCCGCCATATTGAATTCCAAAATGTGTTAGTTGTGTTCTCCCATTTGCGGTTATTAATGATTTTAATGTTGGTCCACTACTACTTGATATTATATTATTTCGTTCTGTTATCATGTATGTTTTAGAATATCAACCTATCCCAGTGACTGTAATATGTGTCGCAAGTTTTGCGGAGTTTATGTAAAAGTTGCTTTACCACAAGAGTTAAACGTTTTTTGAAAGTAAGCTTCCACCAAAAGGCGATATCACAGACAAATAATTAATCATATTTTGTATTTGTATCTCGGTCCCGTGACTGATAACTAATGGCGGTATCTGTCTTGGCTTATCACGATTTAGTAAATATTAGTTTTATAATAGTTCTAGTATAATGTTAATGAAATGTCACCGAGTTCAGTGATTGATAACCAATGGTGGTATCTGCCTTGGCTTATCACGATTAGTAAAGATTAGTTTTATTTACATACCAGAAAGTTTAAAGATTATTCAAGAGCCCAATTTGCCTTCAGGACTATTGTTATATAAATTATTAATTAGATATTTATTAACGTGACAAGACCACAATCAACTCTCGATGCCATCGAATAATTGAAATTGTAACATAGGCCTGCAGCCAAAATTTCTAGATTGCTTAGAAACACATTTCCGCTACACGGCCCTCCCTACTATTGCAAGAACTACCAGCTCTTTATCTAAATCTTACATACTGTATCTTTAAAAGTACTCACTCAAATGTATAGCCTGTAACACATTATAATAATACGCATACCCTATTATATGTGCAAACCAAAAAGCCTACGTGACTTCAAATATACAGATATGTAATCGTGTACTGTTCATATCTGCCAACTTTTATCGTTTGGGCTACACATGTCATATCAACCAGAAAGTAAATTATACATATAGAATAGACAGATAATATTAAAATAGCAATATTGTTATTAATTTATGAAAACATTCTATATTGAATCTTACAAATATATCTCAAATACAACGTTTGAAAATCCAAATTCTTAAATGGGTTGCTATTATGTATAGTAAATACATAAACAATGGGTGTTATGCAATAATATTACAAAGTAGCAGAGCTTAAACTGTTAATATCCATATTCAACAATTAATAGGATTCAAGACTGATTAATGAATATTAACAGAGATTATTCTGGCTTGATTAGAAAGGGAGATTCACAAAATATCATATAAAGGGCTCTTTGGAAGATAACTATCTTATACTAATTCGCAGGAAGGGCGATAGGGTTGTTGTATATTAGGGTTGTTGCTCTTCGGGATAGTATATTAGTACACTCGGTATGGCTCTCCCATACTTTCTTAATATTTGTGAAGTACCGAGAATACTCTGGGTTTTCCTCATGACCTTTGTCATAATGCGTCATCATTTTAGTTTCTTTAACTTTAAAAACCTATACATCCCTTTAGACATGTTTATAATGAGCACTGTACACATAATTTCCAAAGGATTTCAGTTTCCTATCCTGGTTACTGAATGTGTTCGAAAAACACTTCTTTTCAATGAATTCGATTTTACCCATTAGCGTAACTGTTGCGGTATATTACATTCAAACTTCACAATTCGTTAATGGGTTAACTTCGAACTTCTAGTCGTGTACTTTCTAAATTAGTCCTCTTCATTTACACTTTGCATGTTTAGCAGAAACATCGAACAGATTTAGAATTGTGACACTTCCACTCAGCAATCATCATTATGAGGTCGTTTGGTGTCGCAACTGCGTGCTCAATTGAGTGAGTCAACCGGGAATATTACATTCGTATAAGTGACTCATGCATTCGGGGTTCTTCGTGTGGTTATTTGGTTGCACTATCTTAATTCTTTTATTTTTCGTACATTATTGTAATAATAATGTTTACTTGCATTGTTAGTTATATTTTCTGTCCGATGTCGCGAGTGAGCATATCAGTGTGTAAATAATGCAACTATAAATATCCAATCGATTAAAACACAGATCATATTTCGTTTCGTTTTTTATAGTTGGAAATTTCGTTTTACTTGTCTTCACAACACTAGGATCTGGAAGAGTTTTAATATAAGCCGCGTTCTGGTTAATGTGAGGGATTAGCCAATGAAACGGCATGTTATTGTTACGGCGAGTTCTTGGCGTTCGATACACGGAACTGTGAGTAAACCACTAGAAACGTCAACGTTGATTGATTAATTAATGTCTGACGTCATAGGGTCAAAAGCCGCTGGTATGAACTCTGACGCTACCTCAAACTACAACCGGTCAGATCTTCATGTAGTGTAGGCTATCGAAAGTATGCAAAAACGAAACGAAATATAGATCTGTATTGTAATCAGATTGATAAATATCAAATGTATCTAAACTTCATTGAGTTGACATTGTTTATCATGTAATTGAAATATACGACGACACAATGTACATTTGAAGATGTAAACTGGGGTAATATTTTTAAAAGTATATAACTTTGCGTCATCTGCAATTATCGCTAAAATATCAAATTTCTCACCGCTTAATCCACGCTAATATGTACCCAATCGGATTTGTTTATTTTTATTTTTTTTTAAAATGGCTAGCATTTCTGTTCGTCCAAAATAAAACAGCGACAGGCTTACTACATAACGCACAGACGGCATAGGTCGATGGAATTTCAATTTAACATAACTTTCTCTCTCAAAACTAAGGGTTGTACAAATGTTAAAATTCAATCGTTATTAATTTCGATTCGGCACTATTCGGGATGTTCAGTGGCGAGGGATAAGTATTGGTTATGACGGGGGATTATCAGCCCCACTGTTGGCTTGTTTTAAAGGACTTTTACTATAATATTAATAAAATAAGAGTATCCACGTTAATACCAACCCACAATATATATGGTCGATCATTTGACATACATAATCATCAATATTTCCTTTGTATATCATAGCCTCTAGTCTTATTTTTTTATACAAAAACAAACCTGTAACCCCTTCTGTATAATCAATATAAACAGTTTAAATATTAACAAACCTGCAGTCATTGGTAGCAGAAGAAATACAGCAAATATGGTGTTCATATTCCGTGATTCTGCAACAAATTCAATTTGTAGATTACATAGCAAAATAAATTAATAATGGCTCAAATATATAGCATGTTACACATTTACATGACTTCAACTATACATGTATGCTATCGTGAACTGTTCATGCATAACAACCTGTTTTTTATCGTTTGAGTTAAACACGTCTTATCAACTAGGAAGTAAATTACACACTATGGAATGAACAGATAACGTAGTGTTAAAGTAGGAATACTTTTATTATTTTATCAAAGCATACTATTGTATGGTGGCTGAAAGCGTCCATTTAGATCGGCGGGTTTCTAGATACAACGCGAGAGTCGCCGTTAAGCCAGCACGACGAAAAAGGCGCCGATCGGCGACTTTTTCGTCGTACTAGCTTAACGGCGACCCGCGACTTTCACAACACGAGAGTCGCCGTTAAGCCACGCGACGAAAAAGTCGCCGAAAAAATCGGCGACTTTTTCGTCGCTCTGGCTTAACGGCGACTGTCGCCTCGGAAGTTTATAGTTAGTTACATGCGCAATGGCTACATTTTACGCACACAGATCACCAAATATTTCTACGCCGTCGCCCACCAATGTAGGGCGAAAGTTATTTTTAGTCTTTCTCTCCCTTCCCTTTTCCCCCCTTTTGCATGGCGATTTTTGGTGTAGAATCGAAGAAAGGGGATTGAAAATAGATTGTCTGCCAGGTTTTGGTGAATATTCATGATTTTGAGAGGTCGGTTAGGTTGAAATGTAGGGCCGAAAATTGCATGTTTACTTGTCTCTACTTCCAGCTTGTGTATTTCAAGTTTTTCATGGTGAACCTCATACATGCTTTTGTGCAAGAGTTTGCCACATGTTGCTCCATCTGTGGCAGAAAGCGTTCTACCCAACGAAACTTTGGGAAAAAGTTAGAGCCGGTCTAAGATACGAGAATTAACATTAAATCAATGGGGAAATATTTAAATCTAATTTCAGTGTAACTAAACATGTTTTGAAAGTACACGTGTCTGTAACACTCATCAATTTTAATTTGCCCTAGTGTCACTGAAAATGTTGATATGGCTCGACAGCCCAAACTCATCCAAAATCTCCTCCATTCTGATTTTATATACAAGAAGTAAAATGTAGCCATTGCGCATGTAACTAACTATAAACTTCCGAGGCGAGAGTCGCCGTTAAGCTAGTACGACGAAAAAGTCGCCGATCGGCGCCTTCATCGTCGTGCTGGCTTAACGGCGATTCTCGCGTTGTATCTAGAAACCCGCCGATCTAAATGGACGCTTTCAGCCACCATAGTATTGTGTTCATCTACAAAGTTTGTGAAACTCTTACAAACCTACAAATTTCTCAAATGAAAGTTTTGAAAACTTCAATCCTGAAATTGATTGGCTAAAAAAATAACTTTTATTTATAGTGCCGTAATAGGGTTATGTAAACAATTGCCATATAGTGTAAGTAACGGAGCTTAGACTATTAGAATTTTGAAGAGGCGAAAAGTAGAAATTATGAATGGTAGTTATAGGCTTCGATAGTATAGTGATATGCATATTCAGCAACGGGTGGTTGGTTGGCCGAATGGTTAGCACGTGCGCGCTGTATCATAAGGCCTGTCATTGAGTCAACTGGCGTGGTTTCGATTCCCCGGTTTACGTGACAAGGAGTGGGGTCGCATGTCCAACCTCATGGGTTTTCACCGGGTCCTCCGGTTCCCCCCCCCCACTGCTAAAAGCCCCTAGGCCCAAGCGAATTATTGAAATAAAATTGAACCATGTGTTAGTCCAAAAATGACCTAGTTTGCGTCGAGTGGACGTTAAATCGCATCTCTCTCTCTCTCTCACTCTCTCTCTCTCAACAATAAAGCGATATCAGAGAGAAATAAATAACCATTACAATGTTTGTCTTTATATCTCGACCCTGATAACCAATGGTAGTATCTACCTTGGCTTATCACGATTTAGTAAAGATTAGTTTTATAATAATTCTATTATAATATTAATGAAATGTCACCGAGTTCTTTTATAGGAGAATTATGGCAGATTAGATAAAGAGATGGCAGTTCTCACTATAATAGTTAAAAACTAGAAAACTAGATAATGTAAAGGGAATATGCTGAATATTTCAGTCAAATTGCTTCAAACTGAACCGAGATATTAGCGACCGAATTTTAGGCCTAGCCTCGATCATCATTACTAAAGTCGGTACGATAATAACATAGTCTCGATTATCTGTTTTTTTTATTTAAATCATCCATGAGCGTTGAGCAGCAGATTGGATTCAAATCCTGTGAAAATCCGACTCCTAAGATGGCATCGAGAGTTGGTCATGGTCTTTTCATGTTAATAAATGTTTAATTAATAGTTTATATAACATTGCAGACTTAATGAAAGACCTGCAATGGGCAGATTTAGCTCTGGCTTAAGGTATGTTTAAGGAGAACATTACGAGAATCCACTCAAATGCCAGTCCACAATATGTATAGTCAATCATTTGGAAATACAGAATCATAAATGATATTAGAAATAGTCTATAGCTTCTGTATAATTAATTTAAACAGTATTAATATTAAAAAACCTGTAGCCATTGAAGGGGGTTGGATGGCTGAATGGTTAGCGTGCGCGCGCTGTATTATAAAGTCTGTCATTGAGTCGACTGGCGTGGTTTCGAATCCCCGGTTGTACGTGACAAGGAGTAGGGTCGCCTGTCCAACCTCGTGGGTTTTCCCCGGGTCCTCCGGTTTCCCCCCACTGCTAAAGACCCCTACGCGCATGCGAATTATTGAAATAAAATTAACCCATATGTTAGTCCCGAAATGACCTAGTTTGTGTCGAGTGGTTGTTAAATCCCATTTCTCTCTCTCTCTCCCTATTAGAGATTCAACTTTCACAATAATGTAGTTTGCAAGTGATTCACATACTTCTGCCGTCTTCATTGAACCATTTTAGACTGACATTCCTATTAAAAATTCATTGTTTACAATATTGTAGCTTGCAAGGGATTCCTTTTACTTAAATTGGACCTAAACATTGACACAAATGGGCCGCAACGCATATAATAATGTAATATGAATGTATATAAACTGATTTACATTCAATCGTTTCTGATTTTACTGTAATTTATAATCAGTTAGGTTCGGCGAATTACGCCAGAAGTCTCAATCGAATGACAATCTCTAGCGTCTGGTTATTCCAGTCTACACGATAGTATTTATTGCGTATGCTCTCCAGATTAGAATATGACGTTACCTTTTGACGTTACCAATGGTAAAATGTTTATTTTGTTTTAAATATTGGATATCAGAAGCACATCTTTTCCCGGTAAGATCATAACATCAATGTTGATTTAAATTGACAAATAATTCGTGTTTTCAACGTGTAAGACTTTGAAAGATACTGAGTTAGAGACTTAGCTACTTTAAATATAAGGTATGTAATGCAACGTGTTAGGTAAAAATCATATATCATTATTCAACAGTATTCACGTTAGACCACTGGGTTGTGTATAATGCAAACGGCAAGATAGTTGTATTAGACTGTGTGCCAAGTGCTTGATATTCTACAATGATTAATTTGATTTGATCATGGCTTTATAGTGGACTGTATTTGTCTGTTAATTGTTATTTCCTCGTCATTAAAAATATCTTAGTTTGAAATGAAACTGATTGTATACAGATTCTAGTTTTTGGGGTTTTTTTTTCTTTAATAACGAACGATTCATGATTTAAGAAATAGCCCCAGTCATAATTTAAGAAAGTTATTTCCATCTAATCACAGATGGAATGCCTTGTCAAATCCCGATTTTTAGTACCATTATGTTCAGATTTCAAATCTCGCAGTAATCATTTCATTTATGGCCACTGGCAACGGTCTTGAGATCCTCCATACATTATATGGTTACATATAGTTTGTCTCGTACTATTCCCCATATTTGTAACACTATTAGTGATAACAGAATATCAGTTTTGTATATATAAAATTCATTTACACCAGGAACAAGAATATAAAACAGGAACATTAACCGAACAGGAACATGAACCAAACAGGAACTCGCCATAGCTAAAATATTTTTAAATATTTAAAAACACGAAACCTCACACATCATGTAGATTACTTACGACAGAATTCTTATGAGGAGAATCGAAACCATGACCACAGGCATGACACCTTTGACATTTGGAATTCGATATAAAAGTAGGACGTAGCTCCGCTGTCTGTGCAAAATCTGCCACATACCTCACTGCATGATGTATGCCCGTCTAAAATAGCCCTTTCATTTCCATCCATTTCACGGGGCCATACTATATACCGGAAAACACCAGAAAACAACCGGAAAACATCGGAAAACACCATTTTTTACTGAATACCGGAAAACACCGGAAAAACACTAAATACCGGAAAACACCGGAAAAACACTAAATACCGGAAAACATTCTAAATACCGGAAAACACCCTAAATAGGTAACCCGGAGCCTGGTCCTCTGTATGCGGTTTTGGACCAAATGAGCGCCGATGAAGGAAGGTCAAGGTCATTACGATGTTCGTTTTACAAATAGCCCCCCCCCCCCCAAAAAAAAAAAAAATTCTGATTTTTTTTCTCCAAAATTTTGTTGATGCCTATTATGTTTTGAATGTTTTAACAGACGCAATCAGTCTACCTCCATCATTGACCATATTATATTTTGTATTTTAATTTTAGTTTTCAGTAAATTTCAGTAGATTTCAGTATTTCAGGAGATTAAACACTGCCCTCGGAGGCCCGCATTATATGCCGGTTGCGCCGGTCTCCTGATTCTTACCAGTAACGCTGGCATTAGGGTGGTACGAATTAGTGGAAGGCACGACTAGGCCAACTCCTCCCTAGGTAACAAAAAATCGCACCATAAAACAGCAAGTATCATCAAAAGCGAGTTAATAAATCTCTGAATAGTTCGAGTTGAAGTTCCAGGTTTAACCGCTATGTGTCCTAATCACCAAACGAAATGGATGCCACGCAATTCTCGGACAGGCTGTAATCTGAAAAGTGTCTATCCTTTCCAAGAGCTATCCATCTCGTTGGAAGGGCTAAAAATCTACTTGTTTCTGAGCTTACTTTCATTCCAGGGTCAAATATAATCACTTGAACCATAATAATATTCAACATATTCCATCATATTCCGAGGGCCGATTACAGGATTTTTTTCTGGATTACTTTTTTAGCTTTTTTCCCCAACTTATTGACCAGTTTTCCTTGAGAAAACCCCAACTTTCGCCCATTTGTCCATGAGAAAACTACATATTCTATCTTACTGCTTTGACGGAGGCTACTTTCGCTCCGAGAATCTCAGGCAACAAATCTGTTTTATGTACTACTATCGTAATAAAACATTACTATGTTAACCACTTCCTGGTGGCTGAAGATTTACACCGAATGCGAATCACTTGAACCATAATAATATTCAACATATTCCATCATATTCCGTGGGCCGATTACAGGATTTTTTTCTGGATTACTTTTTTAGCTTTTTTCCCCAACTTGTTGACCAGTTTTCCTTGAGAAAACCCCAACTTTCGCCCATTTGTCCATGAGAAAACTACATATTCTATCTTACTGCTTTGACGGAGGCTACTTTCCCTCCGAGAATCCCAGGCAACCAATCTGTTTTATGTACTACTATCGTAATAAAACATTACTATGTTAACCACTTCCTGGTGGCTGAAGATTTACACCGAATGCGTATTCGGAAAAAAATGTCCCCGAGAAAATGTTTTTTCAGACAATCGATATTCGAGATGTCTTCTGTTGCACAAATTATGCTGCACTGTGTAAGAACTTGCATCCTTTGATCTGAAGATTGTAGATGGAAAAGTATCATTTGCACTATTTCAAAGTAAACCTGCATTTTCGTATATCATCCCGTAATTTGTGATTAATGACAATGGCTGTGGAAATAATATGGTTGAGGAACGGAAGATCTATGTTCGTCACGTGACTGGACAATTCCACCCCCGTCCCACCCTGACGATGATCCCTCCCGGAGCGGCGCGCTCTCTAAAAAAATCTCGGGCACAGTTTACTCTTCTAAGTTTTCCGGTAGCTATTTAGTAACCCGGAGTTTGGTTCTCGTGTGTGGTTTTGGACCAGGTGAGCGCTGATGAAATAAGTTCATAAGCGAGCGATCGCCTACGGTCAAAGAAAAAATTATTTTCAGATTTCTTTTAACAATTTCTTCTCCCAAATTTCTCTGTAAAATTATTTTCTACAGAATGTTTTTTTGTAAAACCAATTTTTCGGAAAAATTCGAATTTTGGGGGGTGGGGGGGGGGCTATTTGTAAAACGAACATCGTAATGACCTTGACCTTCCTTCATCGGTGCTCACTTGGTCCAAAACCGCACACAGAGGACCAGACTCCGGGTTACCTATTTAGGGTGTTTTCCGGTATTTAGGGTGTTTTCCGGTATTTAGGGTGTTTTCCGGTGTTGTCCGGTATTCAGTATAAAATGGTGTTTTTCGGTTGTTTTTCGGTGTTTTCCGGTTGTTTTCCGGTGTTTTCCGGTATATAGTATTGCAGCTTACCGTTTAAATATGAAAACAACAACAGTGAAGATAAATATGACCAGAAGAATACACCACACGACAATTTCAGCAATAACAGCCTTATCTACAAAACATATACATGTATATCAGTATAATTACAAGAAATGAAATGAAAGGAAATGAAATGGGATTTAACTCCTACTTTTTTGCTCCGAATTGGGCTAATAAAGACGGACATGCGCCATACAGTGTGCTATGAGGGAAATTTTGCACGGACTGCGGTACTACGGCTTACTCTTATATTGAATTCCAACTGGCAATGGATCTTTTACGTGCACGCCAATGTGTACACGGGATCTCGGTTTTTCGTCCCATCCGAACGACTAGACAGCTTTCCTTGTCAGCCCCTCTGTCCTGCATCACTGACAAGGGAGAACCACACCGGAAAATCTGGATGAACTTTCTCGGCCAATGCAGGGATCGAACACCCGACCTCCAGGCTAGCGACCCTGCGTCTTACCCACTTAGCCACCGTGATCCCCAATATAATAACAACACTGCGTAGTTGGAGTATACAGAGAGGTAGACTTTCACCAGTATTATGAGATTCTACCTGTAAAACTAAGTTGTCCAATCCGGGGCTGATGTAACCCAAATCTGTTTGAATTGTGATACGTTTCTTTCCAAATACCAAACAATTTGAACCTGGACTTTCGGCGTCTTATATCGGGGTCAATTTAAAAACAGATAGTGAGGGATGTTGCACGTAAGGGGAGAACGCTAGATCGGAGACAATCCTGCACATTTTAGTACATATGACGTCACATGTGGATTGTGGGTTTGAGTAAGTGTGAGGTTATTCAGATTTCATCAATGTCTCGAGATGTAATTGTCACGGTAAAGGTTAGGCTTGCCCAGGGTCAGGGTTTGGGTTAGCGCTAGCCCTAACGCACAATCCACATTATGACGGCATGTGTGCAGGGCCGTCTCCGATCTAGCGTTCTCCCACATTATTTTAGAACATTTTATACCACACACGTCAACATAAAAAACAAACTTTTGTATTAAAACTATTAATCAGAAAAAGGACAGAATATGATATGAGAATTTATAAATTACCTCCGACATCTTGATTATGGTTACCAGCCTTTGCGTTGTTTATTGTATATAAGACAGCTTCTGTTCTTCCAGGTTTATTTTCATCAAAATAAGATTCCGTGGATGACCGAGGTCTAGAATTGGCTTGTTTAGTCGACTTTATTGAACGTGTATCCGTATATACCTGGCGTGTTATTATTAAGGCGTGTGTATCTTGTTCTCTTGTAGTCCTTGTTTTTATGGTTGGTAAGGTAGTTGTGGCTGAAAAAAAACAACATTTGGATACAGATTAAGGTTGTGCTTAGAACTGCACGGTCATATAAAGATAAGATTATTACAATAATTCATAGATGTTCACATCCAGTAACTGAAACTATAAAATAATATTTATTTGTATATTGCAATCAACCTAACTATTGGGATTCATTTTCATTTCATTTCGTTTAACGTCCGCTTCCACCGAGGGCGATATTCCAGACCAGATAAGTTATCTTATTTTTAGACTATTTTCATTATCTTAATTAACGCATCAACTGGGATCGTTCAAGCGGGAGGAAACTGGAGTAATCCTACGACGTTAAGAAGGCGCTCCCATCTCCAAGCCACACACGCTCACACCAGAGATAGAAACCACAAAGGAAAGTCAGTGGTGAACTAAGCTAAAGCTAGAAGCTAAATGTTACATCCTAAACATTCATACAGTATGTATAGCAATATGTATAATCATTATGTTATTTGCTAGGTTCCAAAACATTCATACAGTATGTATAGCAATATGTATAATCATTATGTTATTTGCTAGGTTCCTAAACATTCATACAGTATGTATAGCAATATGTATAATCATTATGTTATTTGCTTGGTTTCCTCCCACTGATAAAGACCCCTACGAGTTATTGAAATAAAAGTGAACCACACCTTAGTCCAAAAATGACATAGTTTATCTGGAGTGGACTTTAAACCACATTGCTCTCATTATTTCTCTATAACAAAGGTAAGCTTTACCTGTCAAACATTCATATTCTATGTAGGAATATGCATAATCATTATAGATGTCGCTTCTATTGTAAGACGTCTTTTTGTAGCAACTTTCATAATTTGGCATAGGTGTTCGAAAGTTGCATGTCTCCTTCCCATTACACCAATTCTTAAGGTACAAATCGACTGAACGATTAAAGTCAAAATTACAATCACAAAAATCAGAATAATCAGAACAATTGCTACTGCAACCATCATACTTAAAGCCATATTGACCGAAACTAATATTAATCCTGTCTCCATCTTCACAATATATGTTGTGCTCATCACTTGGTTCAGTACAAAAATACCACGGAAAACCTGTTAAAGAGATTGCATTAAACAATTATTCACTAGCCATCAGGGAAAACAATATTGATGATCGTATTGAGAAGTATATCTAAATGTGATATATCTTGTGGAACTCTTGTAAAAAAAGCTCCACAGATTTGCAGAATGTGATACTACACAGGACTATCAGGGGTTCTGAAATTGTTTTTGACATGTCCAATATCTTGTGTAACTATTGCGGTATAAAACACCACAGACCCAAAACACTCTATTAAAATAAGTAGCTGCTTTTAATTGAGGTTAAATGTTTAAAATTTGGTGTAGATTTGAATTTGAGAGACTGAATTCAGCGATTAACACTACGCTATCACATCGGTCAATACTTCGGCGCTCAGTGACGTCGATTCTAATTGGGAGACAGCGACGAAACGTGTAGTTTCAACACATCATAACCTAGATTAAGTTCGATCTGGAATATTTTCTGCTTGTACTAAGTGTAGATTACGACGGGGACACCTGTCTTAGTGAAGGCTTGTTTTAAAACAATTTTAGTGAAATATTAATGAAATTGCACCGATTTTTTATAAACACGTTTAAGGGTATCCGCGTTAATACCAATTCACAATCTATACGGTCAATCATTTGATATACTTAATCATATATATTTTATTTGTATATCGTAGCTTAATTAATTAAATAACTGTACTCTCCATAACTTCTGTATAATCAATATAAATAATATTGACAAACCTGTAGTCATCGATATGACAAGAAACACGGCAAATATGTTTTCCATGGTCTTTGATTCTGAAACAAATTCAGTTTGTATATTACATACTAAAATGTTGTTAACAATGGCTTGCATTTATAGCTCGTAGTACATTATAACAATATACATACTCCTATTATCACAAAGAGTTCGTGTGACCTCACATAAACATGTACTTTTTAACCAGGGTGTAACTGACACGTTGCAGAATAGACAGATAATGTTAAAGTAGCAAGTAGCAATATTGTTATTAGTTTATAAAAGAGAGATAGAGATGCGCTTGCGCATAGGGTCTTTAGAAGTGGACGAAAACCAGAGGACCCCGAGAAAACCCACGAGGATGGACAGGCGACTCTACTCCCTGTCACGTACAACCGGGGAATCAAAACCACGCCAGTTGCCACAAAGACAGACCTAAACAGACCTACAAATGTTTTGAATCGCTTACAAATCCACAAAATTCTGAAATACAGCTTTTGAAAACTCTAATTCTTAATTTGGTTGTTAATATTAATATAACGTGTATAGTGACATCGAGTGATACAAACTGGACATTGTTCAAATATATTACAAAGTAGCAGAACTTAAACTGTTAAATATCGAAATTATTATTCATATTCAACAATTACTATGATTGAAGGCTGGTTAATCAATGAAAACAAATTAGTCTGGTTTCAATAGACGTAACGTCTCTTTAATATAGATGTTGTTGATATTAACATCTCTCATCCACTTAATTTAAGTGGTCGGTATTGGCAATAAAACTTTTCAAGTGTAAAGACAATAACCCAGTTATTTTTAAATATTTAAATTCTGTTATTTATACTTATATTCATTAATCTGATATTTGTCTATACGGAATCGGCTTCTTTATAAGTTATATAACATACAGTAAATATGTGCTCCTCTACATTGCAGAATTGAATGGATTTGAATTGCGATATAATAGAATTCATAGAATATAATATAGTATTATTGATGGGTTTATGATGGTAAAACTTGAAAAAAAAAACAGAAAAGGGTTTGGTGATGGGTTTGCTATAAATAGGGAGCAACGGTGGTTAAGTGGGTAATACGCCTGGAGGTCGCGTGTTCGATCCTGCATTGGCCGAGAAAGTTCATCGGGATTTTCCGAGGTAGTTTCCTCATGTCAGTGGTGCGGGACAGCAGCTGTCTAGTCGTGCGGATGGGACGAAAAAGCGAGTCTCCTGTACACATTGGCGTGCACGTAAAAGATACCCTGGCAGTTAAAATTCGATATGAGAGTAGGCCATAATGCCGCTGCCCAGGCAAAATTTCCCTCTTAGCACACTGTATGGCGTTTACCCGTCTTCATTAGCCCGTTAAACCCCATTTCATTTGCTGTAAATACATCTTTATCCTGTACAACATTTGAGTTAATAGCTTAGTATACTCTGTCTGGCCCTCCTGTACATGTACGTATTATGAGTGTAGTACCAGAAACCTATACATCCCTTTAATTCCTGGGGTCGCGAAGCACTTTTCGTGGGGTCGTGGCGCACTACTCTGAAACTTTTGAAAACATGCCATGTTTTCCGGCAAAGCATATAAATCATTGATCTAGAAACCTCTTGTCACATTGCCAATCGCCTTTCCTCGTCTCACACCCACGATTTGTTTCTTCAGTCTCTTATTACAACATTTTAATCTGTAAATAATAATGAGGTTTCATGGTAAAAAGTGACTTTTTCTTGGAGCTGTCGAGATCAGATGATGGTTGCTGAAATGGGGTCGCAACCAACAAAAGGTTGGGAACCACTGAGCTATCGTATTGTGTTTGGGGGACACTTAATGATAAGAAACATTGAATAATAAAAAAGATACAGCTTTAATGAAAACAATAACATTTAAAAGTGCGGCGTTTCAGCAAGTATGCTCGTGTCGATATCAAGCGCAAGTCAAACAATAATATAGTACCAATATAAGATAGTGAACATTTAAGTATACAATAAATTGGAAACCACAAAAATCAATGAAAGATGCCGTATTTCGCTGGACATAACTGATTTCAAATTAGAGTCAATTCATAAACAATTGAGTGTAAATCCGTTTATATGCAATCAGATTACATTATTATATGCGTTGAGACCCATTCTAGGTCCTAAATATTAGTGATTTAGCTCCTTTAAAGGATTTATATCTAGCGACGTTTCGACGAGGGTTCTCCCGTCTTTATCAGGGAAAGAATGACAACAATAGTATAACAATAAAGATATATATATACAAAATATGGAACCAAAAACAAACATTTATATATTTATATACAATCAGAGATAATCATTTAGAAACCATCAAAGGGGGTGGGAAGACATAAAGGTTTGGTAGTAGTGAACAATGTACAAAAAAAACATGATAATAGAGATGGCTCTGCTTACATAGGAGGACAACACTAAGAGTCCATAATCATTGTACAGCAGCCATGGTGTGAATATAACATCAATTATCATACAATTCCGTTTAGTATAGGGTACGCCACATTCCCCAAACTATGCATGTATATAATTCCATGGTTATATTGTGATTAGAAACATGGAGGCAAGCCATTTTATTTACTTTCAACTATCGCCATATAAAATTTAACAAATATAATTGTAATAACATATGAGCATTACGTGGGCAATAATATATGATAAATAATAAAGCAACTTATATTTTACTTTCAATTATATATATCTGCCACTGTCGTTTGTCAGTTCAGGGTTGACAGCAGCAATAGGACTGTCCCAGGGCAAACATTCGGGTTTTAGAGCAGCGAGATACGCCTGGTGGCTTAATTGTCTCTATCAATTCTGATGTTATTCTACATCGGTTTCAGGAAATCCCTACAAAAAGCTAGTCACCATATAAAGGGGACAGTCCATAACTTTATACTTTAATTTAAAAAAAATGAAATGAAATGAAATGGGGTTTAACGTCCTACTGTTCTGCTCCGAACTGGGCCAATGAAGACGGGCACACGCAATACAGTGTACTATGAGGGAAATTTTGCCCGGACAGTGGCACTATGACCTACTCTTATATCGAATTCCAACTGTCAAGGGATCTTTTACGTGCACGCCAATGTGTACACTGGACCTCGGTTTTTCGTCCCATCCGAATGACTAGACAGCTGTCCTTGCATCACTGACAAGGGGAACCACGCCGGAAAATCGGGATGAACTTTCTCGGCCAACGCACTTTAATTTCAAAATAACCTATATTAGTATTATATTAGACATAATAAACATTTTATATTTTACTTTCAATAATATATTGAATTACAATTATAGCTTACTTCCAGTTATGGCCATGTCAACAAACTATAACAGTAATATTTTAAACTAATATTAATGAAAACATGTATAACGACATACGCCCCTGCTACTGAAGACGGAAAAATATTATAACATTTTATATTTTTTACTTTTTATATTCATAGACACGTGAAATGAACAAACTATTACTTCAATATATAGTCTTCAAAAAAGTAGGGGATATTGAAATGCAAATACCTATGCAGGCTGTGATATGATAAATAGTCATGACACTTGACATGCTTTGAGAGTATGTTCACAGATGAAGAACTTATCGCCCCAACAGAACCACTGAGCTGCACATGCGACACACAATAGCGCCATACACGTGGGAGGGGTTCAATGTCAAATTTGACACTTCAAGGAAGGGTTGATGAAAACTGCCACGACGAATTGCTGAATGTTTGAGGATTGGTGGAGCAATTACTCATTATTAAGACAAAAATCAAAAACGTCGATTTTCACTTTTGACGGTGTATCTCTTTGCGAGTGAAATGGGGCCGTCAAATAAGCCGCCCATATGAACTGTTTATGTTCATGTGTAGGCAATTGGCCTGTTATTAACATACACTGGTTACCTCTAATAAAAACAGCAGTGCATTTCCGCAGATTTGTATTATTTCTGAATATCCCCTACTTTTTTTGAAGAGTATAAATATATAAAAAACATGTCACCAGTTATCAAAATGAAATGAAAAACTATAATTTCAACAAAATGAAAAAAAAAATGTCATTATGTATCTCCATATAAAAATAGACTATATTAAAAATAATAAAGCATTTTATATTTTAATTTCAATTACTACCTGGGATGAGGTAGTAGAGCACGATACACTCGACTAGAATGTCATGGTTTGTACGTTGTACACAGTGGTTTATCATGGACAAACTATAATTATACCGAATAACAATACTGAATAATGTTTGTTAGCAATTGTATGAACATTAGTTCTGAAATTACCCACAAGTTTGATGACCCGAAATGGGAATATTTTCATAGTTAGATTGTTGTTCAGAAATATTGGAGTTATCTCCCCTTCATCGTCAGCTATCTCGTACTAAACAGCATCTGGTGCTTGTTCAGTCCGGACATGTAAACCGCTATTTTTAGCTAGTTCGTACGCTACAATGTCGTTGGAATCGGCTTTATTTACCACGTGTTCATTAACATTATCAAGATGGCGGTAGCTATCACCAGTCCTCTCGTTGGTTATGCCCCCTATATGGTTGTAGTCCTCATTGGAAATCTCAATCTTCTTGTTTTTGTCTAGGTGGTTATAATAAGCCTTTGGAATCTCATTCTTTACGTCACCAAGATGGTTGTAGTTAGCATTGTAAACCTCTTCTGAAACGCTGTTATGACGTGCTAAACCATTCAGATGATTGTAATCTGAATTGTGTGTCTTAAAATTCACCATACCAAGATGATTATATGCTCCACCCGACTGTTCATCGACAGGAGGACTGTTGTTATTAGCATGTAAATGGTTGTAATCACCACCCATTTGCCCCATGTGGTTATACGTGTTACCGGTTGCCATTGAGTTATCCTTATTGATAGCATGTAAATGATTTTTAACGTCTGATTTAACCACGCTTACAGATGGAGAATTATCGTTCCTTGAAATAGCACTATTGTAACCACGGCGTGGTGCTTCATTTTCTAGATTGCGGACTCTTGACCTGTGTTTGTCCCTAATTTGTTTTCTGCAATGAAATATAAAGCAAGTCTGTAACAAACAGATGTGTAAAATAATTAAAGAGCAGTATAGACGTTCACTGATTATACATATCTAATAGAATTGGGTCAACAAATTGTAACTATAGTGGAAATAATGCGAAAAGGAAATCTATTGTTTTAAATAACTGACTAGAGACCGGCAGTACTTCCTCTGAAGACGACAAATAGTGACGTGGATTGTCTACAGTACAACAAACATGTTAGTCACTCGCCCATAATCGTTGGCGAATTGTACACTGCCATTACTGTCGACGATTTTATAACATTTTTTTTTAAATGTCCGACCAACCTATTGGGTTAGTGACTTTAGAATTATAAAAATATTAACCTTACCGTTTTAATAGGATACAAACAGCAACGGAGGAAAATATCAAAAAGATAATTGTCAAGAAGCTTACAGTAAAAACAGGCTCATCTACAATATCTACAAAACATATATATCACTATAATTATAACACTTATCAACGCCGAACAGTTGTAGTATACTTATCATTGGGGTAATAAACGCAATGCACCAGTGCCTTGTAAAAATAAAGAAGCATGTTGTCAAGTGGCAATCAAACGCTATTGGTACTATTTGAGAGAGAGGAAACGTTGCATATTTAGGTAGACTTTAATCAGTATTCTGAGATTATATGTTGCTAGAAAAACAAAGTTGTACAGTTTGGGTCTGTAGTAATCCAAATCAATTTGAATAGCGATATGTTTCATTCCAACAAATATAAACCGAAATTTCCTTCAACCTAACTATTAGTTATGGTGTTGTTGTTCATGGTGTTTAACGTCCTCTTGTACCGAGGGTGATATCGCAGACACGTTTATCTTATATGTAGGTTATTTTCTGATCGAAACCACGGCCGTATGGTAAAGGTGACCGGCAAGCTAGAGCTCGAAGCTAAATGTTACCTCCCAAACATTCTTACAGTATCTAAGAATATGTATAATCCTCCCACTGATAAAGACCCCTACGAGTTATTGAAATAAAATTGAACCATACGATAGTCCCAAACTGACAGATTTTGTGAGGTTTGGACGTTAAACTCCATTTCTCTCATTATTTCTCTATAACAAAGTTAAACTTTACCTGTCGAACATACATACTCTATGTAGGAATATGTATAATTATCATAGTATTTACTTATATTGTAGCAACGATCATAATATGAGTTTGGTGGTCGAAAGCTGCATGTATTCTTCCCATTACACGAATTTATAAGATCTGACTCGACTGTACGATTAAAACCTAAACTACAATCACAATATCTAGACTGATAAGAACAATCTCTGCTGCACAAGTCCGATGAATATTTGAAGCCATAGAGACCCCTAATAATGTTAATCCTACTTCTTCTTTTACAAGATAGGCTGTGCTGGCCACTTTCATCACTTGTTCCCTTACAAGCATAGCTGTCCAATCCTATTAAAAAGATTGATTTTATACAATTACTCACGAGCCATCAGATAAAGAAATATTTACTAATGAACATATGTAATAACAAGTATATCTAAATTAAGTGTTAATATTAGATTTGTATAATATTAATGAAGAATTTTCGGAGTAAAAGTTTAAAATTATCCACTCAAATACCAATCTACTGTATATATGATTAATCATTTGAAATTACAGAATCATAAATATTTCTTATGTATATCATATCTTTTTATGTTATGAGGAATAGTCCATAGCTTCTGTACAACAGTTTAACAATTAACAAACCTGTACTCATTGGTAGCAGAAGAAACACGGCAAATATTGTGACCATTTTACTTGATACTGCAACAAATTCAATTCGTATATTACACAGCAAAATATTAAAAATATTGACTCGAATTTATAGCCCATAACACATTATAACACTATACATACCCCTGTTGGCTGTTATTATATACGTAAAGAAGGAGTTCACCTGACTTCAAATAGTCTACAGATACGTTATTGCTTATTGTTCGTGTATAACGAGGAAATAAATTACACATATCAAATGAACAGAAAACGCAATGTTAAAGATACATTAGTTAAGAGTTTAATAAAGAGTTGGCCATTCTTGCTATAATAATTCAGAAATAGATGATAAAATAAGAAAATGTTGAAAATTTCATTCAAATTACTTCATTCTCAGCCAAGTTATCATTGTTTGTAGTTTTGACAAGATGTATGCACAGCGATAACCACGGCACTGGTATAGTCGGGTCTTAGCCCCGCTTTTCCATTTTTAAATTAATTTTTTAAATGGCGAACCGTTTCAATCTAGTTAAAATCTCGAGTATGCGATGCCATCGAGAGTCGATTATGGTCTTGTTTTGTTAATAAATATAACATTTCATGCCTAAAGAAAGACCTGCAATAGGCAGATTTAGCTCTTGCATAATGTATGTTTAAAGTAGGAATATGTTTATTTTTTTACAAAAACATGCTATATTTTGGGCATCTACAAATTATTGATTTTTCTAAACCTCCCTGTTTCCCAAATACAAAATATGGAAACTCTAATTCTTGATGCTACGAAGATAACTTCTGTGTATAGTAATCGACGTTATCGAATGATAAATAATACTTGTTATTCAATAGCAGAGTTTAAGCTATTAGAATATCTACATATTTCATCCCTTCAATTTAATGCTTCTAGTCTAAACATTTTGTCGCCTGTCCAATCTCATGGGTTTTCTCCGGGTCCTCCGGTTTCCTCCCACTGCTAAAGACTCCTACGCGCAAGCGAATTATTGAAATAAAATTGAACCATGTGTTGGTCCCGAAATGAGCTAGTTTGTGTCGAGTGGACGTTAAACCCCATTCCTCTCTCTCTCTCTCTAAACATTTTATAATGAACACTGCACACATCATTATCAAATGATTTCAGTTCCCTACCCTGTATACTGAATGTGTTTTTAAAATATAATTTCGTTTCAATGTGTATTAGCGATTTTATCTCTAGTAAATTACGGCGGTATAGTATATTATTATGAATTCTAATCGTCTAACTTCTACATGTAATTTCTAAATTAAGACAATGTATAATCCGATATCTTTATTTGTTAAGCATCAATATTTATTCTATTTCATCTTATTCCTATTATTAAAATGAAAAAAAAAGTCTTCTTCATTGGTGCTTTTCAGATTTAGCATGAACATCGACAAAGTTAGGAGTGTGCCACTCCCACTAGCAATGAGATCGCTTGGTAGCACAACTGCGTGCTCAATGCAGTGAGTGAACAGATCGGAAACCTTACACTGATATTATAGCGACTCATGCATTCCGAGTTCTTCATCTGGTTAATTGGTTCATTTATTTGTTGTACAAATTTACCTTAATATAATAACATGTACTTACATTGTTAGCTATATGTGCTGCCTGATAATCTTTCGATGTGTGAATATCTACAACCATAAATATCAAACTTTATCTATTCAACTTCCTTTATTTTTACATTTACAAGGATATAAATTCAATATACTATGACGTAGTTATGCATTTGAAGATGTAAACCGGGGTAATATTATTTAGAGTAACAGTGCGTCGTCTGCAATTTTCGCTAAAATTTCAAATTAAATTTCTCACAGCTAATTCCACGCTGTTTGATTAGTAGTCCGTAGTACCTCTGTCCGGGCAAAATTTCCCTCATAGCACACTGTATGGCGTATGCCCGTTTTCATTAGCCCAGTTCGGAGCAGAACAGTAGAACGTTAAACCCCATTTCATTTCATTTCATAAAACATGATCATAATAACCTACCGGCTTATAATAATGAACGGCATAGATCGATGAAATTTAAATTCACTTTGTAAATACTGGAGGGCATTGAATCATTTCTGGACTGATATTCCTACTAGAGATTCATCTTTCACAAGGGATGCATTTTGCTTAAATTGACGCATCGAGACTTTAATTTTATCTAACTATTACTCAAATTGTGTTGACCTGTTTAGATAAACAGGTGTTAAATATGAATTATGTTATACAACGTGACAGGTAAAAATCATATATCATTAGAGACTTTTGCCGATCGGAATTTGTCCCACCTGTATGATATGTTGCATCAATGTACGCTCGTAGTTTTAGAGTTTTGGCAGATTTTCGCGCCGCGTACGTATGAGTTGAGATTTTCACCATTGTGGCGCTTTTTCAATGATAAAATTCCAGTCATGTTTTACCACATCATGTATACACCTTCGTGTTCTATACACCTCGATTCATAAAGATGCTATGACACAACATTTCAGCGCCTAAAAGTAGGAAAAATGACGGTAAAAAGACGACGATTTTATACGGACCTTTTCCATGTGAAAGTTGTTTGATACGTGCTGCTGTGTCTGTGCCGCTTGCCAAAGGACGCTATTACTCGACAGTGCACGGTAGGGAAATGAAATGGGGTTTAACGTCCTACTGTTCTGCTCCTAACCTGGGCTAATGAAGACGGGCATACGCCATACAGTGTGCTATGAGGGAAATTTTGCCCGGGCAGCGGCACTATCGCCTACTCTTATATCGAATTCCAACTGCCAAGGGATCTTTTACGTGCATTCAAATGTATACACGGGGCCTCGGTTTTTCGTCTCATCCGAAGGACTAGACAGCTGTCCTTGTCAGGCCCTCCGTCCTGCATCACTGACAAGGGGGAACCACGCCGGAAAATCTGGATGAACTTTCTCGGCAATGCAGGGATCTAACACCCGACCTCCAGGCTAGCGCACGGTAGGGAACTGGGTTGTGTATTATGAAAGCGGTATTAGACTGTGGGCCGAGTTTTTGATTTTCTGTTTTGATTAATTTGCCTTGATGATGGGTTTAGTTTATATTGGAAAATATTTGTATGTTAATTGATATTTCCTTCTCATTACAAATAACTTAAATAATAAAGGTCAAAAGTTCAAAATTAAACTAATAACTCAAAACGTCTTGATTGTGTACAGATTCTAGTTTTTGTGCTGTAATAAACTAACAATTAATTTATTAATGAGTTATTTTCTTCTAATCACAGATGTTATAAAGAGTGTTGGGGGTCTAACGTCTGCGTTTTAACTTCCTAATGTCGGCGGTTGTTGTTACTACCTGGTTCTTCTACATTGCGAGTCGGGTCGCCTGCCTAATTTAATGAGTTCCTCCGGGGCCTCCGCCCCCCCCCCCCCCACACACACCCTCCACCCACTGCTCGCGAGCACCCCTGCTTGAACTAAAGACATACAGTCATGTAATGATTCAACCGGAATTATCTAGTTTATATTGAGTGGGTGATGTTGTTATCAAATTGGGTTAAACTTCCCGGTACATGGAATTCTAGATATAGTAGGCGAAAACACCTCTATACGGGCAATTATTTTCTCTCATAGCAGAATGCATGGCGAATTTGCCTGCTTGGCAGGAGGTTAAGCCTCATTTCCAGGGCCGTAACTAGCTCAGAGCAACAAGGGGGACGGAAAGTGTTCTTAGGGGGGCTGTAAAAATTTTTTCACAGGGGGGCGAAACATTTTGCAGCCCCCCCCCCCCGGGGTCCCCCCGAATCTGTGTGGTGATGAGGCGTTTGGGGGGGGGGGGTGAGGGATAATGGGGGTTCGGTGTCTACAATTGGGGGAAAATGTGATTATGTTGACATAATGATGATCATGTTATAATTATATTAACAAAAACATACTATTACACAAAACGAATCTACGGACAAGACACAATACGCAAAAACCACAAACAAACGTACATATCAGATTAAGGGAATGGATCTGGATCGGCGCCATACAGAGAGAGAGAGAGAGAGAAATGGGGTTTAACGTCCACTCGACACAAACCAGGTCATTTCGGGACTAACACATGGTTCAATTTTATTTCCATAATTCGCTTGCGCATAGGGGTCTTTAGCAGTGGGAGGAAACCGGAGGACCCGGAGAAAACCCACGAAGTTGGACAGGCGACCCTACTCCTTGTCACGTACAACCGGGGATTCGAAACCACGCCAGTTGACTCAATGACAGACTTTATGATACAGCACTCACGTGCTAACCATTCAGCCATCCAACCCCCGGCGCCATACAGTCCCGGGCTTTTAGTGATACAGACTTCACTCGAAATTGAAAACAAACAATCAGGAATACAACCCAGCCAGGTAGTCTTAAACTAAATGGTCTATGTTATAATGAGAAACAATTTAAGCGTTGAAAAGAATTGAGGTACATTGACTATAAAGTTAGGGCATACGTTCCATTCACCACAAAAACAGAGGATAAACAAATAATATTGAATACAAAGAAGAAAAGATAGAAAGTGCAAATACTGATTTATAGCAACGTAAACTCATTTCCCGCCAATTTTATCCCCCACCCCACCCTACACACACCTTACTTCCACACACGCACACCTGCACCCCTCACTCCACCTTCTCAAAACAGCTGTCCAGGGGCATTATATACACTTATTTAAAGATTCGCCCTCAAATGCTTGATCACCATACAGATTTGGAATCTACGCAAAAAACTGGTCTAGAAAAACTTGGTCTCATAAATCCAGAGCTCAGGTGGCGATTCCTCCTTCAGCCTAGGGACTAATAGTGTATGTCCGTCGTAATTAGCAAAGTCGGAGCAGAACAGTAGGACGTTAAGCCCCATTTCATTTTTACATCTGGTTGAACTGTAACTTTATTAATGACCAGGCACAACGTGACCATCAGATATTACATAATCTATTTTATATAATATGCAATTCAAAATGAAAGCCAATCGTCATATTCATTTTTCTAAATTCTCGGTTTTTCGTCTCATCCGAAGGACTAGAAAGTTTCTCGGCTAACACAGGGATTGAACCTGCGACCTCCCGACTAGCGAGAAGCGTCTTACTCACTAAGCCACCGTGCCTCCCTGATTCTAAAAGATAGTCAAAGTTAAAATCCATAATCAAATATGAAACAGTGTGGTTTAACACTGATATGACATAAATCTGAATAGTGATGCTTCATCGTGACAAACGGGAGATACAGGAAGGAAACAAATAACAATTCAAAATTAACACTAATGGTTGTATATAACCTCAATAAATTTAAATGTATAAAGTATTCGCATTAATGACGACAGGATGTGACTGTGTCATATTTACTAAAATATCTACAATTATAATGCAACAACATAAGATTGTGTCTGGTATAGTATATTACAATTTATGCGTTATATCATATACATCGAAGGTTGGATTTTTTGAGAGCTTTGATTATTAATTTCGTACTTTCTTCCACCAATATGATCACTTTTGACATAATTGAAATTTATAATATTGTTGGGGTTTTAAAGGCCCATATCCAGTTTCCTATTCCGACATCCTCTAGGGCCCGGTTGCTCAAATCTTAGTTACTTTAACGATCCGTGAAACTTTAACGGATCGGTATCTTGCTAACGTGTTGTTTGTTAACGGTCCGTTAAATTTCTGGTGCTGGAAAATCAATCTCATTATCCGTTAGCTAATGGACTGAATAAGGTTAATCCAAGAGAAGACTGTTTGGTCATTGGCTGAATTTTAAAATTTTTAATTCAATATACATGTATAACAACTTCATAAAAATAGTATTAACAAGAAATTTAAAAAAAGTTGGACAACAGTGCAGTCTGTTCACAAAACTTGATTAATTAAAGAAATGAAATGAAATGGGGTTTAATGTCCTACTTTTCTGCTCCTAACCTGGGCTAATGAAGACGGGTGATTAATTAATTAATATAACTAGAATGTATTACTTATATACTATTCAAAAAAAGTAGGGGATATTTGATTTTGGGGGCATAATACTAAAATATGCAAATGACTACGAAAAAAGTCACTATAGAACCTAACAGAAGAAACATTTCCAGTTACATGTGACGCCCAAACGCACCAATAGCTACCGCATGGAATGCAGGTGATGCTTGGGATCATCATGGGGGTCCAACCCAAGATTTGCACGACTCTGACTTTGAATGTTACAGTCATTGTGGCATTGAATTCCAGGGTGGAAACATCAGTTTAATTGTTTTAGTGACCAGAAAACAAATTTTGATATGCGTCGGCTTACCCAAAATGAAAGGTTACGTGCCCTTGGCATGCTACAGATCGGCAAAACACAGGCGGTTGTGGCGCGGACGATGAATGTTTCTCAGTCTGTCATAAGCAGGCTATGGTCCAGATACCGTGATACACAATCTGTACAGGACAGACCACGCTCAGGTCGACCAAGGGCGACAACTCAAGCCCAGGATCGATTTATCCGTACCTTGGCCTTGAGAAATCGTGTCATCACAGCAAATCAGATCAGCGCTCGTCTTCAAACAGACACTGGTGTGAGAGTGAGTGGCCAGACGATTCGGAATCGACTGGATAGGGGTCACCTTCGCGCCCGACGTCCTCGCGTGATCCCTTGTTTGAGAGATCATCACATTCAGGCAAGACGTCGTTGGTGTAGGGATCGTCAACACTGGGATAATCGACGCTGGAGCAATGTGATGTTTTCAGATGAGTCAAGGTTCACTGTTGATTTTTTGGACAGACGTAGGAGGGTGTGGCGTCGTCGAAACGAGCGCTTCCAAGACGTTAACGTCATCAGACATGATCGATTTGGGGGTGGTTCTGTTATGGTGTGGGGAGGCATCACTGTTGCTGGAAGAACGGCTTTACATGTTGTTGCAGGGCGTGTTGCAGGCCAGTACTACCGGGACAACATCTTGGCAGTCCATGTTGTGCCGTTCGCACGACGTCATGGCCGCCGTTTCATCTTCCAGGATGACAACGCAAGATGTCACAGGGCCAGGATCGTTACAGGTTACCTCAAACAACAGAACATCACCACATTACCTTGGCCAGCACTGAGTCCCGACCTCTCCCCCATCGAGCATGTCTGGGAAATGCTTGGACAGAGGTTACGTCAACGTCAACAACGTCCTGCCAATGTCCAAGAACTTGCTGCTGCGTTGCAACAGGAATGGGACAATCTGGACCAAAATGACCTTAGACGTCTCATTAGGAGTATGCCACGTCGGATCAATGCTTGTTTGGCAAACAGAGGAGGATTTACCCGTTACTGACTTGGTTGTGATGCTGTGGTAACTTTGCTGTTTGACCCCGGGTATCATTTTACCCTTATAATGGTCAGTCTGTGCCTTACTTAGTCTAACGATCATTTGGAATAAATCGATGAATGTGAACTTCATTTCATTTTGTCATTTGTTTCTTCGTCAGTTTCATTAGGTGACTTTAATAACACTTAAAAATCAAATATCCCCTGCTTTTTTTGAATAGTATAGTATACTTAAGTATTTTTATATAGAAAATTTAGCATAAATCTGTAGGAAAAATTATAGGGTTTGCACTACAGAAACTCGAGAATATTTGGGGCCATTATTTCCTACAGGCCCCCAATCTCTAGAACTACACCGGTAATCTATAGTAGTCCGGTGTCTGAAGGGGGGGGGGGGGAATCGCCACCCGAGCTGTGAATTTATGAGACCAATTTTTACTAGACCAGTTTTTTGCGTAGATTCCGAATTTGGGTGGTGATCAGGCGTTTGAGGGGGCGTTTTCGAGATATAGGGGGTCAAATGTCTACAATGGGGGGGGGGAGATGTCATTATATTGACGTAATATATTAATAAAACATAAATTTCTAAGACTGCCCATCTATAAATAAGTGTTTTTGGTGCCCCTGGACAACTGTTTTGATTTGTGGGGGGTGTGTGCGTGTGTGTGTGAGGGGGGGGGGGAGTCATTATGTTGACATAATATATTAATAAAACATAAATTTCTAGGACTGCCCATCTTTAAATAAGTGTTTATAATGCCCCTGGACAACTGTTTTGTTTTGTGGGGAGGTGGGGTGGGGGTAGCAGGTGTGCGTGTATGGATTGGGGCGGGGGGGTACAATTGGCGGGAAGTGGGTTCACGTTGATGATTTTCTTAGAGCTTGGTAAAAACATTACTTTTTAATTCCACTGCACATCTCTAAATATGTGTATACGATTACCATTGTATGGGGGAGGGTAAATGTATTTTGGGGGACAGAAACCACGTGGTTCAAAATTGACCTGAAAAGTGTTTTCTCGAGTTTTCGTTCAGTGCCAATATCGTCATTCAAAATATTAAATTATAATGGTACTTTTCGAGAGATCTGGAAATGTACATGAAAAACACATGTTTAGATATTAGTTTATTCTTATAATATGTGCGGGATATATATCTTCTTGATGGCTGATCAACAGCCTTTGTATATCTATTGGATATGCTTCAGATACCCATTCACATTGTAAATCTTCATTCCAGCCTTGTATCGCAGAATCATCTTGTTCGATCATTAATTTTGCAACCTGTCTCCATATTGCTGCAACATAATTATTGCGTTTAATGTGAAGCAAAAGACTACTCGGGCAAGATGGTAATAAAAAAAGAAAGTATTGTTATATTTCATCACAATTAAAATTTCTCCAGAAGATACTTCTTCTAGCGTCATCTACTGATGTAAGTCGGTATTCGCCGTACAAGTTACATGTACAAACATTTTTTTCTAAACCAGCAATTACGTCATCAGAAGCATCATTTGTCTATCCCAGCTCTTTAAAAATTGTTAGAAAGTTGGAATTATCTTGAAAAAGAAAGACAGATAGTCATTACCACTGAAAGCATGTAGGCCGAGATATTCTCGACACTTTCAATACTAATCTTGATTGGATCAAAAAATATCAAGATTAGTATTGAAAGTGTCGGGAATATCCTAGAACTGACAACCAACCACGAGGACACCAAAATATCTTACCTACTCCTCTTCGCATTGCAAATTAATGGAGGTGCTGAAACAAATTGTATTTTGCGTTCTTGCTCGGGCGAAATAGATATCCCAATCATTCTCTTCGCTCGCAAATGATGATCCAAATGTACAAATTTTGATCGATAATGAGACGGGCAAAGGTAGAAAATATCGGGAAAGACGACGCTAGAAAAAAGATTTTCTGGGTGAAAAAATAACAGACCTTTCTTTATTACCACCTTGTCGTATACGTGGTCTTTTGCTTTGCTGCATGGCTGGAATGAAGATTTACAATGTGAATTGGTTTCTGAAGCATATCCAAAGGATATGCGAGTTGTTGGCCAGCAACCAAGAAAATATTTATCTCGCTCATATGAACTTTTGATTTTGAATCTTCTGATGAAGACAAAGAATAAACTAACAACTAAACATATCTCTGAGTTAATGTGTTTTTGATTTACATTTCCAGATCTCTTGAAAAGTACCATTACAATTTAATATTTTGAATGAAAACGCTAACGAGATACCACTTTAAGCTCAATTATGAACGAAATGATTTCTGTCCACAAAAATACATGTTGCCACCCGCCATCACCCGCACCGCACCCCCCCCCACACACACACACACACACACGGCGGGCACCCACCCCGGCGTCCATCCCCATACAATAGAAATCTTATAAACATATTTAGAGATGTTTCATCAAGCTCTTAGAAAATAATCATTTAAATCAACGTGAACTCATTTCCCCGCCAACTTTATCCCCACCCTATCCCTCCACACCTGCTACCCCCACCCACCTCCCCATAAATCAAAACAGTTGTCCAGGGGCATCATAAACACTTATTAATAGATGAGCAGTCCTAGAAATTTATGTTTTATTAATATATTATGTCAACATAATGACATTCCCCCACCCCCCATTGTAGACATTTGACCCCCTATATCTCTAAAAACGCCCCATCAAACGCCTGCTCACCACACAGATTCGGAATCTACGCAAACAACTGGTCTAGAAAAACTTGTTCTCATAAATTCACAGCTCTTTTGGCGACCCCCCCCCCCCCCTTCAGCCACCGGACTATAGGAATTTTTGCTAAAGGTATACTTCGACTGTGATTAATAACATTTAAAGGTACATGCCAAAAAACACCGTTATGAAATAAACTTATTTACATAATAATAGTACGTATACCTTGAAAACAAATTGTACTGAACATAGAGTACCCCTTGACAAAGATTAGCTTGTCTATACCAATAATCAAGTTTCCATCGAGTAACGATGTGCATATATGTTTTATATGGAATTTACTTGAAAACAACCTATTCAAAACACAGAGGAAAATATTTACACGACATGTACGGTTATCAAAATAACCAATGCAGTGTTTAATAAACTAAGGTCGGTATATATATAGTGAGAGAATCTCCTACGGGTCTTTTTTGATATCGAAAAATAACAACATACGTCGATAAAGTAAAAAAAAGAAAATACTTTTAATAAAAATTGAACTGTTCTTTGAAAATTAAAAAAAAGTAGTTCTTTTTCAACTAACCAATCAAATTCATTATGGAATTTATCACACAAGCGATATCTACTGTAGAATGTATTATTGGGTGATAAACTTCGTTCTATCAATCTGAAACGATTGTAGCATAATTCATCTTATTAATTAACAAAATTATAAGTACATTGTTTACAATTATATAAAGAGTTCAATAATTATTATATAAATCTTTACATTACAAGGAAGAATGTATATCATCAAAGAACCTATAGTGTAGCTAAATATACTGTCATTTATCATTTGGTACAGCCGTTTGTTAGGCCACAACCAGCTTCCTCTGTCGTCATAATATTCAGGTTAGATGAATTTGGAGAAATGGTCTTTCGTTTTATGTTTCTGATGAAATGTAAATGAAATTTTTGATTTTCCAAATAAATTTAATCATTATATTAAAATAAAATTAAATTAAACAAAGATACAATTTACAAATCTGATAAGACAAAAGAATTAAGAACACCGAATAAAGAGATGTTAGGTCTTTCATAGTTTTTAGGTTCATAATTATTATCTAAAACAGCAAAATAACATAAACTTTTAATGGAATAAATATTTAATTAATTAATGTGAATTCTTATGTCTAATACTACTTCCCGATTACATACGACACTTTTACCAACACAATAAACTTTAATAATTATAATGATCTACACTACAGCTGGGGTTACCTCCCTTTGGATGGTCTGGATTTTTCGCCAACTCATATTGAACGACTTCCTGGGCCAATTGACATTGGACATTTTTATCTGAATCAACAACGCCTGTAGCTATAGTTCGTAATGCGCGCCACTATCGCACCCGCTTTCACCAATATGATTATAATTTTTTCGATTTACAATTTCGCTTTCATTGTCACCGATATGGTTGTAGTTACCGTCATCTTGCACAGGTATACGAGTACTCTCCCTTTGTCCATCAGAATGGTTATTATTACCAATATGGTTAAAGTCGTCATTTACTAATATACCGCCCTGTCTTACTCCCCTGTTACTGTCATTGTTATCGTACGGGTGGGTGAAGTCATCATGCGTTATAATTCTTGCGTGATCATCAGCATTGGACATGGCGTGATTATAATTACCGCCCACGCCATGGAAGTTATTGCGTTGGACACCATGAAGAAGAGTATACTCATTGGTTGTGAATTGAGAATTTTCACGGGTGTTATTTCGCAAACTTGGTGTTTCGTATCCTGGGTTAGAGACGCCTGTACTGCGAGCAACATCAGACTTCTTTCTGAAATAGATACCGGTTTTCATCAATACCAACGATTCTACAGACAATTGATATATACTTTAGCCCAGTTTTGAATATGCACAGTTTACCACCCACAAATTCATAATGCATGACACAATTATATAATACCGTTTGAATACGCGATATTTTAATCTGGTTTTTAGATGACTATACAACCCGGCCTTGTCACTGACCATGGAGTAGAGATTTCCGTAAGCAACTATAGTGTTCATTATTCAATTAAAATTGGGTATTAGATTTTCTCTGAAAATGGATGGAATCCAAATTGTTTCTCAGCCTAGAAGATCGTCGTAAGCTGGTTCTACACTTAGATTTCCACCTTTTACCGTGATGCTGTTTTAAATCGAAACACGAGCGTTAATAATTGTCTTACCGTCTGACGATAATGATAACGATGATAATTACCAGTACCATTAGTAGAAAACTTCCTACAACACTTCCAATAATCATTGACGTCTCTAAATTATGAATACAAGTCATAAGTAATACAGAATTAAAAAAGAGCCAACCACTTCTCATCGCATTGCATAATGTTGAAAATGCAAGACGTAAAATGATCTTACGTGTTTTTAAGGTATTTGTCTCACCTTAGGTCCCTAGAACAATTCTTCCATGCTTTAAACACAGTTAAGTGGATTGACTAAAACAATATGTCATTTTGATACAGAAAATTTTGCGGATCTCAGGGAAGTATTTTACATAACAAATACACTAAAACAAATTGAAAATCTTGTTTAAATGATAATACCTGAGGTATCTTTGCCACGTCTTGAAGCTTCTTTGTCATTCTTTAATGTTGATTTGAACGCTGGAGTCGACGAATGGAACAGGATATTACTGAATAAGGTAGTTGTTACCGATACCTTCTTAACCTCTGGTGTTGTTGATTCGACATAAGGTTGCTCAGATGATATTGTACTGGACACTGAAATAATAGTTGGGATATTTTTTTCAAATGGAAATAAGTGTTTAAAGGTATAATACTGTCTTATTTGACAGATATAATACTGAAGTATAGTATTTACTGGTTATAATACTGTGGTATTTACCAGATGTATTACTGCAGTATAATTATGCCAGATATAATACTGTAGCATTTTACCAGATATAGTATTGTAGTATTTGCCACTTATAATACTGTAGTATTTGCAAGATATAATACTGTAGTAGTTGCCAGATATAATACTGTAGTACCGATTGTAGTTAAATGTAGGGGTTATTTTTCATAGTATTGTAGAATTTAACCTCGAACATATAGCCTTATGGTTATGCATGAAAAACTCGGAATTTAAAAGTCTTTTTATGATTTGTCACATAAAGCTATTTTAACTAGCAGTTTATCGGACATTGCGTTCAATATTTGTGTGTATTATTCCCGATCCTTGAGAGAGAGTGCGAGAGAGATGGGTTTTTAACGTCCACGCGACACAAACTAGACTATTTTGTGACCAACATTTGGTTCAATTAATCCCTCTCCTCCTCCGTGTAAATTGGTAATGGACATCGACATTACTTGGACCTGTGAATCCAGTGAAAACCCTTTTTTGGCATGTCCGTCGAAAGTCTGCAGAAATTGTTTGAGATCATGTGATTTTTCTTTGATTTTATCACCCTGTCGCAGTGCTATTTATTTGTTTCTTGTATATTTGTTTGGTAGTATGCCTGTACGGTTTATGTTTCAGTCTGTCATAGTATACATAAAGATAATGTGTCGATACATATAAACATAATAATATGGTTTCAATTATACCCGAGGTATCCCTTTCAGATTTTGACGCTTCAGTTGCACTCCGTCTTGTTGATTTGCTTGATGGAGTCGAAGACAAGAATTGACTTAACACCGATACTCTTGGTTCAACCATAGGTTGTTCAGATGAAGTGGGTACTGTAAAGGAGTTAAGCGTTTTGTATTGGGATTGATTTAATAAACATTTTTTTTATACAATTAGAATTAGGCTGGATTTGGTGTGTTATCTACACCATTCAATGTCGTCTCGAAATGCTAAGCGTATCTCGGTTTGTTTACTAACTAGAGTTTCGTGTTTGGCTCAACATTGGCGATGTCTGCGAATCTCAAGTTTTAATTGTAGGTCTATACCAATTCAAATCTACACTTTAATTATATCCACCATTTTTACCTAAATCAAAGATGTCTAGTACAAGTCCGAGGGAGCCACGGTGGCTAAGTGAGTAAGACTATGGCTCGCTAGTCTGGAGGTCGCGGGTTCGTTCCCGAGAAAGTTCATCAGGATTTTCCGGCATGGACGAAAAACCGAGGCCACGTGTACACATTGACGTGCATGTAAATATCCCTTAGCAGTGGGATTTCGATATAAGAGTAGGTCGTAGCGCCGCTGTCGGGCAAAATTTCCATTACAGTACACTTATGACGTATGCTCGTCTTTATTAGCCCAGTCGGAGCAGAACAGTAGGGCGTTAAACCCCATGCCATTTCATTTTATTTATGAGTACGAAACCATGCAGTCATCCACCTAGGTCAACACTATACGAGAACAATATCGGACATTATACTGTATGCTGTCCATGCAATAAGAAATAGCTTTCAAAGTTATGTTACCTTATAAAGACAGACAGGTGTTTACTTTCTAAAACACATGAAACCCCATGAGCATCACAGATGGGGTCAGTGTGACGTGCACTTTTGTATTTTGTCAAGATGGGTTACCCACTTCCATGTGTATTGGTTATTGTATTCGAAATATTTCTTGAGAGTTGTATTCCAGTGTGTAATATTTCGTCTTAAATTGGACTTTTTAAATCTTAAAAATTACTGAGGTATTATACGTTTGTTGTTTATTATTTGACATGTATATTGTGTAATTGTCTTTTACAATAATATATGCTACCTGTGCTTAACTATATTGGGTGTCATATAAAGATTTGTATAATATTTCTAAAAGTTTATGATAAAAGATGCAAGAAATGGTTAAAAATGAAGTTTGAATATAATTCTTTCGTTTAATATTGTACATGTTTCCCCGTGCATGCTTGTTCACGTGTGTGCATTTACTAGGCGGTTCAATGTCAATGAAGTATGATCAAATAACAACTTAAAGTTTCCGATTGTACAATTAATGTCATTCCTGTCCCTTTCATTCGACATTCAGATCTTCGGCGGTTTGATCAAAGACACATTTGCAGTGCAGTATTTTAATTGCTTATCAACTAAAGATTACTGATTATTGGTCCGTTCCCTAAAACAGAAGTTTCTAAAACATTCGAGTAATAATAAGTTATTTTCCTTTTGATTTGGTACCGGATAAAGCTACCTCTGGATTTTTAAAACATAATTATTCAAAATGATGAAAAGTATCGTACTCCGGAAATTTGCGATCTTAAACGACAGTGTTGTCTCCATGATTATGTTTTGATTTTTAAAGTTTATGAATGTGATGAAGGATGAAGTTAATTCCTTGTCTGTGTCAATAATGGCTCAGAGAGCACATACTAACTTTATTGTAATAGTTTAGTTTCATATTTTTCTAAAAACAGAATATTAGGGAAGCCTTGAAATATTAAAAAGAGAGAAGCGAAATACACGTCTCTGCACATTTTGCACAAATTCTGTGGGCACATTTTTACAAAACAAACAAAACCAGGCTAAAAAGAAAGTGATTTTTCCTACAATCAAGGGCCATAATTCAGGAAATTACAATTCGATATGCGCAAATATCGAAAAGAACCAAAATCTTTGGGTTATAAACTTACATTTCAAGTTTCAACAAAATTGGATAAAAATTGTGACCTCTATAGGGTCCACAACCTTGATATACCATAATTTTACGCTATTTGAGAACGAACGGCGGCCATTTTGTCTGTCAATTTTAGGCCGATTTTCACGAAATTCGAACTCAGTCGTCCTTATGGTGTAACGGTGATATAATAATATGGTTTTTTAAATCGGATATATGACCTCTATAGGGTCCACAAGCTAAAAATGCAATTTTCGTACAATCACGGGCCATAATTCAGGAAGTAACGGTCCGATATGCGCGAATATCGCAAGGAACAGAGATCTTTGGGTTATAAACTTACATTTCAAGTTTCAACAAAATCGGATAAAAATTGTGACCTCTATAGGGTCCACAACCTTCATATACCATATTTTTACGCTATTTGAGAACGAACGGCGGCCATTTTGTCTGTCAATTTTAGGCCGATTTTCTCGAAATTCGAACTCAGTCGTCCTTTTGGTGTAACGGTGATATAATAATACGTTTTTTTAAATCGGATAAAAATTATGACCTCTATAGGGTCCACAAGCTAAAAACGCGATTTTTCGTACAATCAGGGGCCATAATTCAGGAAGTTACGGTCCGATATACGCGAATATCGAAAGGAACCGAGATCTTTGGGTTATAAACTTACATTTCAAGATTCAACCAAATCGGATAAAAATTGTGACCTCTATAGGGTCCACAAGCCAAAAACGTGATTTTTCGTACAAACAGGGGCCATAATCCATGAAGTTTTGATCCGATACATGCCAATATCGAAAGCAGCCGAGATCTTTTGGAGATACACCTATATTTCCAGTTTCGTTAAAATCGGATAAGAATTGTGACCTGTAGAGTGTCCACAAACAAATTGTGGACGGACGGACGGACGGACGGACGTCCGGACGGACAGGGACGACGGCATAATACGTCCACATGAAAATGTGGGCGTATAAAAATTGTGACCTCTATAGGGTCCACAACCTTGATATACCATATTTTTACGCTATTTGAGAACGAACGGCGGCCATTTGTCTGTCAATTTTTGGCCGATTTTCACGAAATTCGAACTCAGTCGTCCTTAGGGTGTAACGGTGATATAATAATACGGTTTTTTAAATCGGATAAAAATTATGACTTCTATAGGGTCCACAAGCTAAAAACGCGATTTTTCGTACAAACAGGGGCCATAATTCAGGAAGTTACAGTCCGATATGCGCGAATATCGAAAGGAACTGAGATCTTTGGGTTATAAACTTACATTTCAAGTTTCAACAAAATCGGATAAAAATTGTGACCTCTATAGGGTCCACAAGCTAAAAACGCGATTTTTCGTACAAACAGGGCCCATAATCCATGAAGTTTCGATCCGATACATGCCAATATCGAAAGCAGGCGAGACTTTCTTTTTGGGATAAAGATATATTTCAAGTTTCGTCAAAATCGGACAAGAATTGTGACCTGTAGAGAGTCCACAAACAAATTGTGGACGGACGGACGGACAGGGGCGACGACAATATACGTCCACATGAAAATGTGGGCGTATAAAAAGAAAATTGCATGTACAATACCTTGTTCACAATCGTATATTATTAAATAACCATTCTGCTGATATCCATTAAAACATACACTTCTCGTGGTTGTTGTATTGCAATATGTAGAGTTCAAGATGGGTGACAGCAAATTACAATTCCTTTTCCCATTACACTGATCATCTAACTTTAACCGGTCAGCTGCACTAAATGAGATTCGGCATATAGAAAGGTCAAAACTACAAGCATGCCACGGCTGAATAGGACAATTAATGGTGCTGCATGTACGATATGTATTTACAAAGACGTAAAACCTGTACTTGATATCAATATGTTCCCCAATTTCGCACTGTAGTCTATCTGTGGCACAATTATTGATTTGTGGTCCTTTGCATGCTTGTCTATCAAGTCCTGTAAATAAAGAAATTAAGAATCAGCCACTCACTGTATTACATATTATAGCCTATTGGTTATCTCCCAAAACTCAGACAGTGAGGTAGGGGATTAATTAAAGTAGCTAAGTTTCTAACCCAATATCATCCCAAACCTTCGACAATGAAAACACGAACAATTTGTCAATTTAAATCAACATTGATCTTGCGATCTTACCGGGAAAAGATGGGCTTCTGATATTCAATATTTAAAGATACATTATAGGAGATAAGATAAAGAGATGGCAGTTCTCGCTATAATAGTTAAAAACTAGATAGTGTAAAGGTAATTTCTGAAAATTTCAGTCAAATTGATCCACTATGAGCCGAGAAAGAAGCGGGTGAAATTTTTGCATGGTCTCGGTCATCATTACTAAAATCATTAATATAAACAGCATAGTCTCGATTATCCACTTTTGTTGATTTAATTATCAATAGCCGTTAGCGGCATATAGGAATCTAATCCAGCCAACATCGAAGGCTAACCTTGACATCGAGAGTTTATTATGGTCTGGATAAGTTAATTAATGTCTAATTGATAATTTAGATAACATTTCAGGCCTAAAGAAAGACTTGTAATAAGCAGATTTTGCTCTTGCATAATGCATGTTTAAGACAAAATAAACATTTTACGATTGGTACACGATGATGCGTTTCAGTGCAATTTGTAACAAGCGACTCGGAAGAACGAGGTTAGACATATTCCACAAGTCATGTCAAACGGTGACCCCATATTTTTATCTGGAAAGCATATACAATAAATACTATCAGTGTAGACTGGAATAAACAGGCGCTAGTGATTGCCAATCGATTGAGAATTCTGGCGTATTTCGCCGAACATAACTGCTTCGAAATTAGAGTAAAAACGGAAACGACTGAATTTAAATCAGTTTATTTACATTCATATAATTATTATATTAGGTCCCAAATATTAGCGATTTAGCTCTTTTAATACTATCCCTATAGCTATAATGGAATAATCCTAATTAGTGTGTTCACTCCGTTAATCACAGTTGATTGAAAAATATTTTACTGAAAGTAATTAAAACATTGTAAACCATAAATAATTCACACCCCCCCCCCCCCAAAAAAAAAAAAAATCAAAAAATCATTGTTTTAATTACTTTCCAAGAAACAAAACTAACTATGCCTTTTCATTCCACATATGTGGAAATTTTAATGAGCACAGACATAATTTCAAAGATTTTCTAATCAACACACCTCCTGATTAACTGAGTGGAATGTACCGATTAGGACTATTTCATTAAAGATATAGGGATTGTATTAATTAATCCCTTACTTCACTGTCTGAGATATGAGTTTCTAAGATATGACTATCTAAGTGTATGACACAGCTTTATTTAACGTCCACTTTCACCGCGGTAACATCGCAGACAATGGCTGTCTAAGTGTGGGAGATAACCATTATAACAATCCAGTTACTTTATTGTCTTCTAATAAATCGTCAATTAGTTTACTGCTTAGTCTACGTACGTCGTGTTTTACAGGATACAATTGTCTAATTACTAACCTTCAGAACCTACGAAGAATTGAACACACACTATGACAAGAATAAATCTTCCAAAATTTTTCCGTATCATTTCAGCTCTGAAATAAAAACTTACAAATAAATAATAATTATCCTTTTGGTGGTAAAGATCAACAAATTTGTTTGAAATAGTTATATTTCTGTTGAATATTAATACATCCTCGTCTTTCTTCGCTTCTATAGCCTGCGCACGGGTCCAGTTGAAATCTGGACGCCTGAGTAGATGAGGTTAAACTTTAAATAACCGTTCTCGTCGGATCGGTGCTTGTTAAATTCTAAAGAGTGACTGCGATATTTAACGATGTAATATAAACGAATTAATGGGTATGCAATGTTATTTAACAGGGTATTGAATTGTTTATGTATATCGTATAGCGAAATTAAATAGACCTAGACCAACATTGAATTGAAGCATTGTTAATATAGTATAATCCACATTTTAATATCTATTTTTATAATCATTGGATCTTAGCCTTATTATACAGTTGTTTGAATACATATTTATTCTGTGTTTCTAAATATACATGTGAATAATTAGACGGTAATGCAATTATCAGGTAATATATTGTCTACACACAGTATTCAACTTAAAGTTTTATATACAATGCTGTACAAATAAAGTTACGCTTAAGGGCATGGTTATACTACTTAATATATGTAATGAAATAACAACTTGTGTTTTTATGATCTTGGCAAGACAAAACTTAAATAGGCTCGTGGGGGTCGGGGAGTGCCAGGCAGTTGCTTCGAGGTGCTTCTGTGATATTAATGCACAGAATACAACCAACCAACCAAAGCCAAAATCGAGAGTCAAAATCAACTTATCGACTTTAATCAACTTTTAAACCAATTCCACAGCAGTGGCCATTTTCTATTGCTACTTTAATTTAGTCCATGTTAAACCATTTGAAAGATGTGTGTCGCATTTCAGAGTAAAACTTATTCTTAAACACATCTTCTCCTGGTAACACCAAACATTACATACCTTTCCGTCGTCTTTGCACCTGGTACAGGTTGAATATTATTAAGGTAACAATCCAATTTCCTTTTCTCTTGACCTGCCGGTACAGTGAGTATCACCACAAATATTATGTCAAGTGTTATGGGTATTTTGTTGTACGTTCTACCTGGAAGTATACTATTTTAGAAAGACATGTAATAACAAGTCACGAAGCAAGCAGTATGCAGGAAAGTAGAACGTAAGAGGAGCTAAGTCTTTAACTCAATATTTGCATAATATTTTAAATTAAAAACACAAACTATAACTCAATGTTGACCAATTTCAACCAAAATTGATGTTGTTATCTTGCCGTGAAACTATAATATCCGACATATAAGACACAACTAACTTTCTTTTTAATCAGCACCCGAGTCGTGTACCCTAAAGTTTCGTATGCCGTTTTGTAATGACCACATAATGTGGAAGTAATAAGTAAAGGCTGATTCACAAAAGTCAAAATAATAATTTAAAAAACGTGTAAAATGCACTAAGCAAGCGTGAACGACTACTGTTAATTTTGAACTGTTCAGGTATTTCACCGAACATAACTGATTAGAAATTACAATATTTTTTTCAAACATTGAATAAAAATCACTTGTACATGTATGTTACGAGAATGACATGATTTGTAAGATAAATAATTTTTAGTATCTGTCTCTTTTATCCAACACCAATAACGATGAAATACAATTAAAATTGAACAATGTTTTTTAAACAATATTTATTCACAGAAACTAGATTGGAGAACAGGCAGAAGCCTATTGACCCATCTCCATTAAAATACAAAATAAATATATATTGAAAACATGTGAAAAAGGTAACGTATGATCAAATTATTAGATGGCTATATGTTTATGTACATACCACAATCAAAAGTTTCATATTTCATTCATTCATTCATTCATTAAGAATCTTTTGGAGATGTCGAGAAAGATATGGACTAAATAAAACATTTATTCAGAATTTTTCCGGTCTGAAGTTCCTAATATTATGGATGTTTTGCTATTGTCGTAATTACAACCTTGATTGGAGGGCGGGGGGGGGGGATCATTTACAACTAAACCAACAATGGTTTTACTAACTTAAACGAGGGACATTTACATAATTAGGCTGGTCTTCACTACCAGTTTGATTACCAACTTCATTGTTTCCGCCCATATTCCCATCTGAGTTTAAATCGGTATAGGTCGATGCGTCATTGACAAAATCAGATGGTGTTTCGTACACTGTGTCAGTGACAGATGTACCCCTTTCTTTATAACAAATGCCCGCCTTTGTGATATATATATATAACAAAGACTTATTTTACACTTGTTACAAATCTGGTATATTGTCTTGTCCACTATTAACACTATACTAAAGTGTTTATTTGCAAATCTTACCTGTAGTTAATGGTACGGATTTATCAGCGTGATATCCTCCTGCCAGTGGCCGCAATGCTGCAGGACGGCGGACATGGCACGGAAAAACGTGTAGTAGCTCGGGTGGGATGGGTAATAGAGGTGTCGTTCACACGTTGGTGTGTACGTAAAATAAACCCTGGCAGTTCGAATTAGATTAAAAGCAGGGGGAAACATCACTTTCTTGGTACAATTTAAATATAGCATATTGGTGCAGAGCTATACTATTCAAAAAAAGTAGGGGATATTTGATTTTGGGGGCATAATACTAAAATATGCAAATGACTACGAAAAAAGTCACTATAGAACCTAACAGAAGAAACATTTCCAGTTACATGTGACGCCCAAACGCACCAATAGCTACCGCATGGAATGCAGGTGATGCTTGGGATCATCATGGGGGTCCAACCCACGATTTGCACGACTCTGACTTTGAATGTTACAGTCATTGTGGCATTGAATTCCAGGGTGGAAACATCAGTTTAATTGTTTTAGTGACCAGAAAACAAATTTTGATATGCGTCGGCTTACCCAAAATGAAAGGTTACGTGCCCTTGGCATGCTACAGATCGGCACAACACAGGCGGTTGTGGCGCGGACGATGAATGTTTCTCAGTCTGTCATAAGCAGGCTATGGTCCAGATACCGTGATACACAATCTGTACAGGACAGACCACGCTAAGGTCGACCAAGGGCGACAACTCAAGCCCAGGATCGATTTATCCGTACCTTGGCCTTGAGAAATCGTGTCATCACAGCAAATCAGATCAGCGCTCGTCTTCAAACAGACACTGGTGTGAGAGTGAGTGGCCAGACGATTCGGAATCGACTGCATAGGGGTCACCTTCGCGCCCGACGTCCTCGCGTGATCCCTTGTTTGAGAGATCATCACATTCAGGCAAGACGTCGTTGGTGTAGGGATCGTCAACACTGGGATAATCGACGCTGGAGCAATGTGATGTTTTCAGATGAGTCAAGGTTCACTGTTGATTTTTTGGACAGACGTAGGGGTGTGTGGCGTCGTCGAAACGAGCGCTTCCAAGACGTTAACGTCATCAGACATGATCGATTTGGGGGTGATTCTGTTATGGTGTGGGGAGGCATCACTGTTGCTGGAAGAACAGCTTTACATGTTGTTGCAGGGCGTGTTACAGGCCAGTACTACCGGGACAACATCTTGGCAGTCCATGTTGTGCCGTTCGCACGACGTCATGGCCGCCGTTTCATCTTCCAGGATGACAACGCAAGATGTCACAGGGCCAGGATCGTTACAGGTTACCTCCAACAACAGAACATAACCACATTACCTTGGCCAGCACTGAGTCCCGACCTCTCCCCCATCGAGCATGTCCGGGACATGCTTGGACAGAGGTTACATCAACGTCAACAACGTCCTGCCAATGTCCAAGAACTTGCTGCTGCGTTGCAACAGGAATGGGACAATCTGGACCAAAATGACCTTAGACGTCTCATTAGGAGTATGCCACGTCGGATCAATGCTTGTTTGGCAAACAGAGGAGGATTTACCGGTTACTGACTTGGTTGTGATGCTGTGGTAACTTTGCTGTTTGACCCCGGGTATCATTTTACCCTTATAATGGTCAGTCTGTGCCTTACTTAGTCTAACGATCATTTGGAATAAATCGATGAATGTGAACTTCATTTCATTTTGTCATTTGTTTCTTCGTCAGTTTCATTAGGTGACTTTAATAACACTTAAATATCAAATACCCCCTACTTTTTTTGAATAGTATAATAAGGAAGTTATCAATTTCATGTCCATCTTGCAAAAGAGTTCAATAAGTCTTACCGTTTAATGCTGATCTGTAACAATAACGATTACCAATGTAATGAGTATCAGAGATGCTACAACACTGCCAATAATTAAAGACCAATCTGAAATATATATTACAATATCAAGGTCGTCATACATAAACATTAATTAAATGATCAAAATATATCAAATACCTTTCTATTATCGACCGAAACAGTGGATGAAAGTTTGGACTAGGAAACGTTATTGTAAATGCAGTAGAATCACGCCAAATGAAATGAAATGAAATGGGGTTTGAGGGAAATTTTTCCCGGACAGCAGCGCTAGGCCTACTCTTATATCGAATTTCAACTGCCAAAGGATATTTTACGTGCACACCAATGTATACATGGGACCTCGGTTATTTTCGTCGCATCCGAACGACTAGACAGCTGTCCTTGTCCGGCCCTTCGTCCTGCACCACTGACAAGGGAAAACCATGCCTGAAAATTCCATTTCCAAATTATGCATTGTGCTATGATGTAATTGTTTTCCGGACAGAGGCGTTTTCTGTTACCAGTTAAGAAGGCAGGGAAACCTCATCAGAGAACGTAAGCACATTTATCACTGAGACACCTTGGCTAAAGGGCGCAATACACTGTCGTTGTTGAACCCAAAATCAGTACCTTGAGTATTTATGTCACGACGTGGTGATCCATGGTTACTTTCATTTTGGTCTGTTGATTGTAAAGTTGGTAATGTGGTCGAGGAAATCATTAATACGCCCGTTCGCTCCTGCGTCAGGTTGTGAAGATACTGTTATTGGTACTGAAAAAGTGTACATATAATAACATGCTGATTACCCTACAAATGTTAACGAAGAGAGTGCATACATAAGCTTTGGTGCCAATTCTCAAAGCTCGGAATTTTCGTGCGACATTTGTAGATAAAAAGCTTTGTTTATGCCGATTTACGTGGTGCATTCATCTTTTCGATTTTCCTGATTCCATTGCGGTCTTACGGAGACAAGTTTGGTTAGGTAGGATACGACATAGTCTCTATAATCCAGAAAAATATTCTGCGAATATTAGTCTGGATGCGTTGTCAACATTTGACTATAATAGTTCATTGGCTAGATTACCCTGTCTTTCACATTATCATAAACAAAGTCTAAGGGAGGTAGCTAGTCCTAAACCAAGATGTCGACGCCCATGAAATTAATTTCAGAATGTCATTCCAGAAAATCCATTTGTTTACATTGCCAGTTCAATATCTAACACTTTATTGTAAAATTTCTCTCTTCATGGGCCATATCTATGTTTTTTCTTTTTTAATTACCGGTAACCCTAATTCGTCATCACGATTGATGTTTGTTTATAATAATGCAAGAATTGTGGGATTTATTGCGGGAGGGGCGCAACTCTTACTTGACTTGGCGAAAAATACTGGATAATGAACCATAATATAAAAAACAACAAACTCCCGGTTACGCTTGGGCAATGGAACTTTTCTGCATATATTGACAACAGTCCCAGGCCCTCCGTATGTTAAAGATTAGGAGACTAGATACGACATAGTGTAGATAAAAGTCAATAATCTACCGATAGTCACTAAATGTTACCATTACTGGAAATCGAATTGTTCAACGTCAAATGATGATACAAGCTCTCACCGAATGAATGAAGTTCCTTTGTTTGTTATTCGCCAATATGAAACAGCCAGGGCCCATGTGGAGCTCCACACGTGAATCGTACAGTTAACGGTACTGCATGCAAGAGATGCATTTGCAAAGACGTAAAATGTGATTTTGATATCGATGTGTTCCCCAACTTCGCGTTGTAGTCTATTTGTGACACAATTATTGAATATTGATCCTTTGCATGCTTGCCTAACAAGTTCTGTAAAAAAAGAGTTCAGAATCAGTTACTCACTGTAGCCCATTGTATAATTATAAAAACCAATTTAGTTAATTTTTTTCCCATTAACTCACTAATTAATCTACCTTTGCTATTTGTATTGTTAGGGACAAAGGCAGAATTAAATGATTAACAACGATCCAAATTCCTCGGCCTGAAGGCTCGACATTCCACGGATCTTCTCGTCTGTCTTAAGACAGTCCTTTGATTTCGTGTCGTTTTCATGTCAATAACTATGTTAATAATAACATTTAACCATCAGATGTTTTCCAGAACAAAGTTGTCTAAATACTAACCTAGAGAGAATGGAACACAGACTATGACAAGAATAAATCTTCCAAAATGTTTCAACATCATTTCAGCTCTGAAATAATAACTTACAAATTAGAACATATCCATTTGGTGATAATTAGATCAAAAATATCATTTGATATAGTTATATTTCTAATGAACCCGAAATAGAAAAAAAAATCTATCTTAAAACAATTTAAATTTTGATATATAAACTTTCTTTTCGAGGATATTTGACACGCTCCTGTAGATTATGCTAGGTTCCCACTGTCATGCGATGCGTTACAATAGGATTGTCCTTATTGAGTCCACCATCTGGTACGTGCAGATACGTTCGGATACGCTTCGATACGATCAACACGATTGCTACGACTTACCTCAATATATGATAAGACCTGATAGGATTACCACAATAAAACCACGATTTCAACCGCAGTGCAAATCATGAAACTGAGAACCTAGCATTACCAACGGGACCATTTGAAATCTGGAAGTCTATAAAGTATAGATGAGGTTAAACATTAAATAACTATTTTCTCCGGATCCGCGCTTGTTCAATACTAAATAGTGACTGCGATATAAACAAATCAACGAGTATGCAATATTATTTAAAAGGGTATTGAATTGTTATTATAATAACTATACCGAAATTAAAAAAGACATAGACCCACATTGAATGAAACCATTGTTAATATAGTATAATCCACATTTTAATATCTATTTTTAAAATCATTGAATCTTAGACCTAGTATACAGTTATACTGTCTGTAAACATATTTATTCTATGATTGTAAATATATATGTTAATAATTAGACGATAATACAATCATAAGGTAATGGGCTGCCTATGCGTAGTATTCAGTATTAATGTTTTGTATACAATGTTACATAAAACGAAATTACTCTTAGGGGCGTGGTTATACTTTTTAGCACCCCCGTGCCTGTAATACATCTAATGAAATAACAACTTGTGTTTGTATGAGGTGCCAGGGGCTGGGGGTGCCAGGCGGTGCGTCTGTGATACTAATGCACAGAATACAACCAACCAAAGCCAAATTCGAGAGTCAAGATCAACTTATCGACTTAAATCAACATAGAATTCAAGAGAAATGAAATGAAATGAAATGGGGTTTAACGTCCTACTGTTCTCCTCCCTAAACTGGGCTAATGAAGACGGGCATACGCCATACAGTGTGCTATGAGAAAAATTTTGCCCGGGCAGCCGCGCTACAACCTACTCTTATATCGAATTCCAAATGCCAAGGGGTCTTTTACGTGCACGCCAATATGTACGCGGTGCCTCGGTTTTTCGTCCCATCCGAACGACTCGACAGCTGTCCTTGTCATTCCCTCCGAGAATCCAAGAGAGGTGAACGCAAATCACAAATCCTTTACACTGGTCATCTAAGTGTAACTGATCAACTTCACTATTTTTTATTCGGCTTGTAGAAAGACGTGTACTACAATCATGCCATCGCTGAATAGAACAATTAATGGTACGGCAGGCTCGAGATGTATCTGAGAAGACATAATAAGCTCGCATTGTATCAATCTGTTCTCCAATTCTAAACATTAGATTATGGTATGGCTACTGAAGTCCTGTATACAAGTTGATGTACGGTAACACCACTGCCCGGGGGAACGTTTATAATAGCAAATGGCCTTTGATCATTATGAAAATCAGACTTCATTTAAAGGGACAGTAACACTCTTGCTGGCTTTATCTTTATCTTTATCTTTATTTCAAGGCAAAGCAAATCACTTGCTATAGCCAACATAGGTACATAGAATATATTTGGTGATTATTGCACAACATATAAGGAATATAAGGAACATAATATAAAAATAAAATAATAATATACAAAATAATATACAATAAAAAAATAATATATACATATATAAATAAAGTAGATTCAATATCTAAACATGTCATGAAGATAGTACAACAGTATATACAAAAAAGTTCCCAATAGGTGTTTAGTTTCATTTTTGGGTGTTTAATAATTGATTACGTAATTTCATACTTTGATATAGATATTTTCCTAAATAGATTATATGTTTATGTTTGGTGTTCGTTAAAATATTTTTGAATTTATGTAAAGAAGGAAAGGACCAAAATCTGCGATGAAAGAACTTGCGACGTAAATTTATATATGCTGGGCAACAGAGGAGAAAGTGGTATTCGTCTTCAACGGCGTTCGATGTGCAGCATGTACAAATTCTATTTTCACGGTCCGTTCTTGTTCCACAACGAAACTGACATATTATATTTTGATATTTATTTTCAATAAATGAATTTAGGTAAATTTAAGGTTCATGTACAGTTTTGAACAATTTAAAAAAACGCAACTTACTCGAATTTTCCAAGGAAGATAACCATTCTTGTTTAAATTGGTCTTGGATACGGGTTTGACAGCTCCAGAAAATAAAAAAAATAGCCTTATTCTAAGTACTAGATGTGTTAGTGTCCTACCTGTTGTGTAAATTATCCATTAAATCCTATTTTACTTGTCCAGAGGGTTCAAAAATATTTTTAAATCCAAGTCACATTTGAAAAGTTTTACGTCAGGCTTTTCAAATCATTTAGTTGAATTTTTCCAATTTTTTATATTAGGTGTGTTAAGATGAAATTTGTATGATCAATTAATTGGAATATTGTAAAATAGTACAATTTGTTGACCGGAATAAAGATTGGGACATAATATTCAGTTACAACAAGAGTGGTATTGAGCCTTTAATAAAGTCAAAAAGTCAATTATTTTAACCAAAACTAAGGATAGTATCTAATGGCGTATTTAAACAGTTATTATTCATGACAGTTATTACCAATAATACCAGATAGTACTTTCAGAGTTGGAATTTGCCAATATATATATATCGCTTACTTTCAGCAAGTTAAATTATTAAGGTTGCATGATCATACATTGACATGAGGCCAACTTAAAGAATTGCTTGAAGATATGTATTAGAAAATATACTATGTTATCATATGGCTGTCGATCACTACCAGTCGAGTTCAAGATTATTACATCCGGGCACTATGTATCTGGTTTCCGTATCATTTCCTTTTTCTAACACTCCATTCGGTTTCTACTCTCACATTTATTGTGACTCAGTAGGTAAGGCGCTAGGTTAGTTAACCAGAAGGCCCGGGTTTGATCCCGGTGTTTGTCGATAAAGGTCCCCGGGATTGTCCACCGTCAGTGCTGCAGGACGAATGGTCTGAAAAGAAACATCCTCTAGTCTTTCGGGTGGAACAAAAAATCAAGGTCCTGAGTACATATTGGTGTGCACGTCAAAGAACCCTTGAACTTTGGTATTCAATGAAGGGTTGACAGAAACACCGCTGTCCGAGCAAAATTTCCCTTATATATAGACTATGCTTGTCGTTAATATCCAGATAGGCACAGAAACGTAGAATGTTAAACCCCATTTCATTTCATATAAATATTTCATCATCAAGATTAGAAGTCAGCTAATGCTTAAATATTAATGATTATCTATATAGTTAATATACAAACCACAAGCTATGAAATTAGTTCAAGTACAAACGGACAGAAGAACCTAAGTATAGACACCCCTGATGAAGTGTTAATTTCCCCATCACGGAATTTTGAGAATGTCGTACAACCAGCTATTATTCATAATGTATATTGCGATTCGTTGGGTAATAAATGAGCCTGACTAATTAGAATAATCGAAGTGAAATATTGTAGTAGTGTGGCTTGTGTCTAAAGAAGAAGCAGCCATGCTGATGCGGTCTTTAATCGTTTTACTGACCTTGACATCGGTATCGGGCTTGAGTTTCTGTAAGTACAACCATTTATGTTTTAAAGCTGCTAATATTGTAAAGCAAAAACATTTTACGTTATTAGAAAATTCTTGCGATACACATTATGCCATCTTAAATTCTGAATGCATTTATTGCCATTAACAGTTGTAATTATCTCATTACCTCTACTCTTATCTCATTGCTGCAATCTCGTTTGTCACTGCCATCTCATTATTCCTACTGTTATCGCATTACTGTTACTGTTATCGCATTTATGTTACTGTTATCGCATTACTGTTACAGTTATCGCATTCCTGTTACTGTTATGACAATACTGTTACGCCATTACTGTTATGGCATTACTTTTACTGCTATCTCATTTTTTGTTACTGTTATAACATTACTGTTACTCTTATCACATTACTGTTACAGTTATGGCATCACAGTTACCTTTATGCTGTTATCTCATTACGGCAATTGTTATAGTATTTAGTAAAATCATGAGCATTATTATCTCATGACTGACACCCAAGCCTCGACCCACCAAATCAGTGTATAAATGGTCTAAATGATTTCATTTATCTTCTATTGAAATTTAGAACAAAACACATCGGTTCTTAACTGCATATTTTGACCGTTTCAGTTTGTACACAGTTTCGACCGCTGAAAGTTCGGATAAACGAAACGGCTATCCGTGGTAAGTATCAATAATTCACCGATTTCTAGACCGATAGTTCTCTAAGAATTACAGATTGATCGACCGACAGTTACTTAAGAATATAACTGCCTTATTTATATATCTACTTGCAGAAAGGCCTTATCAAATAAAACTTTCATGTAAAGGCAACATCATTTTCATATTTTTTGTTCTGATATATATATCATGGATTTTGTTTATTAGGTTTGGATTGTTAAGCACCGTTTCGCATGTTCACTTCCCGGAATGCCAGAACCCTGATACGCCGCGGCACGACATATAAATAAATGCATGTTCTTGAAGCAACGACCGCGAGTTTTACATCTAGACGTTGTTAGACTGGTTTGCAATTCGCGAACTTATAGCTACGTTATCTCACTTTAACGAAAACACATGAACGATAGTCTCCAATCAGAGGTTGTGACACAAACACACTCAAATCAAACATGGCGACCACCACGGAAACCTTTACTTGAGCGAACCTTGAACTTTGCAACTCGATTATCACAGGTAGACATTTTAGCTGGAAAGCGCGAGAATTTTGGCATTCGCGATGATTGAGGAATCGAAATTAGTGCCGAAATATGCAGGGTGTTACGTGAAGTTCTTGATAAGATCAAGCCTTCTATTGAAGATGAGATAAATGATGCTTAACTAATGATTTAAATTTGATTTTTCTACAGGATCGGTGATCAAGACTATTCTTGAACCTGATGACAAAGTATCTTCAGTGCAGCTACTAGCGGGTGATTTATCCTATCTAAACATAAATGTACAGAGGAGACAATTACGGTTATTAAAACCAGTTCGAGATAAACGGGTAAGACACATTATACGTACAGTAACTAATTCGGGTAAGGTTCGGGATAAACAAATAGAACCATTATACGGGAAAAACATATATACGTATTGTAACCAATTCGAGTAAGGTTCGGGATAAACGAATATAGCCATTAGAGTTATTACAACGAGTTCGACATACGAGTAAATAACACAATTGTGAATTTGGTCTATAGCTGTCAAGTTTTTAAAAAAAACACGAACAATTTTGTTGACATTACATGTGCGACCTGCCCGTCTTCGTTATCCCAGTCGGAGCAGAGCAGTAGGACGTTAAACCCCATTTCATTTCATTTCATTTCAAATTGCTACTACTAATATAAGTATACTAATATATTTCTATAAGGTGTGATTGTTTTTCTTTCCAGGGGCAAATTCTGATTGTTACGGGCACTTGTTCAGACTACCTCGAACCGTATCGGGTATGAATTCTGTTTATTTTCTCCATTTAGAAATAAAAGTCAATTCGGGACTACAAAGTTCACGATTACATTGACATAATCCACATATAAAAATTATATATACGTTATATACATATTTTATATGTTAACGTTATTAGTGATAATAAATTATTAAGCGATATTAAAGAAGTGTTATATTTTCCGTTGCAGTCAGGTTCACATAATCATGAAAAAAAAAGTAAATTCTAGATATAGTGATCACCAGTATTTTTCTTTCATTTTCAAATCTTTCAAAGGGATCTTAAGAAATTTACATTTGTTTTACAGTATATGTTAAATTTATCAGTTAGTATCGAGGTAGAGATTTTGGACGTCAATGATCCACCACAATTTATTAACTTACCAACGTCTACCAGCGTATCAGAGGTGAGTTCTACTACACAGCATTGGCCGAGAAATTTCATCCAGATTTTCCGACGTGGTTTCCCCTTGTCAGTGGTGCAGAACGGAGGGCCTGACAAGGTCCCGTGTATATATTGGAATGCACGTAAAAGATCCCCTGGCAGTTGGAATTCGATTTAAGAGTAGGCGATAGTGCCGCTGCCCGGTCAAAATTTCCCTCTTGCACACTGTATGGCGTATGCCCGTCTTCATTAGCCCAGTATAGGAGCAGAATAGTACGACGTTAAACCCCATTTCATTTCATTTCATTTCATTTCTACTACACACTAGAACACAACTGCACTTGGAATTAGATAGGGGTGGAGCATAACGTGTCCACGAAAGATTCGTCGATTTCGTCAACTGTCAAATGTTATTTTACATGTACTCAAAGTTGAGCATGGGCGGACCTCCGTTTTTCTTGCTCCATAACATCCCACGAACAACTAGGCAACACTTTCCTTGCTCAAATATCATTTTTATAATGGAGACACTGCCCTTGTCAGCCCCTCCCCTCCCTTCCTGCACCCACTAACAAAGGATTTTTTCTCGGCCAACACCGGGATCGAACCCCGGACCTGCTAGTTAGTGAGCCAGCGCCCTAACCACTGCGCCACCGCTGTAAACACATCATAAAAATACAATTCGCATTATCCATATAAAAAATACGGTTATGGTGCTATTATATGTGAAAACATTTTTGTTTTCAGAGTACTCAGAACGGAAGTTGGGTTTTTGATATCCAAGCGGATAATCCAGATGATGTATATAATGACTTCACCAGAGTTTATTATTCTATACTGGTAAGATTATGTATATAATGACTTTACCAGAGTTTATTATTCTATACTGGTAAGACTATGTATATAATGACTTTACCAGAGTTTATTATTCTATACTGGTAAGACTATATATATATATAATGACTTCACCAGAGTGTATTATTCTATACTGATAAGACTATGTACACATAGTTTATTTAATGGGTGTTGGGTTGGGGGGCGGGGGCGCCTCTAGTTTTTTTTACTTTTTAAACTCGTCTGCGTTAAATCACAAGATCTATCATTGACTCAAGCGGCTTGGTTTCAATTCTCCGCTTGTACGTGTCAAGGAATAGGATCGCCTGTGCAATGCTGTTGGTTATAGAAAGGGAGCCACGGTCACGTGTGCAAATGGGCGTGCCCGTTAACGAACCACTGACATGTGGGATTCCATAGAAGAGTATGCCGTAGTGCCGCTGTCCGGGCAAAATGTTCCTCGACGTACGTATGCCCGTCTTAATTAGTCCGATCGGTTCATAACAGTAGGACTTTAAACCCCATTTATATTTTGTAAAAAATATTTTCTGAACTCTAGCTAGAGAGAGTTCCTCTTAATATCTTATTCTGAAATTTTGGATTTCTTTCATTCAGAGTTCCGGTTCAATTGACAAGCCTCAGGAGTCTGTAGATAACTGGTTTATAGTGGATGATAACGGTAGAGTTCATTTAAATACAAAATTAGATTTTGAAGAAGGACCAAGAAAAATAAAACTTGTAGTAAAAGTCCAGGTAATTTTGTTGTAATGTTTACAAGAGACAAACATGCTTTATTACCATGGGAGCCACGGTGGGTGAGTGAGTAAGGCGCTATTCATATTACGTGTAAGTGTTCCTTAGGTGAATGCCTCATCTGAGTTCGATGATAAGTATATTCTGTCTAGGCTAAGCAGAGCTAAACAATTTCATTGACAGACACATTGGAACATTATAACTAATTGGACGAGTTTGATAAAACTTGGTATACAATTTCATTTTCTGATAAGGCTAAATAGAGATAAGCAATTTAATTTTGGGGGGGGGTGGCCGAATGGTTAGCACGTGCGTGCTTTATCATAAAGCCTATCATTGAGTCAACTGGCGTGGTTTCGAATCCCCGGTTGTACGTGACAAGGAGTAGGGTTGCCTGTCCAACCTCGTGGGTTTTCTCCGGGTCCTCCGGTTTCCTCCCACTGCGAAAGACCCCTACGCGCAAGCGAATTATTGAAATAAAAGTAAACCATATGTTAGTCCCGAAATGACCTAGTTTGTGTCGAGTGGACGTTAAACCCCATTTCTCTCTCTCTCTCTCTCTCTCTCTCTCTCTCTCTCTCTCTCTCTCTCTCTCTCTCTCTCTCTCGCAATTTAATTGGTTAAAAGCTTGGAACACAATAACCCTAACCCTGTTTTTAATCGAGTACAATGTTTTACTTTGGTGTAGACGTTCGTTAGTTTAATGTCATGGCTGATGAGCATTCTCTGATATGGCTAATAATTATAAAATATAAAATAATTTCATTGACGTTGCTTTTATTGGGACGAGAGCGACGAAAATAACATTTATGCACAGGGGAAGCAGAGTGGTAACTAATTTGCATGCTCGATGCTTTACAAAAACATAAATGAACAAGTATTGAATGATCAAGCGTCGTCTTTTTATTTTGGGATTGAGACGGGATTGACCAGCCTCTGTGTTTCTTATAAATGGATCGGTACAGCTTTAATCAATTAATCCTGAGGGCACTATTTAAATACGCTGTAGCAGTTCAATTTCCCTTTGTCCGTGGTGCTGGACGGAGGATAGCTATCTAGTCGTTCAGATTGGACAAAAAACCTAGGTCCCGTGTACACATTCGCGTGAACGTAACAGATCCCTTGGAAGTTGGAATTCGATATAAGAGTAGGCCGTAGTGCCGCTGTCCGGTCAAAATTTACGTCATAGCACACTGTATGGCGCGGCCTAGTCGAAGCAAAACAGTAGGGTGTTAAACCCCATTAAACCCCATTTCATTTCATTTTTGTATATAAGCCTTAAAATGACCAATCAATTGTGTTAACAAAGACGTCATGGACAATTCATATCCACCCCCCCCCCCCCCCATACACCCCCCCACCCTGTTGATGGAAAATATGTTATATACAATTTACAAAGGATACAGATTTTATTTTATTGGATTGAAAACAATAACCTTCACTCATTATTTGTCTAACCAAAAGGATTTTGGGATTCCGGTGAAAAGAAATATATCGACCTTAACGATACTGGTAAAAGATGTTGATGATATGGGACCTCGTTTTGATCAACAGTTTGTGTCCTTTACTATCATTGGTGAAAAGCCCGTACAGGTATTTAGTATAATTTATTTTATTTGGTAATAAACTCATACAGTTAGTTATTCAGGACAATTATTTATTCTAACTCTAAGTAATCAAACACACATACAGCTGTTCAATGTAATTTACTATTATTGATGTCAAACAAATACAGTTTTTCAGTAGACCTTAATGTTATCGGCGAAACGCACGTACAGATAGATATTCGGTATAACTTACTATAATTAGTGAAAAACACGTACGTTTATTCGGTATAATTTGTGAAGAAATCAGTTTAAGATGTCAGTCAAATTCTGGTTTACATTGCCGTACTCTGAATGTAATACATACTATCATGTCCTATTAAAGATATATTATGGGAGATTAGATAACGAGTTGGCAGTTCTCACTATAATAGTTAAAAACTGGATAATGTAAAGGCAATTTGCTGAAAGTTTCAGTCAAATTGATCCACTATGAACCGAGAAATAAGCGATCGAAAGTTCCGCATATCCTCGGTCATCATTACTAAAGTCGGTACGACAAAAATCATAGTCTCGATTATCGATTCAATCGTTAAATCGAGAAGGAAAGTTATGCAGCAAATCGGATCATAATCCAACAATTATCGCAGGCTAGCGTTGACATCGAGAGTTGATTAAGGTCCGGATAAGTTAATTAATGTCTAATTAATAGTTTATATAACATTTCAGGCCTAAAGAAAGACCTGCAATAGGCAGATTTAGCTCTTGCATAATGTATGTTTAATATTTTGTTTAGCAAGAGGAATGTTTACCTACTACACCACCTTTATATGCTGAAGATCAAGATGCAGAAATCAAGTCACCAATAGGCTATAGATTAAATCAAGGTAAAGTTCAGCCTTTTGCTGTCAATATACCTCCTTTTTAATTAATAAAATCAGTTCGGAAGACAGGAAAGAAGGTGTCTTCAGCTGTAAGAGTGCACCGAGGATCTCGATAAATGCTTATAAGTTTAAGATGACGATGCTACTTCTTGTCATCCTCGTATCGGCCCACAGTAGCATTGTAGGCATTGAATTAGTACTGACATTAAAGTCCCACGAATATTTTGAAGTAATACGCATACTAAAGCTCCTTGGATTGAAGTAAGATTTCTATTAGATGCCCATTTCTATTAAAGCACAATACAATTATAATATTATGATTTTTAGTACAGGAAACTAATAGTTCCATAAACTGGTCCAAATATTTCCATATTAATCCTATCACTGGTCAGCTGTGTCAAAGACATACAGTCCAGGGTATCCAGACAAAGAGAGGTGATATCACAGTACAAGAAGTAATGGATGCGTTTAATTTAACCGTCGAGGTAATTGCATTTGTTATAAAACTATCAGACTATAGATCCATAAATTATAGATCACTGATGTGTTATACAGCGACGTTTCGACAAGTATTCTACAAGTATTCGCAACAAGCGATATGTAGAAAACTAAAAGCTAATATTTAGTAATATATACAGTAATAATAAGTACGAAGTGAGAGCGGTTCGGGTGCACACTACATGTAAACAAACTCGAAAGGGCACACCTATGGACAAGACAAAACCAAAACAGATATGGTAAGCAGTGAACAACAAATATCAAATCAAGTTATTTGATAGTCTCTATCATTCAAGGGCGTTCAAGACAAGCAGGTTATTTTATTCAGGGACCTGCCATCAGCGTCCACTGCGCTTTACAGTTCGGAGCCTGCAATACGACAGGCTTCGCTCAAAATGCAAAACACAATAATTTATAAGACAGACACAAAAATGCGAGCAGCCGTGACAATGGTTGTCTCCTGAAAGGCGCTTCCTGATGGCGATAATCTGCCGGATGAGTTATAACGTCAATAAATGATCAACATTAAGGGTGTAATACGGAGAGAATCTCGGAAAACGCTAAAAAATGGCAAATACAGTGAAATACAATGATAGGAAGGCATATAATATACAAGACGAAATTACCATACGAAATGTAATTGTTGACGAGACTTTAAACCCTATTCCACATCATATTTTTAGATTTATCTTTCATCATTTAAGCAAATGTGCATGTTTAAATTGTAGGCCTTTCAATTAGATGATCCAGACAAAACAGCAAGGGCAGTGATTATGGTGAAGATAAGTAATGAGAACCTGTATAAACCGACCTTTCTACAGATTAACTATACTGTTGATTTACCAGAATACCCCGTAATAGGACCAGGCACCCTGGTAACAACTGTCGTAGCTGAAGACAGAGATTATGTTAGTATACAAACTCGTTATTTGTCAGATTGCCTACTGTTCTTAAATGAAATGTAATAAACATGAGATTTAACAGCTTATTTGAAATATACTATTCATTATTGTTTGTTTTGTTGGGAAGCACGTTGGCTAAGTGAGTAAGACGCTGGCTCGCTAGTTGGGAGGTCGCGGATTCGATCCTGGTGTTGGCCGAGAAAGTTCATCGGGATTTTCCTGCGTGGTTTCCCCTTGTCAAGGGTACAGGACGCTGGGCCTGACAAAAACAGCTGTCTAGTCGTTCAGATGGGACGAACAACAGAGGTCCCGTGTACAAATTGACGTGAACGTAAAAGATCCCTTGACAGATGGAATTCGATATAAGAGTATATTTTCCTCATAGCACATTATCCCAGTCGGACCAGAACAGTATGAAGTTAAACCCCATTGTTTGTCAGATATCACTTGATTAAGATAATTTAAGATAACAGTAATATAGATACATCACTGGACTGGAAAGCACGAAAGAAATATTCCGAGAGTGAGGTGGGTATTTTGCAATGCAGTGGATCAAAAGTGCCCCCCCCCCTCCTTTTAGTTACGTCAATGAATGTGACGTCTTTAGGGATTGGCTAGCAGACAGATAACACCGTTGATAGAAACGATGTATATATTGTATAAATTATATAAACTATAATATAAAAATCCGAAAGCAATTTTGTGCAATGAATAGCCAGTTCCCAAATCATATTTTCACCCAAATTTGCAATTAAACGAATTATACATGTTACGAATCAGTCTTTACTTCAGTAAAATGTCGGGAACCCGAGAAAATTTTGATAAATTGTACTGGTCTACAGTTTAAGGAATTTGACTATCTGGTTTTTGTTTCAGGGGAGAAATGGTGAATTCTTGTTGAGTCTGTCGGTGAATCCATTCAATGCATTTTCTATAAACCCTACAACTGGTGAAATACGAGTAGAAAAACCTGAATTAATTGATAGAGAACAAAATTCAACTCTTATATTAAAGGTATATACTACCTTATCTGGTGGTTTAATATATATAGTTTATAATAACATATTGCATTTTAAACCCTTGCTCGGGTGGCTCAGTGGGTAAGATGCTGTCTAGTCGTTCGTAAAAGAACTCTTGACAGTTGGAAGTCAGAAACGAGCTGTGGCTAGTCGAGGACTTTGTTTTTGCACCGCTCTTGTATGGCGACAATTCGAAAATGCGTATGTTTTTGTCAAAGAGGGCTATTTAGTTTTAAAAGAGTTATTGCCCCTAGTTTAAACTATTTCATTCCAGGTAAAGGCAGAGGAAACTAAGAGTGTCGAGGGTCATGTTAGTTCACCCGAGGCCCAGGTGCAGATAACTCTACTAGACGTTAATGACAATTCACCCATTTTCAACAAAAGTTTGTTTAATTTTACCGTAAAAGATAATCACCAAATTGGAACTGCTATACATAAGGTAAAGCGATATTTTTATTCATCATATAATTCTCAAACTACTAATTAGACCTGAAATGTGTCTGATTCGTTAAGTTTATAAACACAGTGCATGGTAAGTACACTTACATCATTATGTTAGCAATGTGGGGGCCGCGGTGGTTCACTGGGTTAGACCTTGAGGTCCCGCGTTTGATTCCGTTGTTGCCCTAGTCAGTGTGACGAAATACCGAGAAACTGTGTACACATTACCGTGCACATAAAAGATCCGATGGCAGTTGGAAATCTAAAAAAGAATAGGCTGTAGAGCTGCTGTTCGGGCACAATTGCTACCAAAGCCCATTGCGTATGGTCGTCTTCAGTAACCCACACGGCGCAGAAAAGTAGAACGTTAAACTCCAATTCATTTCATTTTTGTTAGCAATGTGAAGTAGCTAGTACCAATTAATCTACGTACGGTCCCGCAAAACAATTGGTATAAACAAGGGTCGTATTTAATACTGGAACCTAACAGACAACTTCACATTAAATATAACACGTTTCCTTAATCTAAACGGTATTCAGTTAAAAACAATATCATATAAACCTCTAAGAATCTTAGTGGACTTAATTTCTGCCGTCAAAAGGCAAAACCTAGTAACTCACTTTTGTTTTTATCAAAATTGAGTTAGGACCAAAATTGTAATTACTAGGGTATGTGCTTCCTGTTGTTGTACTAGATCTTCCAATCTTTTGATTTTGTAAGCAGTTACACCCATGACGCAACCTAGCAACTTACTTCATTTGCCTAGAATACCACAGCAAAACCTAGTAACTCAGTAGTGAAATCAATGGATGAGCTGGGGTTTAATATTCATTCATTTGTTTTCTCAAAATAAGAAAAAAAGTGAGTTACTAGGTTTTGCCTTTTCACGGGAGATTTAAACATCATCGTCCTAAACGTAATTCAACTGAGGGGCGAAGAACGAATTTTAGACCCTACAGTGGATAAAGAATAACTTCTTAAACTCTAAAGAGACTTAATTAAGTGCAGAGCGGAAATCGACCTTCCGAACCTGTATGATCATAATGTCTTCTGGTCTGTTCTCTACAATGCTGTAATATATGGCTAAATCTATTGGCTAAAGCCAGCTCAATTTTTGTCAAGGTCGCTGAGATGTAAATAAGGTTAGGGCACGTGATTGTTAGCGAGATTGTAGCTTATGGCTTGGGTAAACATTGGGGCTAGGCCCAGGGTTAGGGTTGGGATTACCGCTAGCCCTGTATACGTATGGTGACTTATGACGGAAAATTGAGCTGGCCTTATCATTTATCACTAACCGCATTTATATAGCACACATGCACGTGTGTATTTCAGTTTGAAGATCGATTAGTAGCCGAGGATGCTGACGAGGGTAAAAACGGATTGGTCAGATTAGCCATTGTCAGTGTGCAGAACATGAGAGGAACTTTCTCCCTGAATGATTATCAACGTTTCCGTATAAACGACGAGGGTGTGATCATTCTCCAGAGCAGCCTGCGAGCGTTACGGAGGGAGGAAAATCATCCCGAGTACATAGTTGTTGTTCAAGCAAGGGATTCGGATGAAAATGAAAAGCAACAAAGGTTCAGTTAATTTATAATACCTTTCAAATAATTTGACACGAAACACCATTACCCATTTCACAATTAAGAAATGTGGGCTTTACATCCCTCAATGGTGGGGGTGTGGTCAACACCCTGTTTCACTTACCAAAGTCTATAGAAAATATAAACATCGATTCATGCCTGTATTTATCAAAAACTTATATTTAGGAGTACAACTACACGTGTGTTTATTAAAGTATTAGAAGCTAATGATTACCCCCCAGTATTTGAAAAGGAAGATTATAAAGTATATATTAGTGAAGCTGCTCCAGTGGGTACACTCATCACAGAAATAAAGGTTAGTTATTTCAAACAGTCTGATTAAAATACAGATCTTTATTTCGTTTCGTTTTTTTATACTTTCAACGACCTACACTACATGAAGATCTGCCCAGTTATTTTGGGAGGTCGCGTCAGAGGTCATATGAGCGGCTTTTGATCCTATGATGTCAGATATTTGATTAACCAATCAGCATTGATGTTTCTAGTGGATTACCCACAGTTCAGTGCACCACACACCAAAAACTCGCGGTACCAGACCGTTTCTTTGAATAATCCATCACATCACCCAGAACACGTCAATGATAACAACTCTTCCAGATCCTAGTGTAGGAAAGACAAATAAAACGAAATTTTGAACTATAAAAAAACAAACGAAATAGGATCTGTGTTTTAGTCAAAGTGTCATTTTAAACAAATATTAAAATACGGTTAAACCTAACATTTCATATTACTTATACATACGAAACTTACGCTTATACATACGAAACTTACGCTGTATGTCTGCAATTCAGACCGCTCATAAAGATATAACAACACGACAGAAACAGACAATACTGGAAATTAGTCGGACAAACATTTATATATGGACAGATGTGAGCCTATACATATATATGGTAGACATGTAATAATTAGACACGTTGATCGAAATATACACTGTAATCATTCCACACATTGAAAGAACTGTACAATGTAAACACCTTTTAAAAAGGTGCAAGCAAGTGTGCAAGCGAAACTACTGCAAATGTTTAAAACAAATGATGAATGCAATCGTTGCAAACCTTTGAAAAACGAAGCTATTATAACCATCAATATATTCGGCCCTACAGGTAACTGATGAAGATGGTGATGAAGATTTGTTTGTAAAATATGAAATAACATCAGGAAATATTGGTGACGATTTTAGAATTTCGGAAAGGTAAACATGATTAAAACTATATTATTCTGTTTATAAACATAAAGCACAAACATATCTGTTTTCTTGCAGTTGCGGTTCCTTTATTAGTAAAGCACCAATGAAAATGAAAGTTATGAATCAATTTTTTTGTAATACTTTTAATATATATGCGGCTTAGCCGTCTATATTTCCTTTATTAATACATTTTTGTGATAATTTTACCCTTTGAATTGTTTTATTTTAGAGGTTTCCTGTTTATAGAAAGACCATTAGATCGGGAGAAGGTTTCGTTTTATCATTTAACAGTTTCAGCTTCTGATGGCTTACATGTAAGTTGTTGGGTCGATATAAGTTGTGTTTTACTTGGCATACATTTTAATTACTATCACCACCTCCCTATCACCCCTTAAAGACTCTGTCATTTGAGGGATTTATGAATTTAAAGAGATTTAAAGACGCTACTGTGAATGTTCAATTGCATACAGTATTTACAAAGATATGATCAATTCAAAATATGTCATCATTCGGGATATAGTTAAAAACCAGCACCACCTGTAATCTATAACTTACAAAACGTTAGAGAAAACAATGTTAGCTTCAAATATTCATAACTTGATCCAGAACGGATCGATATCAATAAATTTATTTCTGGTTAAGGTATGGCAGGCTATTAAACCCTTTATGGTTTATGCAAGCACATTAGGGCTTTAACAATGTGAACTGGCACCAGGTGTTCTAGAAATATACTGAACCTCGTGCGCTTTATTCTTCTAATTAACGGTCTGTCATTGAGTCAACTGGCGTTGTTTAGATTCATCGGTTGTACGTGAGTAGGGTCGCCTGTCCAACCTCGTGGATTTTCTCAGTGTCCTCCGATTTCCTTCAACAGCTAAAGACCCCCATGCGCAAACGTATTATTGAATTACAATTGAACCATGTGTTAGTTCCGAAAAGACCTAGTTTTCTCGAGTGGATGTTAAACCTCTCTCTCTCTCTCTCTCGAATCTAATTAACTAAAAAAGTTATAATGCAAGGATAATTTCTAAACATATATATTTTCCAGGTGCGAGAAACCATGGTAACAGTGAATATACGAGATACGAACGACAACTCTCCAGTATTTAGTCAGACAATATTTGATTTCTATATACCAGAGAATGTTACAAGCAGATTGGATATTGGTTCAGTAACAGCTACAGATGCAGATGAAGGACCAAACAGTAAACTTGTCTATAGGCTGTCAGGAACTAATTCCCATATCTTTAATATTACAAAGGTATAATAACGAACATTTGTGAACTCGAGTTGAAGCCAACTGAGTAATATGCAAGTGAAAAACGCATGACTTGTTTATAAAATGATATGTCAATTAATCAATTACTATATGAACCAGGCGTCAGCCAATATGACCCATGACGTCATTACAGCCATCTTGGAGTGTCGCTCTCAGAATAACAACAAAATTACCAAGTGCATAGATCCAGTTCCAGGTTCACAAATAGATTAAATAAACAAATTCGGGCCTTTTGCATGTGGTAAGGGAAATACCCTTTAGGTTTGTAGACTTTGTGATCAAACTCGCGTATGCATTACGCATTAATTTTATTGATACGTATCGGAATATGCCATGATACAGCTTGATGATATTTCTATGATATTTGTATATTAATTCAGGACGGTTTACTAGTACTAAATGGTCCAAGTCCTGTAGTTGACAGAGAAAAAACGGAAGTTATAATTCTTCAAGTTATAGCCGAAGATCTGGGCCAACCACCACAAAAGGTGAGAATACGCGTCAAAAGAATATTTAATTTGGAGATGTTTTCGGTGGTTTTGTAATGTTTTGCAAGGGTTCCCTATTTATTTACCGCTTTTCGGACATAATTGCTTCCCTATTGTTGCACAGTCGGATTCTATCTCCATAGAAGCAAAATCTGGTTAATCGTTTACTTTTCTGGACCAACACCGAAGACGGACCCACAAAATTCCGTGAGCTATGAAGGTATTTTTGTTTATTTTTTCAAAAACAAATTATGTGTACGCTAACGAGTACATGGAACCTCGTTGTTTCGTCCCATCGGGACGACTGGACGCTGTTTACTGTCAGGACCTCGGCACTACATCACTAACAAAGGGAAAGCACGCTAACAAGCAATTTGCCGTCAACCAACACCGGGAACCAACTGAATATTAATCCAAAGGCTAACTGTCGTCATACCAAATTGTATGCATTAAAGATACATAATCAGAGATTAGATAAAGAGCTGGCAGTTTCACTATAATAGTTATAAACTAGATAGTGTGAAGGGAATATGCTGAACATTGCAGTCAAATTGCCGAGTAAACCTTATTTTAAAATCACTGTAGTCTCTGTTGTCATTGTTACAGCTGTCAAGATAATTAACAAAGTTTCGATTATCCAGTTTTTCAGTTAATCATCAACGGGCGTTGACCAGCTGAACGGATTCAAATCCTGTGACAACAGGACACATAAGATGGCATCGAGAGTTGATTATGACCTTTTGATGTTAATCTGTCTATTAAATAATTTATATAAGACCTCCAATAGGCAGGTTAAGCTCTTGCATAATGTATGTTTAAGCTCAGCATTCTGATCTGTCAATATTGTTTTACTAAATAATCTGGATTACAGGAAGATGCAATGATCAGAATTTATCTACAGGATATAAACGATGAACCACCTGTTTTTACACATAGTGTTTATAGGGTCAAAATGATGGAGCCAATCGCATCAGATGTTGCTAAAAACCAAACAATTGATATGGATGTTAGTTTAACTGTCACTGATAATGACGTCGACGCAGAACATCGTGACGTAGTGTACAGTTTACATGATGGGGGTCTCGGTTTGTTTTATATAGACGAAACTACTGGAAGTTTATTTGTGACCGACACAAGTTTAATTGATTGTGAAGCCAATGACACCTATACATTCAAGGTAATTAATACAGACTCTAAGAGATCATGTATACGCGGGGAGATTCCTCAAGCTATAAATAAACTGATGTCAGAGGCCATGTCTGTCACCTCGCTTCTTTAAGTGAGTGTCCATTTTTTAAAATGTATTTTGCATTACTTACTGTCCATCTACCATACATATTGAGTCTAAGTAAATTCTTAATTATTTTCTGTCAACTTCTTCTCCGTTTAATTACAGAGTCTTTTGTACGTTCACTTCCTCAATGTTCCCAATACCTCCTAACTTCTTGATCAAGAAATAACAACCGCTCCCTCAGTCAAGCCAACACACAATAAGCTGGCAGACCCAGTCGGGTTGCCGATTAGTGATTCCCTGACATTTCACATTGAAGATATGAAATGAAGTGGGGTTTAACGCCCAACTGTTCTGCTTCGGCTGGGCTAACGAAGACGGGTATATTGAAGAGTAAATCTTGATTATTTTTGTTTTAAATTTTTTTATACGTGATCGTAAAACTACGATGTAGGCACATGGAATATTCTTCAAGTAACGTCCTTGATATGTTTTTCATATTTCAAAGATTTCAGCCTTTGATGGTAATTTTACAACATTTACAACACTAATACTGGATATTGAAGATCGAAATGATAACTCACCTCGATTTACCAGTAATATGTCCTTCGTTAGTTCTCCGTCTAGTCGCATTGGCAGTTTGGTTGGTCAGCTAACTTCTGAAGATAAAGACGTCACAGAGCAGAACAGCCACGTGGTATATCTGTTATTGGGAGGTAGTCTGGATAAATTCTCCGTAAACTCAAAAACAGGTCAGACATATTTTATTTTTAAAATGACTAGATGGATCAAATGATGGGCATTTGTAATTGGAATTAGTTCACAAGGTTATAGTTTGTAAATTAATAAAAAAAAACTTCGACACGTGGTTTCGAGCGTGCTTCGTCATGTTACGGTCGTGGGAGTGTCCACAGGAAGAGAAGGGAACGCGAGTGGCGACTAGACCCCTTATGGTGCTAGCATCACGGGGTAAATAACTTTACCCTTCCTGTATTCTTAGCAAATTCGAAGTTTAAGGCTTCTTCTTCTGGACTTCTAAACGAAATGAAATGGGGTGCAATGTCCTAATGTTCCGACTGTGCCAACGAAGACGAGCATACGCCATACTGTATGATATGAGTCAAATTTTGTCCCTACAGCGGCTATACGGCCTACTCTTTTATCGATTCCAACTGTAAAGGGATATTTTACGTGCACGCTAATGTCTACACGAGACCTCGGTGTTTGGTTCCATCCGCACGAATATACGTTGTCCCTTGCAAGATCCTGGATTGTGCACCCCTGACAAGGAGAAACCACGTCAGAAATTCCGATGAACTTTCTCGACCAACGCAGGGAACGTTTCATACACTGACCCACAGTGGTACTCGGAACTTCTGAGTTCTGAAGCCCGTCTGCTTATTTTGGACATTGAATCACATCTATAACATTGGGATATTTTTAATCGCAGACGGTCATCCCGTCTGTTTGGGAAGCCCACGTGACAAAACATTTGCTGATTTTCTGTGTTTCATTTTCAAGGCGAGATTCGGGTTATTGATGATCTGACACAAGAGCCTTTCCGGCGCCATTATTCTCTGAAGGTGAAGGTCGTTGATTTTGGACAGCCACAGTTATCTGATGAAGCAGTTGTCGAAGTGTATGTTCCAATCAACCAGCCACCAGTCGTTCCACAACAGTATGTGTTTAGAATCAACGAAAGCTTCCCAACAGCTGCCGTGATTGGTAAACTAACCTCCACAGATCCGGATCATGGCGTTGTTGTTTACAGGATATCCGGAAGTGATGACACACGTTAGTATTTTTGACCAAATCGTATAACAACGCCTTATTGGTTGATAAATAATAATAATAATAATGTACATTTATATAACGCTTAATCCATCCATGAGCATGCTCTAAGCGCTGTGAGTTAATAGCTTCTGTGGATAATACATCGTGAACATATGCGTCTTAAGTCTAGATCGAAATTGAGCAACTGTTTCTGAATATTTTATTTTGTCAGGTAAGTCATTCCATAGTCGTGGACCATATACACTGAAGGCTTTATCACCAAAAGATTTTAATTTAGTTGAAGGTACAACAAGTGATAGATTATTCTGTGAACGGAGTGGTCGGTTTGGTACATAAGGCTGCATAAGATCTGTGATATAGGATGGAGCTGAATCATGCTGAGACTTGTAGACCAGTGTTAAGATTTTAAAGTTTATACGAGCCTCTATTAGTAACCAGTGAAGCGATTTAAGGACAGATGTTATATGTTGACGTTTTGCTGTTCTTGTGATGATTCTGGCACAGTTGTTCTGAATTATTTGAAGTCGCTTTAATAAATGTTAAGATATTCCAGCCAAGGCACTATTACAATAGTCCAATCTTGAAAAAATTAGAGACCGCACCAAAAGATGACAAGCAGCAGTAGTCAATAGATGACGAATGTTTCCTATACTACGAAAGCATATGAAAGAGAAGATGTATGCCATTAGTGTCGAGGCTATAAATTCCGTTATTTCTTTACAAGCTGACTAATTTCAACAATCATAGCTGCATATTAGTTTCCACTTTATAGATTAGTGCTGCCTTTTTTCTTGAATCTTTCTGTTACAATCAGGTTATACATATTATTGATGCCTTTTTACTTTTACATGACAAGGAGTAGTGTCGCCTGTCCAACCTCGTGAGTTTTCTCCGGGTCCTCCGATTTCCTACCACTGCTAAAGACATTTACACACAATAGAATTGTTGAAATAAAATTGAACCATGTGTTAGTTTGTGTCGAGTGGACATTAAACCCCATTTCTCTCTCTCACTCTCTCCTTTTTACTTTCAGTGCCTTTTTATGTGACAAATGATGGCTCACTCCACCTCGCTGCTCGACTGGACACAGAAAAGCGTGATGTATACAATTTTCCGGTAGACGTCATAAATTATGGCGAGCCTAATGTTACGATTCACTCATACGTCACTGTTTATGTTGAGGACGTAAATGATGAAGTTCCTTTATTTTCTACGTGGTTCTATACGGCAGTAGTACCAGAAACAAATGATACAGATTCATTTGATGATTATTTATCAATAGTAAGTAATTACCAGAATGATTTAGAATTACATTTATCAATGCGTTAAGTAACTCTTATATCACTCGGCAAACCTAAACAGATTCCAGTACCCTATCGTCGGCTGTATGACGAAGTCCGCCATTGGAACTACTTTCAAGTTCCCGGATTACCAACGGCGTTGCCCATGACGACGCCGTTGAAGAATGTTTCATCATACAGATATTTCAAAGTCTGAAGCTGTTTTCTTTCAAGTTTATCCGATTTTTTTCAAACAAGGACAACTTTTCACTGAAAATTCTACACACGCTTCGAACGACGTAATACTGATAACTTATTTTTAAAAGCGGCAAGTTTTCCTAATAAGTAAACGGTGCCGCATCGCAGTTGTATAGGCGTAGGTACGTATCACTTACCGTCATGTAGCTAGATGTAGAGTAATGAAATCTGCCGAGGTTTGCCGAGTGACTCTTATATTTGCAACAATCTTGATCATGAAGCGCGTCTGGAGAGTGCTGTCCTGTATTTGTTTTATCGAGATCCTGACTAAATTGAATAATTGGTAGACCCCAGACCGGATGTACTACAGGGTATTGTTGTTGCCACGTTCTATAGTCTCGAACATCTAGTATACCCCCACCATATCCTTGCTAGGTATAGCTAAGATAGTAGCAATTTGCTTCTATATTTTTGCATATACAGTGCAGTTAATCAATATATTATTATGTTTCAGTCCCCACCCCTCGGGGTAACTGATTTAGATGCACGCGAAGACGAGCAAGTGGTTTATAGTCTCGGTGGCAGTGGAGCAGAAGATTTTATAATAGACCCGTTAACCGGGACTATAGTCGTCAACCAATCTTCCAGTATTGATTGTGAAAGAAAATGTGAATACAACTTAAAGGTTTAGTATGTTATGGATTTACTAATTTGTTTTTATGTTATGCACAATATTAGTTTTTATTGTCAAAGGACATTTGAATTAGGTCTTTTACAAATTGCACTATAACAATAATACACGCAATATTCTGTTACCCGGGTGTAGCCAATCCATTCCTTCCTGGAGAGCTGAAACGTAAGGGTGCCATCTTGTAGTCGCCAATGGCAATAATTTTATGAATACTGATAATGGTTATATTAAGTAGTATGATAAATTGAAATCAAAATAAAGATAAGTTTTCCAATAGTAGCGTGAAGTGACTTATTTCACGCATCACTGATTTTAATTAACAAAGATTTGAATCCAACGACACACAGGGACAACATGACCGAATTCTTTGGGTTTTATTAAATGGTGATTTGGGATAGTTTGTCGTTTTTACTCTCCAAATGGATCTGCCAAGGTTACAGACAAGGCCAATCAAATACAATGCGGTTTCTGCTGACATATTTCTGTTATCTGATATTGTTTCCTTACAAGTTTATTACACACGAAAGATCGACATATTTTTTGTTATTCTAATTAATTAATTAAAGGTATTTACTATGATTTCTAATAGCTTTATTTCATCAAAATTATTAAATATTGTTTTCCTTATAAGCTGAGAGCTAGAGATGAAAATGGAGAAGGTTTGGAAGGATTTGCTAATCTGAATATTAAAGTAACAGATATAAACGATAATCCGCCAATTATTACTGATAATACGATCTTATTTTACATCGAGCCTTCATCGCCAATAGGCTCACGTGTGGGTCAAATTGAGGCTAAAGATGGCGATTATAGTGACGTCAACAACAGAATAACCTTCACCCTTACAGACGGTGGCCTCGGAAAGTTCTTTATACATCCTAGCTCAGGTAAGTTTGCACACATTATCTTTGGATGACATGCTCGCCATCATATAAATCAGGGGTAGAGCCTCCGAGTGGTTTAAACTTTTTCGCTTTAAATCTTTAGGTCGTTCACCGAGACAAGTATTGTGACATCGAATAAAAGCCATTTTGGTTAAAAGTTATTTTTGGTGTGTAAGATACCGACAAAACTGTTTAAAGACATGTAATAAACGACAATAACATTATGTTGTTTTACAGGTGTTTTGGCATTATCTAACAGTCTGCTCCAGGATCCGGTACAAGAACTGTATGAAATGACCGTCACGGTTATAGACTCGGGGACACCTCCTTTATCTTCTGTTACCACAGTTATAGTCCATGTTCCCATCAACACCCCTATTCAAATAAATTCAAGTCTACATTTATTAGTAGCTGAAAACAAAACCGTTGGTTCAGTGTTATGGACGCTACAGGAAGAAAAATTGAAAGTAGAAAATATATCATATCTGTTGGAATATGATTCAGGTAGAACAATTATTACTCAGTATCGTTCCGACTTACAAGAGCATATTTCCGCGGGGAGCTGCAATGGTTCAGTAAATAGAACATTGATTCGCTAACAAGGCAGTTCCTGTGTGGTATATCCTAGCAAGGAATAGCGTCTAGTCGTTCAGATGGTACCAAAACTCGAGGTCCCATGTATACGTTGGCTTGTACGTAAAAGAATCATTGAAGTTGGACTTCGAAATTAGTATAGGCTGTAGCGCCTCGGTTCTGGCAAAATGTTGCTGATAACACATCCCTCCCCTCATTATCCCTTTCGGTGTAGAAAAACAGAACCTTAAACCCCAATTCATTTCATATTTTTCTGGATTGTTTGCTCTGTCACTTTTAAAGATACGGCATCTGTTTTTTCTTCCTTGACTAATACTGTAGTATCGAACTGGATTGACCCGTGGACATGGTTCATGCTTGAGTCATAACCCATTTGGACGAGAAAGTTGCTCGGAAATTTCCAGCCTGATTTCTCCGTGTGCAGTACGAGTATTTTTACTAGATCTATAAGTCGAGACATTTCACGGGGATTTTCAAGATCTGTTTCCTATCATAGGTTCGGTTATACAATTCGCAGCAATTTGAATTCGAAGTAAGAGTAGGCCGTAATTCCGCTGTCCGAGAACAATGTTCTTCATACACGACAAGGCGTATGTTTATCTTTATCATCCGGGTTGGTGCAGAAATGAAAGACGCTATACCTCACTTCATTCGAATACCAAATGGATTTCTTGAAACAAATTGAATTTTATTTTTTAGAAACTTTCTTAATTGAGGAATATATTGGTGATATTTTACTGAAACGAGAATTAGATGCAGAAACGGATGATAAATATTCACTGACAATTCTCGTCATTGACCATGGTGAACCAACTTACACCTTTACAACCACGGTTAATATAGATGTACTGGATGTCAACGACAACTATCCTACGTATTCAACACTATCATACCAGGCGCAAATATCAGAAAATAACGATCCAATGGCAAAAACAATCATTCATTTGGTAAGACGTTTATCTATATTGTGCACGTCACAGAGCAAAAAACAAAACAATATTAGTATAATGAATAAATTAAATATGGACGCTGTATAATTTTTGTATACCATAAACAGAACAATCTAGGTATGTAACTATGTATGATAATCTGCTATGTTTGCTTATATCAGCTACTGATTTTTGAAACAGAAAATGGTATCATATATTTGGTCACCTTCTTCTTCTTCTTCTTCTCTTCCGTGTTATTGGAGCGACGCTCGTCAAATAACAGCTTAAGGCTCTGCAAATTTGGGTACGATTGACACGAAACTTGGCATGTTTGTTCTTGGACAATTGCGAATGACATCACAATTCCAGATGGATGCGATGACATCAATGTCGGTTCCTAGTTCATACATATAGCACCCTCATATTCAAACAATTTGGCCTTTATTCACAGTTGTAAAATGTTATACATTCTTGTGCAACTGATCACCAATCAGTCTGTTTGGGGTTAGAACAAAACTGTCCTCATTTACAGAGTATTGTCGGTAGGTTCCGCCATTAGATGTCACAGATCTGGATATCACAAGTCACAAGACGAATATAACATACCGTCTCCTTGGTGACGAGTCTGATATGTTTCAAATGGATTTGAACTCTGGAAAAATAACAGTACAGCAAGGGCGACAACTCGACTGTGAAGTGAAGTGTGATTACCAGTTCCAGGTCAGTATATAGTCAAAATTATGTGTCAAACTATTTTGTTGTAATGCATGCAGAGCACGGTGTTCTCGGTCCTTTAATTGACCCCGGTGTTGTCTGAGGTAGTGCTTGGGGATGTTCTTTGTCATCGGTTGAGCAGGGCGGATAGGACAAAACCCCAACTTCCCGTGTTTGCGATTAACAGCACGTTGACGATCCACTGGAATATGGAGAAAAAAAAGGAGTAGGTAACTCTGTTGTCTGAGCAACATCTCCCACCTTGCATCGTTATGTCAGGATTTGTTAGCCCGGTAGATATCGAAAAATGACGATAAACTTGAAATGCATATGCATTCAATTTGTCATCACAACGAATTGATTCAGTGGGAAGCCATTTGATATTATATTATTATTATTATGGCACTGGGTAACAATTATCGAACATCAGTATCTAGTAATTCCGATTGGAGCAACTGAAGTAGATATAATAATGCCTCCATAATGTGCCTGAAATGTAACAAAACTAGATTAAGAGCGCTTTCTACTACAACACCGACCCCACCAGATCCACTATAATTCCTATAAATCGCTTCAAAACGTTTCCCAATATACATAGAAATATATATATAGACCATTTGATTTGGTCAATAAACTTACTGGGTATGAACAGATGTCACGATCAAAATGACAGCATTGCCAACGTTAAACATACATTATGCAAGCGCTAAATCTGCCTATTGCAGGTCTTTCCTTAAGGCTGAACTATTTTCTAAGTTATTAATTAGATATTAATTAACGGATCCAGGCCATAATCAACTCTCGATGGCATCGGATTTCTCCGATACTAAATAGATTAAAAAGGTTCTGCCATATTTTGATTTATTTTAAAAATGGAGAAGCGAGACTGAGCTTCGAACAACCAGTACTGTAGTTGAAAAAATTGCACACGTCTTGTCAAACATTCAAAGGTTAATATCTTCGCTCGCAATAGAGTAATTAGAATGAAATTTTCAAATTATTCATTTTACATTATATATTTTCGAACTATTATAGCAAGAATGGCTAGTTCTTTATCTAAATCATACATAATGTATCTTTAACGTTTTGTATTCATAGATTATAGCTACAGACGAAAATGGTACTGGTCTGTCTTCAGCAGCTTTTCTAGATATAGAGATAAAGGATGAGAACGACCACCGACCAGAATATCATCGTAATTTTAGTTTTAGTGTGAAACCATCAGTACCTATAGGACGTGAGATAGGAACAGTAAGAGCTGCTGATAAAGATAAAGATCCAATCAACCATAGGTTATTGTATTATTTAACCGGTCTGGGTGGTTATGGCAAGTTTCAAATAGAAACAGATACAGGTAATTATAATTATTTATCTTGCGATCATTTTATTTCATTAATTCGCATGCGCGTAGGGGGTCTTTGGTAGTGGGAGGAACGGGAAAAACCCACGAGGGTGGACAATCGACCCTACCCCATATCATTTACAGGCTGGAAATCGAAACCACACTACACTACTGATCTAACTCGCATACGTTAAACGATTTGGTAACACAACCCCAATTAGTGATCTTGCGGTCATTTTATTTTGTTAATTCGCATGCGCGTAGGGCTATTTGGTAGTGGGGGGGGGGGGTACAGAAAAAACACCCGAGGGTGGACAATCGAGTCTACCGCTTATCACGTACAGGCTAGGAATCGAAACCACACTATTTGACTCAATGACAGATCTACTTATCTAACTCTTATGCGTTAAACGATTTGGTAACCCAACCCCAATTCTGATGCATGTTACCCTTTCTTTCCGTATCTTATAATTTACCGGGATGTATACATTGTTATATTCCAGGAACTATTTATACAACTGATTCTCTGCTACGGTCACCTGTTTTAGAAGATTATTATATTAAAGTTGTGGCTGTCGATTTCGGGTCGCCTCAGTTATCAGGGGAGACGACTGTTCATATTCACGTTCCTGTTCACCCAATACCCAGATTGTCAGACGAAGTTTTATTTTCGGTGGAAGAGAATCAGCCATCTAATACAGTCGTTGGACAAATACAGATAAATACCACGGACAAGATACATTATATTCTTGGTGTCAAGTCAGGTAACCTTCGGCCACCATTTGAGAAATTTTGTTGAAAGGAACTCTAAGAGTGGGGAGGGTGCACGGTGGTGCAGTGAAATCGGTTATGGTCGCATTATTACATTCCGGGTGTCTTCTTGATTAAAGTATTTTCTGGATTAAAGTAAATTTATATTTTCGCTGGATTCTTTGGTTTAAGTCAGGTAGTATGGGAGCCTTATCATCAATCTGGGTGTTCTTTGGAATCGCAGGTTTCCTTCCGTGGCTACGAGGGAGCCACATTGTCTAAGTGGGAAAGGAGCTGGCTGGCGCGTTCGATCCCGGTAATGGCCGAGAAAGTTCATCGTGATTTTCCGGTGTGGTTGCCCCATGTCAGTGGTGAAGGACGTAAGGTCTGATAAAAATATCTGTCTAGTCGTTCGGATGGGAGGAAAACCGAAATCCCATGTACACATTGAAGCTCACGTAAAAGATCACTTAGCATTTGGAATTCGATATAAGAATACGCCGTGGCGCCGTTAACCGGGCTAAATTTCCCTCATAGCACACTGTATGGCGTGTCCCCGACTTCATTAGCCCAGTCAGTCGGAACAGTAGAGGAGGACATTAGGCCTCAGTTCATTTCAGTTCAATTCCTTGACTGGTCTTCAATCAAGGTATGATTGGTTAGGATTCGTTTTACTTGTGTGAAGTGAACACTGAACCCAATTTCAAAGATGCACCAAACGTGTGAACTAAAACGAACCATGTTTTTGTTGCTATATAGTGTCTATATACTTCGGGGAGATTAGATTTATTGTCATTAATATAGGTCAAATTCAAAATTTATGCTACATCAGTTTATTTACTGCTATTTTCAATGTAAGAGATAACTCTTTGTTTAAAAATACGTTTTGTTTTCTAGATATTTTTCACCTGAATAAAACATCAGGTGTATTAAAGAGTTTAATACCACTAGATGCTGAGGATAAACAGGAATATATATTACCAGTATCTATAGCAGAAATACAGAATGGTTTATATACTGTAACAACATTAGTTAAAGTTACAGTTACTGATGTGGATGATTATTTGCCGACATTTTCATCAGATTTATATAAGGCACGAATAAAAGAAGGCGAATATAACTCTCCAGTGGAATTATATTTGGTAAATTATTTCTATTGGTATTTAGCAATGGAACCGGAATACATCAGGCCCGTAGCTAGTGTGGAGAGGGCAAGGGGGCAGCTACACGCCCTGGGCGCCGAACCGCTCCCTTTCCATTGGACGCAATACGAAGCCAACGACCAATGTGTCCATATCAGTCTGGGTGCCCCATAAAACTGAGTGGCATTGGTTGGGCTGCCCCCCACCCTGCTAGCTACGGGCCTGTACACCGAACACTATTGACATTAAGGAATTGAACGAAGGGCACCCGGGCCTATTTTGGGGTTTAATTGGCGAAGCACGAATTCCGGTGTTTTGGGGTTCCGTGAAAATTTCCAGAATTTGACTTTTACAACCAACATATAACAGAATTAACATATTTATTGTTATAACAGTATCATTAACATTATGTCTAGTTTAACGATAACGTGTGGTTAGTACGGTCTGGAATTATCCGGTTGTCTGAAGAAACTTATTTCCATACATTCGGCCTAGTCTTGGTATGTCTTATAGCACGTAAATTTTAATTTCAGGAACCTGTATTAGAGATAACGGATGGTGATTTAGATGATAGTAATAGATTGTATAATCTAACGTTACAAGGTAAAAATAGTGAGTTATTTTATATACCACCTGGTAGTATGACATTATTTTTATACAACTCAACATACCTGGATAGAGAAAATACCAGGTACATTAACTTACAGGTAAATATGTATTACTTATATCGTATTACATTCATTTTTTTTTTTCTATTACAATCAGATCATTTTCGGGCTCCGTTACCGACTGGAATTTTTAGATTACCCTTGTATGTCAACATTTTTAAATTCTGTTTCATTCTGACATGGGATATTGCCCGTTAGATTCTGACAGCAAGATTTACGTTACCAATTGGCATTCGTAGATTTCCGTTACCCATTGGCATTCTTATATGACCGTTATATGTGAACATTTAAATTCTCAGTCACATACTGATATTTTAAATGTGTGTTATATACTGATATTTTAATGGGTGTTACTGATATTTTAAATGTGTGTTATATACTGATATTTTAAATGTGTGTTATATACTGACATCTTTTTTATATGTGTATTATGTAATGATATTTTAAATGTGTGTTACGTACTGATATTTTAAATATGTGTTACATACTGACATCTTTTTAAATTTCCGTTACAATCTGATATTTCAAACGTGTGCTACAAATTGACATTTTTCATGTCTGTTACATACTGTTAGCTCAAATGTATGTTACAATCTTCAATTACGTCAATAGTGTACCACAGTACCGGGACTTGTCTCTAAATTAAGACATGGGCTGTATCTCTGAATGTTGATATTTTGAATTTAACTCTGAATTTAGATAGTGTTGTATGTAACTCTGAAGTTAGATTTTTGTTACATTTTAACTTTGAATTTACATACTTGCTGCATTTTAACTACGGATATTGATAAGTGGTGCATTTTATTTATAAATGTAGATCGTTGCCGAAGGTGGCCAAATTACAACACAAGCAGAGTTGATAATAGAGATTGAAGACGTCAACGATAATACGCCGGAATTTGTGTCCTCATTAAACATGACGGTTATTCCCGATTTAAAAATTGGTTCTGTGTTGGGAAAAGTTGAGGCCAAGGACGCAGATGATTCAGAACCAAGTAACCAGATAATTTATATCTTACAATATGGTGGTATTGACAAGATAAACCTGAATTCAAAGACAGGTAGGCAATTTATTGTTATTGGCAGTGCTGTGCGTCATCTAAATTTTGTCTTCAAGATATTCACAAAATCGCCCCATTTCTTCCATGATCAAATATCCACAATGTTAGCGTTTACATGGCTTTATGATGTTTCAGAAAATCAATTTGACATTTTTTGCTATACTGGATCACATGATGTACTCTACACCAGGGGCGGCCTCAAGAACGTGCTTAATTTGACGTTCTTAAAAATGTACACATTATTATAATGTTCATCAGTCCTTTGACTGACCAAGGTATGCCCCGTATAGCAATATAAAACATTTTTCTAGGGACTAGAACTCCTGAATTTGTATTTAAGTCTGATGAAATTACAATCTGTAAACCAGCGGTCTATCTTATTTCAGGTGAAATTATTTTGAAGAAGAGCTTTGTTGATGATCCACTTCAATCGGAATTTAACTTGGTGATAGAAGCAAGAGATATGGGGTATCCTGCCAGGACATCCTCGACTACTGTTCAGATCGAAGTCCCGTTAAACCAGCCACCTGTGGTACCAGAGAGTGTGTATTTTACGCTAGAAGAAAATGTTGCTTTAGGAAGTAGAGTACAATCACTAGGTGTAACAGATCCTGACAGTACAGATTATCTCGAATTTAAACTTCTAGATAAAACAGGTATGTCTAGTTAAACCTGCATCATGCAAGAGCTAAATCTGCCTATTGGCCTTTCTTTGGCCCTTACATGTTATCTTAATTATTAATTATACATTAATTAACTTATCAAGAATATAATCATCTCTCGATGCCATCTTAGTCTGCGATATTTAATGGATTTGAATACGTTTTATGATGGATGGTTTAAGGTAAAAATATTATCGTGTCAATGCTGTAATGACGATCCAGGCTAGCCGAAAATTGAATCACAAATATCTCTATTCAGAGTGAAGCAATTTGACTGAAATTTTCGGCATATTTTGTTTTCATTATCTGTTTTTTAACTATTATAACGCGAACTGTCAGCTCTTTATCTAATATCACCTAATACCCCTTTAAATAAAAAAAACCCGTACTACTTGTCGTACCACTTCGGCACCATGACCCCCCGAAATCGAGACCTATTCATAAACCAGTAATTGTTATTACATATTATTTCAGTGCCGTTCATGTTAGATGACCAGGTGTTAAGAACAGTTGACGTAATCAATGCAGAAAGGAATTCCCAATACAGTTTTAAAGTACTAATTATAGATGAGGGAATTCCCAGTTTTACCGTGACGACATTAGTTAATATTAACGTCACTGATGTCAATGATAACATTCCCCTATTTAAATCTACACATTATATGGGCAATATCAAAGAACATGGATTAAACAATAAAGTTAAAATAGTAAGTGAATTTAGGTTTTTTTTTTTTTGTAAATAATGGATAAAAATCAAATATTTATGAAAGGTGCTTTAAATATATGCACTACTCAAATTTATGGATTAGACTCGATGAAAATTCTTCATACGATTAACTATAGGTGTTCAACATAATCAAACTCATGCACGGTATTAAGTTGGTAGCTATCCAGTATTGAACTATAAGTGAAATGACAGATCAACAAATGTATATTTTAGAATCCACCAATAGTAATCGAAGATGCGGACATTTCTAGTCGACCAGAAGATTTGAGATATGTTTTGGTCGGTGAGCATGATGATATGTTCAGAATAAACCCATTGACAGCAGAGATACAATCAGTCACACCAGAGGATTTAGATTGTGAAAAGAAATGTTTGTATAATTTGAAGGTGAGCATTGTCACAATAGATTGGGAACAGTAGCTCTTAAATACAATAACCTAATACGACAATACGGATGTGACGTTACTTTTTAATGTTGGGGTGCCATTATTTCAAATAGTGCACTGGCAACGTACATTATTTTATACCTGATGAAATATTGGACTTACGTGACGATTTGACTCAGAGTCACGTGCAGGATAGTGTCTGTATTTTAAGTTGATTAATGGTCTTGAGCGAGAAATTTTGTAATATATTTAAACAGCACTTGGACTAACGTCCTTGTGCAGTATCAGAATATTACCTAATGTCTCGATCATTTATCGACACATACCGCTGTGGCTATGTAATGAGTCTGGACATGGATATAACTCTTTTAGGACTAACGTAATTTCTTTGATCAATACGCACATGTCTACCGTTTAATACAATTGGTTAACGGTAGACATGTTTATAATGCTAAATATGGTATATTGATGTTGGATGTTACGTTGTATTTTTTCAAAGTTTAGGCTAATGCGTATGACAGCTAGCTGTGGGCGTGATGTACAGTTGGCCGAACATTGGCTAGGATTACAATACAATAATGCATCGCATGGAGGCAACTGATTCTTATTTACGCTACACGTTGGAGTTCCCCAAGGCCCAATCATCGGCCCTTTATAGTTCTTTGTATGTCTCCTATCCTTTCAAGTCACAGATTCGCAGACGAGTTTATTGTCCTTTTCATGTGAATGGCCCGAATCTGTACATTTTTCTATTTCATTATTTTGAGTATGTTGATGTACATTAACAAACTGAAACAAAATGATGATACTTTTCAAATCAAAATTTGATATTCAAAAGTTTGAACAAATACCTTTTATGGATATTGTGACCTGTATAATCAATCCAACCAAGTATATTATGTGATGGAATATACCTTGTCATAACAGCAACATGTAGTTGCTCTTTATTGTATTGGATAACTGTGGAAGCTAGTTATTGACATGAAAATAATCCATGTGGTACAACTATGCTTAATTAGTATTGGCTGTAAGTTAACGCAAGGTCTCGAGCCCCCTGTCGTCCATGTTTGATGTTTCCGTGTGTATCAATTTGGTTTTGAATGAAGGAAATCTTGGGTTTTTTTTCTTTTATATTTCGTCTTCTATAATTTAGATTAAAGTGGCAGATGAGAAGGGTATAGGATTAAGTTCCACAGTACCTTTAACCATAACTATAGAAGATGTCAACGATCAGGCTCCTACTTTCGATTTCATTTATTCAGTTCATCTGAACATATCAACTCTACCTGGGTGGCAAGTTGTTACTTTGAGAGCCACGGATAAAGATTTTATATATCCCAATAATCATATAATATATTTATTAGAAGATGGATTTGGGAAGTTCAGCATTGATTCTAAAACAGGTACAGCGAAACGTCTTCTCGAAATTTTAAATTAGAATACAATGAAATCTCGTTGTTAAGACCAGTTGCGGTATAGATACAAATTGATCTTAAAAGTGAGGGGTGGGGAGGGGGGTCTTTATACCGAGTTGTATACCAAGGATACAGACTTCATAATATGGCCGTATACGAGATTAGCCCGTAATATGGAGGTGATCGTTAAATGAGTATTCACTGTTTAACACGATTTGATTGTTGGCATATGTCCGCTTCTTGTCACCTTATTTTCTCTCTGTTTGACTAGCTGTTGATAATAATCATGACAAAGTGCAGGGTGTAGGGATCCGTTTTTAACCCGGAAGTGGTGTTTGACGGTTCACACCCTACATACTCATAGCCAGTGGTTAAATAAAGATGGCGAATTTTCATTCGCATTGATTTGCAATGTAGGAATTACGCTGAGGATAAAAAAAACAAGTCATCGTTAAATATTTCTGAAAATGACACCCTGTTACACCATGTTTCGTCTTTTTTTAAATTATATTTCCCTTTTCTGATGCGTACGTACAGGTGAAATATGGTTGACCCATTCGCTAATGGACGGTGAAGTACAGGATAAATATGAGCTGAAGGTGTCCGCAATAGACTCGGGAATACCAACCCAGACTGGTATCACAACAGTAACAGTTAACGTCATTAGAAATCATCCACCTTCCGTTAATCCCGTCTACAACTTTTTGGTCAAGGAAGATCATCCAGTGAGAAGTTTTGTTGGAGTGATAGAAGCAAAAGATCCAGAAGGATTAGATAATATACAATTTCGTATCAACGAAACCGGTAAGTCGTTGGCTATTAATATTTGGTGAGAAATCAATGCGTTTGATAGGCGAGCTCTTATTATATGGTAAGTTGTATTCACCTAAGATATGACGAATCATTTGTTCGGGTGAGGTGAATCGTTTACTCCTTGGATGTGGTAACTCGTTGGCTGCTGGGTTATGATAGGCCGTTCGATCTGGAATATGATAAGGCGTAAACTATTGGGATCTATCTATCTGGGATTCCATAATGTTTAGATTCTTATGGGATGGTAATTCGCATGGAGATCGGTTTAGTGTTGACAGTTTATTTAATTACTCATAGCCTAGAAGTAGGGGTGCTTTATCTGTATGGGGTAGACAAGAGTCAAACTGTCACAGTTTGTCCGTATTATTTATTATTACTACAGCATATTTATAGTGCGCCCTTTCATATAACGTGTTCAGGGGCACTTTACAAAATGACAATGTAATCATAAAAAAGCCCAACATGATTATGGACATGTTAACGATCGTATACAGAATCAGTTAAAAGCCTGATTAAATAAATGTGTTTTAAGTTGTTTTTTTTAAAAATAATATAGAGATGTACAACATCTTAAACTAACTGGTAGAATATTTCATAAAAAAGGGGCTTGAAAGCTAAAAGAGCGCTGACCCTTTATCGAGTGTTGATTATGTTTGTCTAGACTGGGGTTGAACTATGAATAATTTGGTATCCTCTTTACTATCCAATCAATATCTCACAAATTCTTTAACTATTGATCTTTAATCAATAATTGTATTAAATGTCTTTTTTTATATCTTTATTAATTTGTTCAAGAAATGCCGTTTTACATCGGTCCAGAATCCGGAGAACTCTTCTCAACTGCTGCATTAGACAGAGAAAAAGATGCGATGTTCACGTTTAATGTTTACGTCATCGATTCGGGCGTACCAGCATATACAGTGACGTCAGCAATAACTGTATACATTGAAGATGTGAATGATAACCCTCCCACATTTAAAGATGGCGATTATACTGTTTATTTGCCGGAAAATGAAGTCATACAAGAATTGAAATTTGTAAGTTTTATTAAACTGGCGGTTACAAAGAAACTGCACCACTGTACAATCGGTTAAAACAGTTCAAAACACGAATTTCTTACCTCATTTTAAGTAACTCAGACATCAGGTGCGGTACTATCATCGTCTTCAAATTCTAACTACCAAGTTTTTATTTACGTTCACTGTACCTTGGTCTCTCGTCTTACCCAAAAGACACGCTCCTTGTTATCAAGCTCCATTAACAATGTGCGAACCGGACCTGAAGACTCTCGACCTACGCATATGTCAGAGGGTACATGACATCTTGTCTTTCGGATGGAACGACAAACCGTGGGTCCTTTATTTCATTCCAAACCCGAGTCATTCTAAATTTGTTAATGTAAAGCATAGCTCACGTACCGCCGTACGTGTTATGGCACGCACCGGTGGTAGGGTTTCGAGCTCGCAAATCAGCCGCAAGAAACCGGGGGCAAAAAGTCTCTACGGCCCGTCTACGATCTTCTACGATGCCGATCACACGTAAGTGACGCGTAAGTCTCACGCACGAGCTTACCAAATTTCCCCCCGTGGACTACCCGTAGTAGCACATACGGCGGGTTGTATAAGCTAGGCTTAAGATAGAAATATAACAAACATGTTCCGCTTTTAGCACAATTCTCTTCAGTAATTAAATATTCTTTTCTATAAACATACAACAGAAACCGAATGTGTCTGACAATGACGCCACACCAATAAATCAACAAATCAAGTTCTTTCTGGAAGATCCTAGTCAATTATTTCACGTGGATGAATTAACAGGACAAATAGAGACCAAGTACCCAATGACGTTTGACTGTGAAAAGCAGCATACGTACAATATTACCGTAAGTATGGTATATCAAAATAGATTTATATAATCGAATGCCTTATAAAACAGAACGTTATTTTATCCTCTGCAAGTTGCGTGATATCATATCTGTTAATGAACCGATTTTTATTTGTGGAATCCGATACAATACAGTAGTTGATTACCTGGCGTTTGCACGGGTAGAGTCCTTACAGGAGGTTCGTGAAGTAGAATCTCACCGAAACAGGAAGTTATATAATAATGCAACGCCACCTGGCCTGTCGCTCCCTGGCTCTAGTTGCCCTTATACCACATGTGATGGCCACGAGGCAACCCTAGCGCAACCTGTCAACCATGGTACAGACATATAAACAGGCAGACAACCGACACTTACAAATAAAATTAATATATTTATTTGTTCCACAGTTAATTGCACAAGATGGCGGTGGATTGAAATCGAGTAAACAAGTCAATATTCATATCATGGATAAAAATGACGTAAGACCAATAACCCGGAAAGAGTTTAATTTTACGGTCCACCCTTCCAGACCTCGGGGTGCTGTTGTAGGTCGAGTAACAGCTGAAGACTTGGATTATACGGAAGAAAATCAGCAGTTGACATATATTCTCAAAAATGGTGGTCTAGGGAAATTCACCGTGGATGATGGGTCGGGTTTGTATTTATGCAATAGTTCACATGCCATTGAAATGTATATAATTATTTAGTATCGAATTACAGACATACATTATTCAGGAAATTATCATATTTTATTCAAGCTGCAATCAGTTTGTTGGTTTTATGAATTTAATTTACATTATGTTGATTCCAGTCACCCTTTTGATTGGGCTTCTATTATACCCTTTACATTTTTTATGGGTCTGTGCCTGTGTGTTCGTTCGGTCGTTCCCAGAGTTTTACGTCCACTTCCACGTTCCACCAAGGGTGATATCGTAGACAATCCTGAGTGTTGTAGGTCGATTGTATTTATACAGTAGCCATGGTAGCTTAGTGGATAGTAACGCACTTGCTCACTAACCAGGGAGTGTCAGGTTCGAGGCTGGTATTTGGTGTTTTAAGCTTGGTTCCCCATTGTCACTGGTGCAGGCAGGACAACCTGGCAAGGCCAAAAAGCCTGCATGTAAACAAACCTTTGGCAGTTAAAATACAGCGAAGAGTAGGCAGCAAAATTTCTTGCATAGCACGCCCACTGGTTCATGCATCGATTCCATCATCACATAGCACGCTCCCTGGTTCATGCATTGATTTTATCATCCCATAGCACGCCCACGGGTTCATGCATCGATTCCATCATTACATAGCACGCTCACTGGATCATGCATCGATTCCATCATCTCATAGCATGCAAACTGGTTCATGCATCGGTTCCATCATCTCATAGCACGCTCACTGGTTCATGCATCGATTCTACCATCTCATAGCACGCTCACTGGTTCATGCATCGATTCTATCATCTTCTAGCACGCTCACTGGTTCATTCATCGATTCCATCATCTCCTAGCACGCTCACTGGTTCATGCATCGATTCTACGATCTCATAGCACGCTCACTGATTCATGCATCGATTCTATGATCTCATAGCACGCTCACTGGTGCATGCATCGATTCCATCATCTCATAGTACGCTCACTGGTTCATGCATCGATTCTACCATCTCATAGCACGCTCACTGGTTCATGAATCGATTCTATCATCTCCTAGCACGCTCACTGGTTCATGCATCGATTCCATCATCTCCTAGCACGCTCACTGGTTCATGCATCGATTCTACGATCTCATAGCACGCTCACTGATTCATGCATCGATTCTATGATCTCATAGCACGCTCACTGGTGCATGCATCGATTCCATCATCTCATAGTACGCTCACTGGTTCATGCATCGATTATACCATCTCATAGCACGCTCACTGGTTCATGCATCGATTCTACCATCTCATAGCACGCTCACTGGTTCATGCATCGATTCCATCATCATAAAGCACGCTCATTGGTCCATGCATCATCACATAGCACGTTAATTGGTCCATGTCGATTGTAGCACGCTCAGTAGCCTGGTTCATGCATATAAATCCGAATATACTTTTATTAATTGATTCATTCCAGGTATCATAACATTATCAGACTCCATGCTGGCTCATCCATACAAGGACGCTTACCAGCTTTTAATCGAGATCAAAGATTCTGGAAAGCCTCGATTATCCACAGAAACACTTGTTAACATTATTGTACCTGTGGATTCGTCTCCTAGAGTACCAGCTGTGATTCACATCCAGATAGAAGAGAATGTTGTCCCTCCGATAGTGGTTGGAAAAATATCGAATAAGGAACCGATTTCGAAGGACGGGTCTGTAAAACCACTCCATTTTCTTATGTCGAATACTACAGGTATGATCTAATTAACGTAGACTTCTACTTTGTTTTATTATGTTGAATACAACTTTCGATTAACCGCAAGGCTGTACTTTATTTTTACATTCGAACACTACATAATATGATCCAATTAACTTAAGGCCGTACTTTGTGTTCTTATATGGAATACTACAGGTATAGTCTAGTTTACGTAAGGCTGTACTTTATTTTCTTATGTCGAATTAACCTCAAATGCTTCGTTTTCCCCCCTGTACTTTATGTCGAATACTACATATATGGTCTAATTAACTTAAGGCCGTACTTTGTGTTCTTATGTGGAATACGTAGTCTAGTTTACGCAAGGCTCTACTTTATTTTTATATGTCGAACACTACGTACATAGGGCTGTACTTCTTATATGGAATATTACATCTATAGTCTAGTTTATGTAGGGCTGTACCTTATTTTCTTATGTGGAATTAATCTACAATGCTTCGTGTCCCCCTTAACGAAATGTGAGAGATTTGTAATCTCTTACAGACTTCAATATTGTGATAACAGTTGAATCTCTAAAAGTAATATCCATCTAAAAATCACTTCTGTTCAGTATATAAAAAGACATGATGAATTGAAAATTTGTTAACATCCTGCAGGCAATACAAACGGCATTTGGTAAAAGGCCAGCGCAGCCTGAAATCTTTAAAATTAACTGTTGATATTTTGATTATTCTATAACAGTTTAACGTCCGCTTCCACCAAGGGTGACATCGCAGTTGTCTTATTTTGTGAGAAGGCACATATATCTCTAAGCCACATAGATTCACACCAGTGATCGAAACTACGACCGCAAGCCAGAGGTGACCGGCCAGATAGAGCTCGAAACGCGACACTCTAGACCACTAGGCCATCCCAACTCTCCTGACAACATGTAATCTTTACCGTTGATATTTTAATTCTATTTTCTTAAATGAATGTTAATAATCAATTTTAGCGTTGATTACGCCGTGGTAAATCAAATATTTTCCGAGAATCGCAAATGAGGCACAGAAATGATAATTATGTTGCCAAATCTTGTCACGTATGACTATCCATTAGATAATATCTGATACGATTTATATAAAACAGATTATCACACTGTTTTATAATTATTAATTTCAGCACCCTTTGTCATTGATGAAAAGTCTGGAGACATCACGTTAGTTCGAAGACTGGATAGCGAGACTATAGACCAGTATACATTTGCAGTAGACGTGGTTAAATACGGTTATCCAAATTATACTGTCACCTCTCAAATTATCGTAGAAGTTGTAGACGTTAATGACAATTATCCAGTCTTTAGCTCACCATCAGGTTATATTGGACATATTGATGAAGATTTGTTATCCAGACCACCATCTACAAAAGTTAAATTGGTAAATATAGCTCAAACTATTCTTTGTTAAAATAAGTGATAAATTTTTTGTTCAAATTCTACTATCGCTATTGCATGTCTTCCCTAATCAAATTCTTCTCTATGTTTGTATTTCTGATTTGTTCATTGTTTGCTGTGCAGTTATCTTTCAATATATACTAAAACATGATATTACTATTCCGATATTATATATTTTAGAATGAAGGTATATTTGTCAGTGATGATGACGCCACACTAGATAATCGTGAGATTAGATTAAGATTAATAGGTAGTGTATTATTTGATGTTGATGATATGAAGACTGGTGTAACTGTAATTAAGCCTGGCTTCCTCGATGCTGAAGATGCTTCTGTCTTTCATCTGCTGGTAGGTGGAACTGTAATTATTATAAACAAACTCCTATGGGTACATCTATTGGTAATGTCCAATTGTTAAAAATTAACAATGTGCTATTGATATTTATCCGTTGTCACGTAGGGGCTGGTTTGCTATCCAGGACGTCTCTGGTTTGATCCCGGTTCGGAATGAGGAACTGCAGCCTTGGGACGAAAAACCGCTTTGTACCATTCTCAACAAATTAAAGATTCCCTGACATTTGGAAATTCAAATTGGAGTAGCCCGTACTACCGCTTTCTGGCACACTGCATGACGTATGTCAGATCTGTGTTATTAGGCCAACTTGAAGTTTGGTCAAAGATCACGAGATGTAAACAACGCTAGCGCTTATCCCAATCCTAACTCTAACCATGGACCTAGCCACAATGCTTATATTAACCCTAACCTACAATCTCGCCAAGAATCACGTGCACTAAACTTATTTACATCTCAGCGACCTTGACGAAAATTGAGCTGGCCTTAACAAAATAGATTTAGCCGTTAGCTCAATCGCTTCAGAAAGGTACGACGTTAAACCCCGTTTGCTTTTATAATATTAATTACTAGCAGGATACCCGGCTTCGCTCGGGGGTCATAACTCCGAAACCGGAAGTGGTAGACTAACGCCACCTGGTCTATGTTACTCCCCGCTCCGAGCTACCCCAAATTTCAGACTCGGGGCAGACCTAGTGCATCCGCGAACCCCGAACAGACTGGCTCTGCTCGGGGGTCATAACTCCGAAACCGGAAGTGGTAGACTAACGCCACCTGGCCTATGTTACTCCTCGGTCCGAGCTACTCCTATACCACAAATTTCAGTCTCGGGGCAGACCTAGTGTAGCCGCCAACCCCGAACAGACAAATTTCGCTCGGGGGTCATAACTCCGAAACCGGAAGTGGTAGACTAACGCCACCTGGCCTATGTTACTCCCTGGTCACCTAGTGTAGCCGCCAACCCCGAACAGACCGGCTTCGCTCGGGGGGTCATAACTCCGAAACCGGAAGTGGTAGACTAACGCCACCTGGCCTATGTTACTCCCCGGTCCGAGGTAACCTTATACCCCAAATTTCAGACTCGGGGCAGACCTAGTGTAGCGGCCAACCCCGAACAGACAGACAGACAGAAAGACAGACAGACAAACGATAGTCACAAATACATATATAGATTTAACCCGTGTCATTGCGACCATCTCACTTAGACATTTTAGAGAGTTTTGAATTTTGAATTTAAAATATTATTGCATAAATAGCCAGGCTGATTTTGAACAAAAATATGGTTAAATGGGTGATGACTGATGAAACCGGACGTTTTTCTTTATTGTAGTTAGAAGCTAGAGATATGAATGGACAAGGTTTGATAACAACTACTAATGTTACTATTTATATCGATGACGTCAATGATAATCCTCCAGTATTTGAAGAAATAAGTGATGACATAAGTATATCCTACCTGACGTCACGTGGTACCAAAATAGGAAATGTTACCGCTACAGATAGCGATGTTACTCAACAAAATAGTCAAATTACGTACTGGTTAATTGACGGTGGTTATGCAAAATTTGATATACAACCTGAGACTGGTATGTAAAAAAATTTACTATCTGCCCTGATGCTTGCATTGGAAGACATATTTTGTAGGATCAGTGAGAAAAGCGTATTTATAATTCCCCATGCGTTGAATCATATATTGTTTGCATATAATAATCTCGAACTACTGCTGTGCACCTATCTTAACTTCGGCAGTCCGGGCAAAATTTACCTCATTGTACCTCTATGGCGTATGCCCGTCTTCATTATCCCAGTTCTTGAGAAGAAAGTAGATTGCTAAACCCCACTTCATTACAATTTTGCTTGCTTACCTTGGTGTGGATGAGACTAGATGATATAATTTAACATGTTCATTAAACAAAACTGTTAAAACTTCCGGTTTAAAGCAAATCAAATCCAAATGAATGGATAATCACAAACTGACTTATTGAGTTGATCATACCGTTCTATGCAACACAATTTTGGTGATACGGACGACCGTTTAAAGCAAATCAAATCTAAATGACTGGATAATCACAAACTGACTTATTGAGTTGATCATACCGTTCTATGCAACACAATTTTGGTGATACGAACGACCGTTTATATATTACCGTTATCTTGAAAGAACTGCTTGTTATGTTTTACAGGTGATGTGATCGTAGCTGATGATTTGTCACGTGATCCATGTTTAGAAATGTATTCCCTGTCAGTATTGGCTGTTGATAACGGGTTTCCTCGATTATCGTCCAATATAACGGTGAATATAACAGTCTCGATCAACAAGCCACCCGTCCTTGAACCAATAATAAATGTCACTGTACTGGAAAATGAAAACACATCAACCAATGTAGCCCAGATTAACATAGAAGATCCCGACTTTGATATAAATAAACATGAGTCGATAGAGTTTTACCTGGATGATATTGACGGTAAAGTACTTAAAGATTTGTTTTTGTATTAATTCTCCTTGTATTAGAGACACGTCTTCATTTAGAAAAAAATAGCCTTACTGAAATTCTGTAATTAGCAGAATATTAAAACTTTACACTCAGGAAAAAAACTCAATAAAAAATATGGGAAATCAGAAGACACCATAGTAAATTAAAACGGTCAAAATTTTCACTCGTTATAAAAAGTTGCGGTGTCAAAAGCCACAATACTAAAATTTAAATGACCCAAACTTTAAAAACTGAAAAATCCTGATCCGTCACGGTTACAAAATATTTTAATTTAATTGTAAGCCTAATTTAAAGAATGTTATCATCATGTAATTAAGCATGTCCGATTATAGAATAACATTATTATTACTTTTTTGTATAAGACACATAAACATGGCGATATACAATCAATAGAAATCACACGTTCCAAACTGCATCAAAATTGGATATTGGAAATGAAGAAGATTTCTTAGACATGTAATCATAATTGCGTAATCGCGTCCAGATATTCTTGAAAAACCCAAATACACTTTGCTACCTTTGTCAGTGCGGCTTGTCAGTGCGGCTTCTATTATTTCAGCACCATTTGAGTTGGATAAATACAGTGGTATGTTGCGAACAAATGGACCAATAGATAGAGAGATGACAGATCATATGTCATTCATGGTGCGTGTTGTCAATGATGGTGCGCCACCTTATACAGCTTCTACCATGGTAACGGTTTCTATTAATGACACGAACGATAACCCACCCATCTTTTCTTCACCAACTGGTTACCTAGTGCACATCCCGGAAGATATAGGCAATAACGAGGAGGACAACCTCGTAGAATTGGTATAGTTCAATTTTTACAAATCTTTCTTTGTTCGAATCTGTATTTCAAAAATGCTAACATTAAGATGTTATCTTGATACTTTGGAGGAGGGGGGATGGCTGAATGGTTAGCGCGTGTGCGTTGTATCATATTGTCTGTTAATGAGTCAACTGGCGTGGTTTCGATTCCCTGGTTGTACGTGACAAGAAGTAGGGTCGCGTGTCCAACCTCGTAGGTTTGCTCCTGGTCCTCCGGTGTCCTCTCAGTGCTAAAGAACCCTACTCACAAGCGAATTATTGAAATAAAATTGAACCATGTGCTATTCCCGAATGGTCCTGGTTTGTGTCGATTGGACGTTAAACTTTCAAGAAACGTTTCAAAACAGAATATTATATATTTAGAACCAGGAGTTTCGCGTCACAGATGAAGATAAAACAGAAGATAATAGAAATATTGTAATAAAATTAATTGGAGATGGTTCGGAGAAATTTGAATTTGATCAAGAGACTGGAAAGCTCAGAATATTGATGCCTGAAGACTTCGACTGTGAGACAAAATGTCGATATGAATTTAAGGTATGTAACTATAACTTTATTAATAGACTGGTTATATTCCATTATCAAATCTTCTACCCAGGAGTATATGCTTCTGTAATCGGTCGTTCGTTTCTAGAGTTTTACGTCCAATTCCACCTAAGGTGATATCGTAGACAAGCTTCTGTAATCCAAGTTCAAACCTATATCACAGGGGCGGAGTGAACGGGACGCATGCGTCATGGGTTTAGAGTTTGTGTGCACCCTTGGGTTTTTACATGTCGAGTGGACGTTAACCCCCCTCTCTCTCTCTCGCGTTCTCTCTCTCTCTCTCTCTCTCTCTCTCTCTGTGTCTCTCTCTCTCTGTATATCGTGTTGTCAATTCGATTTTCAAGGCTATAATCCTAACTATAAACACATTGCTCAACCAGTGTCAAACATTTACCATGGCTTAGATATGTTACGAATCGACTCTAGCATGTTCCGCACAGTTGAAACCATCCCGAAGCTCCCTAACGTATGATTATTTTGTGCCCTCGCGGAATCTTGTTCCACCTGTAACATTAGCGGTTTTATGTCTCATTGACTTCAGGTAATAGCCACAGACCAGAACGGAGAAGGTTTATCTACATCAACCAATTTAACAGTTCAGCTATTGGACGTTAATGATCACAGACCAATATTCCGGCAGCAGAATTATACATTTATCATCAACCCATCAACACCCCATGGTTTTATTGGGGGAGTGTCAGCTGATGACGAAGATGCCACGAATCAAAATAACCAGATCACATATCTACATAAATCTGGGGGGTTTGGTAAATTTTATGTAGATCCAAATACAGGTAAATATGATATAATATTAGACGGTAATTTCCTTTGATCAGTAGATTAACTCAGGTACGATGTTAGTGTGCTATATCCATACCCAGTGCGAACACAGCCAGATGATGATACCATACATAAACCAAATATAAGACTACTATGACATAAACCAAATACGAGAGTACTATGATATAAATCAAATATGTGACTACTATGACAAAAGACCGTACCGTGTAATTATGCTACACATAAAGTCAATACAAGGTAATTATGCTGCACATAAAACCAGTACAACGTAATTATGCTAATCATAAAACCAGTACAACAAGGTAATTATGCCACACATAAAGCCAGTACGAAGTAGATATGCTACGATATAAGACAATACGAGTTAATTATGCTACACATGAGGCTAGTGCGAGTGCGTTATGATACACATAAAGTCAGTACGAGTTAATTGCGCTACACATAAAACCAGTACAAACTAAATATGGCATGTATAGTGTTGATGTTGGTAGTTATGCCACACATAACACTGCGCTTGGATACGGCATATAAACACGGTAATCTGGTGACCTTTCATAATAATTGTAAATTATTCGGCATTATTTAACACTCGTTGTGTCCAATAGAAATAGAGTATGAGTGTCTACTCTTTAACTCCGTGGGCGGGTAGGGGGCTTGATTTGTGGTAAATTCAGGTTTTACTTTTTGATGTTTCTAATTTCGACCTGGTGTTGAAATTGTGTGCTCACTTTGTTAACTTCTTTTAATATCTGTGTGTTCGTTGGACAATTATCTGCATCAAATGCATTGTATTAAACTTTACAGGTGAAATTCACGTCGTCGATTCTTTGATCCGAGAACCAAACTTAGACCAATATCAACTGGTGATCATAGCTCAAGATAATGGCGTCCCACGTCTCTCGTCAACAACAAACATTACAATCGACGTTCCGGTAAATCACCCTCCAGTAGTTGATATTTATCGACATGATATAGAGGTACCAGAAGACGTCCCTAGAGGCCACAGACTAATCAAGATAACTGCTAAAGATAAAGACATACGTCAGACATTGACTTATGTATTGAAAGAGAAACGAGGTAGTTTTTTGATTCAATCAAACACGATTAGGTTATTCAGATACAAATTTACAAATCTGAATAAAAAAAATATTGTTTATAAAAAAAACCCACATCTTTCTATTGACATGAAGTGGGGTTCGCTTTCCTACTTTTCTACGAGGGGCGGGGGCTGAATGGTTAACGCGTGCGCGTTGGATCAGTAGTTCTGTCATTGAGTCAAGTAGCATAGTTTCGATTCCCCACTTGTACGTGACAAGGAGTAGGGTCGCCTATCCAACCTCGTGGGTTTTCTCCGGGTCCTCTGGTTTCCTCCCACTGCTAAAACCCCAACGCCCAAGCGAATTATTGTAATGAAATTGAACCATATGTTAATCCCGAAATGACCTAGTTTTTGTCGAGCGGACGTAATATTAAATCACTGTACGTTACATACATGTACACAGATGGGGACATAGCTTAGTCTGACAGATGTTAACGGAGAATTCAATTCAGACTTTACTGGTTTTATAGGGCCTTTCTCCGTCAACCCAGTAACAGGTTGGCTGCAAGTCAAAAGAGCTCTTGATAGAGAGAGCCATCAGACCTATAAACTGCACGTGCTTGTTAAAGATGGAGGAGAACCGGAACTGACTGCAAGTTGTGAAATCAGAGTTACCGTTCTTGATGTTAATGATAACGATCCTATATATGAAGGTGGAGATATATATCAAGGTTTTGTAGAAGAAAATATTAAAGATAACAAGAAACCCCAGATTGTTCGTTTGGTAACTTTAATTTTATAATTTATAGTACTTTAAATTTCACACATACTTAATAGCTACGGGTTGGAGCAAAGTGGAATGGGGTTTAACGGTTAATTAAAAACAGCATACGACATCCATACTACCGGCTAATGAAGACATAGCATACATTTGTTCTAGTATATACGGGACGCCTTCCCCTGCGAGGCCACACGCAGGATGGACAGGACAACAACTGTGATATCAAATTTGTTATCCAGTTCAATCGAATCCTCATGTATTTATTGCAGTTTTTTTCTTCAGATTATTAGATATCAAAATAATGATTTAAAAAATGTTAATAAATGCAACAAACAAGGTATTCAGAATAACCCTAATTATCGAAATGAAATGAGGTTTGACGTCCTATTTTGCTACTGATGAAGACGGGCATACGCCATGCCATGTGCTATGAAGGAAATTTTATCGTCCTATCCGGTCAAATATGCGTTGTCCCTTGCCAGACGCCCGCCCTACACAACTGACAAGGAGGATCCGCTTCAGAAAATCCCGATGAACTATCTTGGCCAAAAACGGGACCTCCTGGTTAGCGAGCCAACGTCTGATTTACTGAGTCACCGCGGCTCCACCTAATTACCTAAATTACATGCCTTGTCGTATTTACAGCTATAGTCTACTCTTATTCTATCTTGCTGTGGGATCCAACCATATAGTATTTTTGTATTTTAGGAGCGGAATATTAGTGTCAGTGACCATGATGCCACTTTCATAAACAACAAAGTCAAGCTATATCTACACGGTTTGGGTAGCAACCTGTTTAAATTGGACTCTAAAACTGGTCAAATAGTAACAGCTAAAACAGCTAACATTGACAGAGAAATTCACGACTTCTTTCATTTTAAAGTAAGTTTGGTTGTGGTAAATAAATGGAGAAAGGACAAAGACAGATTTTAGCTATCAACAAATAAAAAGGCTACATTCTTAAAATATATTTGATTTTGTGAATGGGGGTGTGGATACAAATACAAGTATTCACATTTCTCGTTTTATTAGGAAATGAAATTAAATGGGGTTTAACGTTCTATTGTTTTACTTCGACTGGGCTAATGAAGACGGTCATACGCCATACAGTGTGCACTACGGCCTATTCTTCATCGATTTCCACCTGTTAGTGAGTCAAGTGTCTATGTATACCTGGTCCTCTGTTTTTTGCTCCACCCGAACGACTAACAGGGAACGCCGCGCTTATGTATCCCGATGAACTTTCTCCGCCAACCCATGACCTTCATGTTAGTGAACCAGCGTCTTACTCAAGGTCTACTGGGGCTTCGAGAGGACCTGATACCGTGCATGTTTTGTCTTCCTTAGCCAAATCGGGGCTGAACAGTAGGACGTTAGACCCCATTTCATTTATTTTTTATTTATATGTTGTAGATAGCTGCAGTTGACAGTGGTACTCCGGCCAGAACATCAACAGCTACGGTGTTTATATCAGTTGTTGATGTCAATGACAACCATCCCGTCTTCTTGTCTTCAACCATCACCTTTACTGTACCGGAAGAGATAGAACCAGGTGGTGTGATAGGTCGAGTAATGGCGGTTGATAAAGACGCTACGCAACCTAATAATCTACTCCTATATCTACTTGAAGATGAGCCGAGTGGCAAGTTTAAGGTTGATATAAATACAGGTAGGAATTCGGCCGCGAGCTTGTCTGCGATATCACTTCGGTGGAAGGGGACGTTAAAAAAGCTATTTCACACACAGCCGCAAGTTCTCTTAAGTCTAATGTGTGCGGTGCGGTTCTCCCGCAATTGCTATTAAACATACATTATGCAAGAGCTAAATCTGCCTATTGCAGGTCTTTTTTGAGGCCTAAAATGTTATCTAAATTATTAATTAGACATTAATTAACTTATCCAGGACATAACCAACTCTCGATGGCATCGCGTAGCGGGGTTTCGATTCCCTGCTTCTACGTGACAAGGAGTAGGGTTGCCTGTGGGTATTCGCCGGGTCCTCTGGTTTCCTGCAACTGCTAAAGACCCCTACGCGGAAGCGAATTATTGAAATAAAATTGAACCATGTGTTAGTCCCGAAATGACCTATTTTGTGTCAAGTGGACGTGAAACCCCATTGATTTTTCTTTCATTGTAATATACAAGCAGCCAATTTCTCCCATTAAACTGGATTAGACCCCTTGTTTATTTTCTTCAAGATTGTCCCTATTCGCCCTTTAAATATGCACATGTATTATGTATTATTTTTATTTTCAATATCATTTATTTTCACCAGGCACTATTTCTGTATCTGAGGGATTTTTCGCATCACCAAGAAAATCTATATATAGATTTAACGTGACTGCTCGCGACCTGGGATTCCCTGCAGGTATTACGTCATCCGAGGTTACTGTTCGAGTTCCGGGAGTGGATTACAAACTTCAGTCGACTACACAGGAAGTGCCGCCAACCCAGACAGTGATGGTGTTAAAGGAAGAAGTTCCAAATGGTACCGTCATTGGTCGACTTGATTCTGAAATAAATCACCAGATTAATAATATTCAACTAGATCCTGCCAACAAAGACCCAGGTTAGTAACTATTCCTCGGTCTTGTAATGACCTCACATTTGGAGAATTAGTCTACGTCACCAATCCGCGATGGTCGAGCATGCTGCAAGACCTAGATTAACCAGTGGAAACTTATGTTGTAAATTATGCAGATTGAAGTAGTACTAAATTCACAACGTACCTCAACAAAGATAGGGTTAAACCTCGTCGCGATACTAACAAAGTGATTTCATTTAAATGTTTCAAGCTTTTGGACACAGATCATGTTTCAGAATTCTGTGTGTAGTTGGGTTTTGTTTTTCTCTGTCTTGTTCTGGAGCTTATAGATAATGACTCTATATTTATTTCAGTCCCATTTACTGTGAATCGGGACGGAACAGTCGTAACCAGTGGTAGAATAGACCGTGAGACTGGACAACCTTTCTACAAGTTCAAAGTTCTAACTGTTTATAACTGTACTCCCCAAATCAACACAACTCGTGACGTCACAGCAATAGTTGATGATGTGAACGACAATCCGCCGTCATTTCCTTTAGATGAATATACCCATACCGTGTCACGTGAATTTCCTAAAGATAGTGTAGTGGCGACACCTGTAGCATTTGATGAACTTGACGAAAAGCCGTCTGCTTACAGTTATTCTCTATCCGGTCCTACAATGGAGTGTTTTGCCATCAACAAAACTAGCGGCGTTGTCACGACAACAGATCAGATACAAAACCTGACTGCGCCTCAGATTCTATCGTACACCGTCACTGCACGTGATATCCATAATCCTGTACTATTTGCTAGAACGAGGCTAAGAATTCACGTAATACCCAATAATAGTTCCAATAATATCAATAATTCTTGTTGAAATCAATGTATATTCATGTAGTAAATATTTGTTAAATTAGTATATAACGCACACTGTATCTATTACGTAATAAAAACGTCAACCATGTTATATAAGGGAAACTGTTAAGCCTAATCCCGGCACTCATCTGATCCCATTGGTTCAACCGTTTAACGTCCTACTGGTCTGCTCCGATTGGGCTAATGAAGACGACGTGCATACGCCATACAGTGTGCTATGAGGGAAGTTTTGCCCGTACAGCGGCGCTCTGGCCTATATCGAATTACAACTGCCAAGGGATCTTTTACGTGTACATTAATGTGTACACGCGAGCTCAGTTTCTCGCCCCATCCGAACGACTAGACAGCTCTTTTTGTCAGACCTTTCGTCTGACAAGGGGAAACCACGCTGGAAAACTCCGATGAACTTTCTCGATCAACACCTGGATCCAAGACGCGATCTCCAGGCTAGCGAGCCAGCGTCTTAGTTACATATATAGTCACCGTGGCTTCCGAACACCTTTTAAGTTAAACGAGGGTCAGGACGGATGGTCTGACAGTAAATAGCGTCTAATCGTTCGGTTGGGACGTTGGCACAATTTCTCTCGTAGCACTTTTCCTACATGTCGTCATAAGACCGGATAGTGTAGAGAAGTCGGGAGATAAACCCTGTTTCATTCCATTTGTAAGACATTTGAGATCGCAGTCCACTGGACACAAACTAGATCATTTCGGAACTATCATATTGTTTAATTGTATTTAGCAGAAGAAGGAAACCGGTGGACCCAGAGAAAACCCACGCGGTTTAACAGGCGACCATACACCTTTCCGTGTAAAAGTTTTGGATCGAAACCATACACCTTGGCTCAATGATATAAATGGCACAAGCTAGACCATTCGACCGGCCAACCCCACATTAGTGATATTCGTAACCGATAACAATCAATGGTCGTTATTGTTCTTAGTGTTTAACGTCCGGTTCCAGCGAGAGTGATATCGCAAACAAGTTGTCTTATTTTCATGTGGACGTATATTGTCGTCGCCCCTGTCCGTCTGAACGTCCGGACGTCCGTCCGTCCACAATTGTTTGTGGACACTCTACAGGTCACAATTCTTATCCGATTTTGACGAAACTTGAAATATAGGTTTATCTCCAAAAGATCTCGGCTGCTGTCGATATTGGCATGTATCGGATCGAAACTTCATGGATTATGGCCCCTGTTTGTACGAAAAATCACGTTTTTAGCTTGTGGACCCTATAGAGGTCACAATTTTTATCCGATTTTGTTGAAACTTGAAATATAAGTTTATAACCCAAAGATCTTGGTTCCTTTCGATATTTGCGCATATCGGACCATAACTTCCTGAATTAATGCCCCTGATTGTACGAAAAATCGCGTTTTTAGCTTGTGGACCCTATAGAGGTCATAATTTTTATCCGATTTAAAAAAAAAGTATTATTATATCATCGTTACACCCTAAGGACGACTGCGTTCGTATATCGTGAAAATCGGCCCAAAATTGACAGACAAAATGGCCGCCGTTCGTTCTCAAATAGCGTAAAAAATATGGTATATCAAGGTTGTGGACCCTATAGAGATCACAATTTTTATCCGATTTTGTTGAAACTTGAAATGTAAGTTTCTTGATTGTAGGAAAAATCACTTTCTTGTTAGCTTGTTTTCTATCCATCTCTCGAAAATGTGGGCGTATCCTACCTGGCAGCCGCTGGTTATTAACTTAGGGCAAGCGCAGGGTCTTTCCTCCGGGAGGAAACCGGAGTAACTGGAGTAAGCCCACGAGGCTCACGCCAGGGACGAAACCAGGTCCGCAAGCCAGAGGTCACCGGTCAGCTAGAGCTCGAAGCACGACACTCTAGACCACATCAATGGCCGTGCAAAGTAACATGTTATATTCACCGGTCGTATGAGCGACGGTGTTAGCATTGTTATATACAATATCGGTTACTAATCACACTCATGTAATTATACCCAATTGTCATATGAACTTGTAGTTTACAGTGTGTCATATCAACAATAGATCTAGTTTAATTAGTTATATACATACTGCCCGCTAGCAACATGTAAATATGCAAAAAGGGTTATCTGGAACACTACAAAATACTGTATGTAATATGCATAACCAAGTAGAACATCCATTAAAATTATATATAATGTAAGGGTGTCCCAGCAGGATATCTCCAAATATCTTGACAATTACACCACACTATTTTTATATATATATCAAGTCTTAAATCAGTTTCGCAAATTTATAATCACTAAATAACCGGCCATGTTGTACTTTATAAAGCTATGACCATTTAACCATTAATAAATAACAGGCTGAAAAAATGGTTACTAGTGTCGGCCATAACATCCGGTCACTTTTAAGTAAAAATTAGGTTACCTGCCCTTGTTTTGAAATTAGTCTCGCTTAAGCAGTCTACCGACCATTCTCTGTCTGATTGACAGGTCGGAATAATCACGACTACTTTTTTACGAAACATAACAGAAAGCTTGAACAAGAAATTGAATTTAGAAACACGCACATTAGGCATCTCAGCAATTGTTTTAAGAATCTTGTAAAAGTATGATAAAGCAATTTAAAAAATAAAGCTGTTGTAAATAACCAAAAGGCTAAATATTACTGCTATTCAGAATCGTCAATAATAGATTTTTTACGGCTGTAATAGTTGATAGATGTGTAGAGAATTTCACGTGCGATGCCTATTTAAAGACTCATAGACTCTTGTGCTGAGTGTTATCGCACCGCGTGACTAGCCAGAAATCACTTCGAGACAAGCCACTGAAGTGTGCACATTCGCCGTGTCGAGTTCAACTTTCAGTGGGGGAAATTTTGGGTGCATAGGGCACCCTAATAATGTTCTTAGTTGTACTTGCTAGCCGCTAGCAACATGCAAACATTTAAAAATATCTAAAATGGGGATCTCGAACAATACAAACCCGCTAGCAACATGTAACAATTTTTTTTTATGTTTAAAAATGGTATCCATGTACGTAATAGGTGTAACCAAATCCGGCATCCATTGAAAATTAGACAAACTCCAGACAAGAATCTGTGGCATAAAATGCAATTAGTAGTGGCAGACGTAGTATCATGTATCCAGTCTTCACTTTGATCTGGGGATACATTATATGTACATGTATTTCATTCACATCAACAAACATTGTTATTAATGCAACCCGACTTCAAATAATTCACGCTAACAAAAAAGCTCTTGGCGACTTGGCAAGTTATTTTCTTTGAAATAAACATCAAAACATATTATCTTAAAGGACATATACCGTGACATATTATTTGTGTGTATATCTAGAAACAAGGCGCCAGAAGACTGTACTTTAATAATTATATATAATCAAATGACACATCATAGCTTTGTGGTGTTTGAGAGGACGAGTGACAAACGGTTTCGGTTAGCATTTAGATTTCTTCACGGTCATTTTATGATCGATTCGGATTTGAAAAAGATTATTTATATCCGATTAAGATTTAGATTATTATATTCGATTTAGATTTGAACACGATTATTTATATTCGATTGAGATTTGAACACAAACATTTATATTCGATTCAGATTTGAACACGAACATTTATATTCGATTTAGATTTGAACTCGATTATTTATATTCGATTCTGATTTGAACACGATTAATTATATTCGATTCTGATTTGGGCACTATTAATTAGATATTCTGAAAGTTTAAACCCAGATAGTGTAATATCCTTGAATAATGCCCACTAACGCCACTGAATGTAAACAAACGTTATTTTTGGTAGTCAACCAATTCAAGAATTTGAGTTTTCAAATTTTGTATTGGAGAAAAGTGTAGAGGTTTGTAAGATTCCAAACGTTTGTTAACTGTCTTGATGCAGTATGTTTTAACTCCCATGGGGTGGACTAGGTAGATCTGGGCCCTCGGATCCTTTGGTTTCCTTGAGCCCCCATTGCCGTGAAGAATATGCAATATGACAAGAAAATGAAACTAACTTGATTCGCCTTTCCCACACCCCACTCATGGATTAATTTTCAGTGCATGCGACGATGAATTTTATTTATTTCGAAAATTATATGTTCACTTTATTTCTCCTCGGATTTACGTCATTATTGTTTTGAAAATTATTCATGGTAATTTATTTGTGAGGGGTTCACTAGTTCGCGGGTGCACTATTCCGCGGGTTCACGTCCGCGGGTTCACTAGTCCGCCGCTATAAAAAATATTATAAATATGGGTATCAAATAAAAGCCTTCATAAGGCGATAACCCGACATCACGACAACCCGACATCACGGCATTTTAATCCGAAAATACGAAATTAAAAATGTCGCAATGTCGCGTATAAAATGTTGTGATGTTGGGTTGTCGGCCATCTTCGTTTCAATACACAGTTTGATTATGTACACTGATCCTGGAGTTGGTCAAGTAAGTTCCTGGGGATTTTTCACAGTGTGGTTTCTCCCTTTCGGTAGTGCAGAACGAAGAACAGTGTCTAGTTGTGTAAATGAGACAAAAACATAAGCCCCTGTTTATACATTGGCGTGCACATAAAAGAACCAGTTGGAAGTCGATAGAGAAATGTCACTGTCCCTAGAAAATTTCCGACATAGCCCTTTGCATAGCTTATGCCTATCTTCAATAGTCCGATTGGCGCCGTAAAATAGGAAAATGAAATGAAATGAAATGGGGTTTAACGTCCTACCGTTCTGCTCCGAGTGCATAGTCGGTCGGGGTTGGTGTATTACATTTCATTGTCGGTCGGGGTTGGCGTTTTACATTTCAATGTCAGTGTGGGTGTGTTAGTATTATTGTCAGAGTTCGTTACGGGTGTGCATTTACAAGTGCTCATCAATCGTAAAAATGACAATAATAGATATCGCCGGACTAGTGCACCCGCGGAAAACTGAAACCCGCGGACTAGTGCACCCGCGGACTAGTGAGCATTTCCCATTTATTTCCCAATGAGGACCTTCAACAGTCCGCCCCTGTTATATTTCAATGTATTTTTTTCAATCGGTTCCCCCAGACGGTCTGATACACAGTCCACCCCTGTTAACTCCGTGCAAAGACTGTTTTTTTTTTAAATATATAGTTCATTAACAATTTTGCTCCGTTAATACAACAGCTACTAAGGTTTAACTAAAACACGCTTCATACACGAAAAATATCGCTAATAAGTTAATATTGATGGATGTTCCCATAGTTATCTATAGGTGCGACTATGTACACAATACATCATTAAGTATTCTCATATTTAATTACCATGTTTCTAGCCAAGTCGTTACGGTATTGTGTTATATAATATCAGTTGACAGCTAGAAACAGCCATAGTCTCGACTCCCGTGGTTATTGTATTATCGTAACTTGCCAGATTCTGTCTATATCTACATCGATAAGTTTCCCACCATAATTCAACTCGTTTTCTGTATTTGATAATGGTACAGATCAAAGACTAAGCCTTTATAACCTCTGTTATGGTGACAGTACTTGGCGTACTTACAGCACCGGAGTGACAGATTATCTATCCTGTAGCCTTATGTGAGAGTATGGAACATTATTTGGCGTCCGTGTTATTAGCAGCAGTACCAGAGTAACAAATCTATATTGTGGTCATCTGTGACTTGACGTACATCTAATCAACAGCAGCACCCGAGTGACGTATTTTGTGAAAGGTAAGTACTTTGCTCAATAACAACTCTAAAAACCGGTTTCTACTCTTCTAACTCCTTCTTGAAAGCTTGGTATCCATGGTGGTTCAGTGAGTACGACACTGGACCTCTAACCAGGAGGAGCAGAGCTCGAAAGTTACTTGGAATTTTCTGGTGTTGTTTCCATTTTGTCAGTGCTTCAGGGCGCGGGTCGGGGGGTGTGATTAAGGGCTTCTGAAAAGAGACAGTGTCTGGTCGTTAGAACGAAAAATAGCTGTCCCATGGTGGGGACCTAAAAGAACTCTTGGCAGTTGCAATGCGTAGTTTGCGTCGTATCGGCGCTCTCCAAGAATATTTCCCCCAGAGCTCATTGAACAGCGTATGTCCGTTGTCGTTAGTCAGATCGGTGCAGAAGACCTTAGTTCCCTTCTTGAACACCTGATGTAAGAAAAAGAAATGTGCCCACCCCTTCGGGTATACGCCATACAATGTGCTATTATGGCGTACTCTTATATCGAATTCCAACTGCCAAAGGATCTTTTACGTGCACGCCAATGTATACACGGGACCTCGCGTTTTCGTCCCATGCGCACGACTAGACAGTTGTTCTTGTCAGACTCTCCGTCCTCCTCCACTGACAAGGGGTCGAACACTTTGTAATATGAGTAAATGCAGTAAGACCGCATTACACACAAAACACAATCGATAAGACAAACCTGCGGACAAGACGAACAATACACACAGACATTGCAAGAAATAATCAACAAATATCAAATCGTGTGAATGGATCCAAAGATCAGCCGTAATTAGCATCTACTGCGCTGTACATGTCATTGAAACACTTCTCCTACTTGTAATATGTTTGATTAATATTTTGCAGAAAGAAAATGGAACGCTGCAAAAGTCGTGTGAGTAATTATTTTACGTGGACAAATCGGCTGTTTGAGAGATATGGTAGATTTGTTGCGAGATTCCCGGTTCTGTTTATTGTAATACCTTTTGTCGTATGTTGCTCACTAGGATTCGGTCTTATCAATCTCACATCCGAATCCGATACAGAGACGCTTTATGTTCCTACCAACAGCCGAACTGCTATAGACAGACAAACGGTTGGCTCTCTTTTCCCGGACAAATCACGTTCTAATTTCTACGAACATAGTTCAGTTCAGATGCATCTTTACGGAGATGTTTTAATTAAGACCCGAGATAAACGAGATGTTTTGTCACCAGAAGTTATTAATGAAATCATCAACATCATATCACAAATAAAACAATTTTCTATCCAAGAAAATGGAACTACGTTTTCATATCCCGAGGTCTGTGCAGTTCGAAATGGGACTTGTTTTATTGGAGGAGAATTTGTACTTGATGTTGATTTCATCAACAGTTACCAATCGAGGAACGTGACTTATCCACTATGGATATCACAATTTGGCCCTCCCGTGGATTTATCTTTGTATTTTAAAGGAGAAGCTGGTGCTGATGGAATCCTCGGATCCGTTTCTATTTTGAGGCTGAAATTCTACTTAAGACAAAATAATAATCTCAGAAGTAAGAACTGGGAAAGCCACTTTGTGAAAGCTATGTCAACTTTATTAACCAATTTAACTGATGTGGCTTATTCTACCTCCAGTTCTATAGATAACGAAATAAATCAGAGCACTGGAGGAGATGAAATGCTGTATGCTCTCTCGTTAACTCTGTTGATAACTTATGCATGTTTTGTTGCGTCCAGTTGGAACTGTGTATCAAATAGAAGTTACCTTGCCCAGGGTGGCGTGTTGGCTGTGGTCCTTGGCATATTGGCTTCGTTCGGCATTCTCGCAGCATCTGGTTTGAAGTTTGTGAACATCGTGGGTGTCATGCCATTTTTGGCTTTAGGTAAGCTACTAGACTGTATAATCAATTGTTATAGTATAATGCCGATGCACCTGTTAATGTTTAATTATTATTATAAAAACGTACAGTATGTATCTCAGTCGTTGGGTTTGGTTGCTTCAACATGTATCTTTGGTAATACGCTTGTGGTTTAGGTGCAGTAGCGTACAGAGATGCGACATCCCCGGTTATGAATGTGTCGTGGATCGGGGGGGGGGGGGGATTAAAGGCGCAGTTAGTCTTAACTTCGTTGTGCAAGCTACCCTGCGGTCCCACAGGGTTGTGTGCAAATGCATCCATTTTTTGAAACGTTATTTCATCTGTTTAGAATATCTTCTTTATCCATTTTTCAGCGGGAGTCACGGTGGCTCAGCGGGTAAGACGTTAGCTCACTAACCTGCAGGTCGCGTGTTTGACCCGTGCATTGGCCGAGAAAGTATCTCGGGATTTTTCAGCGTGGTTCCCCTTTGTCAGTGGTGCAGGACAAAGGGTCGTGCAAGGGGCAACGTATAGTCGTTCGGATGGGAAGAAAAACCGAGGTCCCGTGTACACATTGGCGTGAACGTAAAAGATCCCTTGACAATTGGAATTCGATATAAGAGTAGGCCGCTGTCTGGGCAAAATTCTCCTCACAGCACACTATATGGCGTATGCCCGTCTTCATTATCCCGGTCGGAGCAGAACAGTATAACGTTACACTCCATTGATCAATTTATTTTTTTGCGGGTATATAATCAGGGACATGGCCCCGGACATATCAAAACCCCATCACATCACCGTGCAGGTGCCGGTGTAGATTATTTGTTTGTAATTGTGAATGTATTTCAGGTGTTGGTGTAGACTCTATGTTTGTAATTATGTCAGAATGGGCGGAACACCATGATAAAGCGACTACTGAAGAACAACTAGCAGCAACATTAAAGGGTTGTGGTGGTTCTATAACTATAGCTTCATTAACTGATATCACAGCCTTCTTCATAGGTGCTTCATCGCAATTCATCAGCATCAGGACATTCTCTGTATATACGGGTAAGTAAACGGCAGAACGATTTACCCAATATTACCCAATACTAATTTAATATTACCAAATACGAACACATACTACCTTATTACTGTGAAAATACTAACAAAATACTTCAATTATATTGGTGGTATTGGGTAAATCGTCATCAGCATCAGAACATTCTTTATATATACGGGTAAGAACACGGCAAGAAGATTTGCCAAATATTACCCAATACTAATTAAATATTACCAAATACCACCACATACTACCTTATTACTAACAAAATACTACATTTAAATTGGTGGCATTGGGTAAAACGTCCTGCCTAAACCACATATGTATGTCGGTTTATATTATGTACCAGAGCTAGAGCCTTTTGACTGGGAAAGCCACAGGTTCAGTGTGTAACCCAGAGTTACCACAGTTCTTATATCTCGGTATTGCTCGAGAAGGGGTTCCAGCCAACTTCCCCCACCCCCACTCTCCCTTTTCCAAAAGGAATAGTGTGTAACCTGGAGTAACCACAGTTCTTATCTCGGTGTTGACCGAGAAGGGGTTCCAGCCAACTTCCGCCCCCCCACTCTCTCATGTCCAAAAGGAATAGTACGTTGTATTATATTTTCATCACAGACCTTAAATATGTCGTCAAGCTAAAGAAAAAAGTAGTGAATAGATTATGAAATTATATAAGATATACATATGTTTAACTTTCTGAATTGGTCATATTTATAGCCTGGTCACAAGAGGTAATATTAATTTGTTTAATTTATCAAAAGCAGTACATTTGAGGCATTAAATGTTTTGTGTCCTTTGTAAATAAATTTTTAAAATAATGTAGGCAATATTTGTTTTAACTGGATGATATAAATTAATATCCAGTAAATATATCCTGTTGAGCTAAACCATAGCGAAACAGTCGTAAATTTGTGGTTCACTCGAATTCATTTATGGAAATAGATATACTGTATATAACAAAACAGCAGAAAGTTTGGGTTAACTAACCGAGTATTACCTCATGCACGGACATTACGAACATGACAGAAACTTTAGGTGTGATTGTATGAGGCCAGGCTATCGTAACTGCACATATTGTCCTCTATACCTACTAGTTCACTCAATACCTCAAAAGTATTGTCATAGGGACGCCAAAGGAATGTGATTGTGTTGTAAGCAAGAGACTCTCCTAAATGGTCTGTTCTTTTTATAAAATACTTTTTGACCGGACTTTAGTCTGTAAAGTATACTGGTTTACCGAGTTCCTTTATTTGAGTAGTCGTTATGGATTTTATGGAACAAATGTTTTTTTACTGATAAATCATTAACTGTGGAATCGTCGAAATGTCGCAAAATAAAATCCGTGAGACGTGAATCGAGCATTGACCATTAATCTATTTTATTACGTATCGACCGTAAAGGTCGCAATGCTGCACATACGTATCTTTGTTTTAATTAGGGCTTTTTCATGGGAGCCGTGGTAGCTCAGTGAGTAGGATGGTGACTCACTAACCATGAGATCCGAGGTTCGATCCCGGTGTTGGCTGAGAAGTTCCCCGATGGAGTGGGACAAAAAGACAAGGTCCCGTGTACACGTTGGCGTGCACTTATAAGGAACATTGACAGTTGAATTTTGAAATAAGAGTTATAGCCCAGTCGCTGCAGAAAAGTAGGACATTAAACCTTATTTTATTTTATTTCATTTCTTTCTTCCTTCTTACAGGGTTAGCTCTGGCGTTCAGTTATCTCTGTCACATAACCTTCTTCCTCGGATGTTTGACGATTCATGGTAGGAGAGGGAGGGCATCACGGCACTGGGCAACTTGCCTGGAAACAAACGATAGTACGACCCAGAGAGACCAGGGTAAAAGTCCATGCACTGTTTTAATATGTGCAGGCCAACCTCCAGAACGACGTGAAGACGATGAAAGTTGGTGTGAGAGAATCCCACGCACCTGTTTAAACTCCACTATACTGCATATAGTAACAAAAGTCGTAGTTCTATTCCTATATTTTGTCTATATATCTGTGTCTATTTGGGGAATTGTGAATTTGAAACAAGGGCTGGTATTGGGTCAATTAATTGATGATAATTCCTATTACAGAAAATACGATACGTGGATACGTTCCAACTTCGATACAAGATTCAGCATTTCTTTTATTTTTGAAAATATTGATTATATGAACCCAAAGGAAACCGGTGCAATGGTGGAATTCATGCAGTCCGTTCAAGATGAATCAATTATGGAAAATAATACCTCGCTATGTTGGTATCACCAGTACATTATCAGTAGTCAGTTTAACAACAGCTCCAAAGTTCAGTTTATTACAAACCTAAAAACATTTTTAAACTATCACCCGTATATTATAAACGACGTGGAATTTACAGCCGATGGCAGTTCCATCAAGGCTTCGAGATGTCACGTGGTAACTATTAATATTCCGGACTCTACAGATCAAGGTAACATGATGTTGCGTTTGCGGGAACTGGCTGATAGTTCCGTACTTGATGTTTTCGCTTACACTCCCCCGTTTATATTTTTTGAACAGTATATTGTTATTTTACCAAATACTCTACAAACTGTTGGTATTGCTGTTGTGTGTATGTTAGTTATAACTATAGTATTTATACCACACCCAATAATGGTAGCCATGGTAACAGTTAATATGATAAGTATCTTGGTCGGAATATTTGGATTTCTGTATATCTGGGATTTAACGTTAAGTTCGATAACTATGATACATTTAATCATGAGTGTCGGATTTTCAGTGGATTTCAGTGTCCATGTCTGCCATGGCTATATGACGTCAGATAAGAGAACGAGACACGAAAAAGCACGTGACGCGTTAAAGACTTCCGCTGCACCTGTTATAAATGGCGGACTCTCTTCATTGATTGGGGTGTGTGTATTAATAGGTTCCCGATCATTCATTTTTCGCTCCTTCCTTAAAGTAATGGTACTGGTTATCGGCTTCGGTTTGGCTCATTCTATGCTCCTGCTACCCGTGGTGTTGTCTTCGGTGGGTCCGATCAGGAAGGAAAGTAGAGTCGAGGACAACAATAGCAGGGAAAACGGTTCAAGACAGAAAGCCGTACCAGAGAAGATTTAATTTTGATTCTTGTAAAAAAAAAAAAAAAAAAAAAAAAACAAACAACCAAAAAAAAACCCCACAAGAAACCTAAATGGAAAGTAGAATTTAGAACATTAGTATGAGTATCGCGCAAAGGGATTCAATCCAGACACCAGGGCCATGCACGATTTAATTTTGATTCTTGTCCAAAGCATGTGACCAAATGAAAACGAAATGGAAAGTAGATAAACTCATCTCACCTTTTAAAGGACAGTATTGGTGTCAGTCATAATTACATATGTGATAGAACTGGTTAAATACATTCCAAATATAATTTTAACACAGAGATCATTGCTACAGGAGATGTGTAACAAGCACGTGAAGAAACGGGAAGTGACGCCAAACATGACAAACACGAGTTATCCTTCTATGTATCTGACTGATGTAACGAGCGATAACAGACAAACGATCGAATTTCATTTCACTGATAATTCCGTTGAAGTTGAAAAGTTATTATATGGGACGGTGAGAGGGTATCTCACAATTCAAAAATAGAATTGGCTGTCACTAGATATGGGAAAACGAGAAAAATAGAAAAATCCCGTGCATTCCCCCGTTTTTATTCATTCTGTTCTTAATAAAAACATGGTAATGCACGGACGTTTTCTAATTTGTTCGTTATCTTTTATCTAATGACAGCCAATTCTTTTTTTGAATTGTCAGATATCCTCTCACCGTCTCATATAATAGCTTTTCATCTTCAACTGAATTATCAGTGAAATGAAATTCGATCGCGTGTCAGTTATCGCTCGTTGCTTCAATCAGTTATACAGAAGGATAACTCGTGTTTGTCATGTTTGTCGTCACTTCCCGTTTCTTCACGTAATTGTTACACATCTCCCGTAGCAATGATCTCTGTGTTAAAGTTATATTTAGGATGTATTTAACCAGTTCTATCACATATTTTATAATGACTGACACCAATATTGTCCTTTAAGTATTAATCTTAAAGGCCGTAACGGTGTTGACGGGATTTTCCAACGTTGTTTCCCTTTTTAATGGTGCATGACGGGGCGGAGGGGGGGGGGGCTGGGTCGAGAATCTGAGGTTCCGTGTACACGGTGGTATGCACGTGAAAGACTCTATGGCAGTTGGAATTCGATAAAGGGTAGGTGGTAACGTCGCGCTGTCTGAACAAAATGTCCCTTATAACTCACTACATGGCTAATGGCCGTCGTCATTATCGATGTTGATAACCCCAACTGATTATTCCAGAAAGTTTAACAAAACGGTAATCATGTCCCTTAGAGCAAAATTTTTAATTGGTTTATCTGATATTTGTTTGTTATTTGAAGCTATTTTTAGTTGTACAAAATGTTGGAATTTTGTAACAGTAACAAATGAATTTTTTGTAATAGTAAAAAATGAATATTTTGTAATATATAGTAACAAATGAATATTTTGTAATATATAGTAACAAATAAAAATTGTGTAATATTAACAAATTAATATTTTGTTGTTATATATTCTTCTGTGTATATTTTAAAATTAATATTTTTTAGCAAAAATGGTTTGTTGTTTTAATTGTATTCTAGGTAAATACTCTCCTAAAATTGTATTTCTCGAAATGTGAAACACTTTGCCTAATAGTATAGATGCTTTTCCCATCCGCTTTAGATCATATTAGGTCTGTTATTTAGTTAAATGGTTGGTTTGGTTTCTACCCCTAGACGTTCACACCAACAGAATTATATAGTACGATATGTGAGTCCCATTTGTGCTGTGTGGACGTGAGAGAGAGAGAGAAATGAAATGAAATGGGGTTTAACGTCCTACTGTTTTGCTCCGTACTGGGCTAATGAAGACGGGCAATTTTGCCCGGACAGCGACGCTCCGGCCTACTCTTATATCGAATTCCGACTTTCAAGGGATCTTTTACGTGCATGCCAATGTGTACACGGGACCTCGGTTTTTCGTCCCATCCCAACGACTAGACAACTTTCCTTGTCAGGCCCTCCGTCCTGCATCACTTACAAGGGGGAACCACGCCGGAAAATCTGGATGAACTTTCTCGGCCATTGCAGGGATCGAACACACGACCTCCAGGCTAGTGAGCCAGCGTCTTACCCACTTAACCACCGTGACCCCAGAGAGAAAGAGAGAGAGAGAGAGAGTTGAACGTCCACTCGACACAAACTAGGTCATTATGAGAGAGAGAGAGAGAGAGAGATACATGGGGCATAACGTCCACTCGACACAAACTAGGACATTTCAAGACTAAAGTATGGTTCAGTTTTATGGATGTTTAACAGTGGGAGGAAACCGGAGGTTACGAAGAAACTCTACGAGATTGGACAGGCGATCCTATTTCTTGTCACGTACAAAGGGAGAATCGAAACCACACCACTTGACTCAATGACAGACCTTATGAACAAACGCGCACGTGTTAATCATTCGTCCACAAACCACCCACCTGAATAACCTTTGTCAGTACAATGCACCCCATATACGTACTTGGCTCCATCCCAAAAGAAAAAGAAATCGAGTTTATTATCAATACGATCTTCAAATAATAAAACGTTATTTTCTAGATTTGCTCTGTTTTTTTATACGTTTAATGAGCTTAAGGGGATAATTATCCTCCATATTTGTAAGCGTAATGAAATGAACTGAAATGGGTTTAACGTCCTACTGTTTTGCTCATACATTTTATTACAAATAAATTTCAACGGACGAACCATTCACCGATGCACATTTCACCAGGATAGACCCACGTTGTGCAGTGTCCTTTACAATTTTATTACAAATAAATTTCAACGGACGAACCATTCACCGATGCACACTTCACCAGGATTGACCCACGTTGTGCAGTGTCCTTTAAATTACGTTTAATATAATTGCAGTCCTCTACGCCAGGGACAAGTTGTTTTGACGATGTGGTTGACTCTTTGTTCACTGACTTCGTCAAAACAACTTCGTCTTTCAATACGGAGTGCAGTCTAAAGAAAAACACGTGACTGTTTTACGCTCAGGGTAACGCAGCAAGACGCACGACGTGTAAATACTACTCAGGTCGTTTCTACACCGCGAAATCGTTCCACCACGAAATGTAACGTGAGGCACAGAGAGGGATAAATGAAAGAGCAGAAAGTATTTGTCACATTTCGCTTGACACGACTCGATAATAAATACTATTTTTCACATTTCGCTTCACAATACTCGATAGAAATGGGATTTAATCCTATTAGAGATCCATCTTTCACAATATTGTTGTATACGTTGGACTCTTAAAGCCTGTCATTGAGTCAACTGGCGTGGTTTCGAATCCCCGGTTGTACGTGACAAGGAGTAGGGTCGCCTGTCCAACCTCGTGGGTTTTCTCCGGGTCCTCAATTTTCCTCCCACTGCTAAAGACCCCTACGCGCAAGCGAATTATTGAAATAAAATTAAACCATATGTTAGTCCCGAAATGACCTAGTTTGTGTCGAGTGGACGTTAAACCACATTTCTCTCTCTCTCTCTCTTATTGCGCTAAAAATGGCGCCACGAGACTTTAAATAATGTTAATATGGTACTATTTTTTGCAAGTCCAAATTGTCTCGTCATGGATGGGACCAACTTCATTCGTCCAGTCGGGGCAGAACAGTAGGATGTTAAACCTTACTCATTTCATTTCATTTCATGGATGTGCGCGCGCTTTGGCCAACGTCATAACTGTCTCTCAACGGAATGTTGAGTTGTTATAACTTCATTTGACATTTCTTAAACTACCTTTTATAATTCTACATTTTGCATTACAAGAGAAAATACATTCGTATTTAATGAAATTATGATATTAAAAACCGAGCCACTGATAAAAATCAGCAATTAGTGACAGCCTACATTAAATTTGAAGAATCATCTTTGAAATGAAATGAAATGGAGTTTAACGTCCTACTGTTCTGCTCCTAACCTGGGCTAATGAAGACGGGCATACGCCATACAGTGTGCTATGAGGGAAATTTTGCCCGGACAGCGGCACTACGGCCTACTCTTATATCGAATTCCAACTGCCAAGGGATCTTTTACGTGCACGCCAATGTGTACACGGGACCTCGGTTTTTCGTCCCATCCGAACGACTAGACAGCTTTCCTTGTCAGCCCCTCCGTCCTGCATCACTGACAAGGGAGAACCACGCCGGAAAATCTGGATGAACTTTCTCGGCCAATGCAGGAAAATCATATTTGAGATTACAAATCTTTAGACTTCAATATACTTTATGCATTTAGTTATTTTTGAAATATTTTCCTAGCAGGCATATCAAACTATTGATACGATCAGCGAAATGGGATATGAATTTTCTAAGATTAATATCTTTAGATTTTAAGGCATTACTTAAGGCATTAATTTATTTTTGAAATATTCTCCTTGCAGGCTTAGTGAATCATTGCTAAAATTGAAGATGGTAAAAAAAACTGATTAAAATGCAGATTTCAATTTCACTTCGTAGTTTATGCAGTGTAGTGAAGCCATGTAAACGAGGAGAGAGAAAGAGAAGAAGAGAGAAAGAGAGTAATTTTGTTTCAATAATTCCCCTGTTCAGATGCGCTTTTTGGTGTGAGAGGACAGCGGGGGATCCAGAGGAAACCCACGAAGTTGAACAGGCGATACTCATCCATGTGGGATCGACACCAAACCAATTATCTCAATGACAGACCGTATGATCTAAGGCCACCCCCCCCTCCCCCCGCATGAAATTTAAGTTAACATTTTCTAAGATTTGCTTTTGTTAACATTAAGTTAACACCTATTCGTCTGTGACTGTCAATCGTTCTGTGATCACCGATCCCCTGTGTCCATCGATCACCCTCGAACTGACGATCTATCTCCGGCAACTCGAGTCCCTCTAAGACCCCATATATTCTGGGAACACGGATCCTTCTGCGACCAACAATCCGTTTGATACTACCGATTACGCGGAATCACTGATCCCTCTGGGACCACATATTGTATTGAACCACAGATTCTCTAGGTGAACATCGATCCCACTCCTATCAAATTTTCTCTGGGACTTTTGATATCCCTGGAACCACATATCCCTCTAGGACTACAGAACCTATTGCGACCAGCGATCATACTGGCTGGGACAAACGGTTAAACATTCCATGACTACCATTCCTATTGGGACCACATAACTGTGTGATACAACCGATCTTACTTGTACAACCAATCGCTCTACGACCACCGATCCTGCTGGGAAACCATATTCTACTGGGATCACAAGTCCGTTTATTTGCACCATCCTTCTGGTAAGACACACCCTTCCGATTATTTTACAGTGCAGAGATCAGGTCTGAAACTTTTATTAAAGGATTCGGCTCTTTTATATTTCTAAATTATTAAGTTGGTCCATCCCTGTTCATTTGTGAACACGTTCAACAATGTTAAGAACGACCCTGTCTTCTAGTTGCTATCATGAATTTCCGGTGTGGTTTCCGCTTGTCAGTGGTGCAGGATAGACAACGGATGCGTTGAGATACTCATATGGTTATGAAAAAAAAATCACCGAGTAATGTTTATATATTCTTGAAGGAAACATGGATGGTTTCAAAAAATGGTATACATAAAAAAAAAGAGGTTCGAGTATATCAAATATGGGATCGCATCAAAAAATACTATATCAACAATTATGATCCCTATGAACCTCGTTTCCCCTCAGCAATGTGTGACGATGTCGAAGTCTACTCTTGAAAATTGAAAGGAGGAGAACAATATCGACGATCCACCAGAGCCCTTGACTTCTCTCACGTTGTGTTGCCTTCCATGTGTACCAGATCTAACCCAATGCCGTCCAGAATTTGTAATTGTGCAATTTGTGAAGTTGCGAGAGACGCCCGCAGGGCTCGGGAAGGCCGCGACTAAATCAGCACCTTTCCCAGTTTTTCTTGTCCCCTCGACCGATCACCGTTTTCAAACGCTGCTTTCAGACAGTGGGAAGGGGGATTACGCATCCAAAACCCTGTAATGCAGCTGAAAATCTCGTAGAAAAAATTCAACAAATACCCCGTGCCAGTGACTTTTAGCCTTCATACCCTATACAACATTTCGAGGCGGCGTATAAAAAACTATTTCTGAACAATAGCAATCAAAGCATAAATTGAACATCTAAATAAAAAAATCACAAAATATGAAAACAAAAACAACTCGACGTTAACAAAAAATCAAAAATGTAATCGATAAATAAAATATAAATTTTAGTTCTTCCCTCCCCCCCCCCCCCCCGTGAGAATGTCCCTTTAAGAAATTTAAAATTATCATCTAAATTGTACATAATATGTTTTATACTGTATATTATGTGTTATATTATGACTGCCAGTTGCAAATTTGTTAAAGATCCATTTTAAGGAAGCGATTTTATATAAGCTGTTAAAGCTTGTTATCGTACCCTATATTTACTATATGAATTTTGTAAATTTAAATGAAGAAAAATATTGTTTAAATAAAAAAAATAAAAAACTAGACATTCCAATAACTAGTAAATGTCGCGCAATAATTGGTCATATCGGAAACTATCTAAATCAACAAAACAAAAAGGAGGAACTGTCAGGGAAGGGATTAGGCTATTGGAGCGAACAAGCATCAGAATCTGTACATACCGATTTTAAGAAACTGTGGATAGTTGGAAATTATAAACGGGACAAAAAACACAAAAAATATGGAGATAAACTGCTGCAGTACTGTTCGTGACATCTTTAGTAATATGCAACCCTCGCATAAAATATATAAATCAATAAATGCACGTTTATTGATACACATTGAGCATTTTTCTCCGAATTTCCCTATTTTTAGGGTATTTTGAAATTTTATTCCTTTCTAGGAAAGGGCCCATTCGATTTCTTTTGATTATACCATTTGTTGAGGAAAAACAGCGTCGTCAATAGCCCAGTCGGAGCAGAACATGAAAAGCTGATTCCAGACATGGGCGGTTGATTTGGATACTAAACAAAATTAGAATCTGTAAAATGCTATGGCGCCTCGGGGTAAAAATGAAGTATACATTATTAACCGTAGTTTATTGCGTGTGAATATATTTAAGTTGCTTAATTTGATAAAATGGAGATAAAGGTTATGTATTTCTTTTAGAAACATTATTGATCTTAATTTTTACTCTGGGCTGTCAGATTTAGATCGTTTTTCTTCGTGATATGTGACTCTCCCTCAGGTTACAGTAACACAGTATCTCTCACGTTCTTGTGTTAAGTTTTTAAAGTTTTATGACTTAGTCATGGGATTTTCATATATTAAGGAAAATTTAAGTAAGGATTCGTCATTTGCATTTTTCGCTAAAACATCAAATTTATCACGGCTTAATCTACCCTATTATATGCTCAGATTGGGGATTCAGTATTCAATTAAGATAACCAAATCACAATACGTTGGATATTCTCCCGGCTTGCATTCAATCCTATTTAAAACAGGCCGACCATTTTTGTTCGTCCACAAAAAAGTGGAGGCGGACTTAATACATATCGAGGATCATAGATCGATGAAATTTAAACTCAACAAGCTTTGTAAATACTGAACGGGTGAAAGCAATCAGTATTCAGTAGTTCCTTTAATGGGATAAAAAGCGATATGATAGAGAGCAGTCGCATTTTCGCATCTGCCTGGGTTTAGTTTATTAAGAAACTATAGTAATATGAAAATAACGCAACCCAGCCAAAAGAAAGGCAAATAAAAAGAATCCTTGGTAAATATCACACGACCAGATGGAATAAAATGAAAACTAAAATGCGTTGCTTCTTCTGAATTACGCCAAATGCCACCAGAATATACAGTATTAACAGTTTTCTTTTGAAAAAGATATTTCAAGGAGCAATGGCAGTTTACTAATCTTGATAATTTACTAATTATACTGTCAGTGTGACTGTTCCATTTACAGTTGGTTTGAAATGTGCATCAAAGATGTTTATGTTCAGTTACTTCCTTTATTCTTATTGATTTCATTAATGGCGATGGTTTCACAACATTGCTCTATTTTAAGCATACCGATGTGTCATCTGCAAATAGTTTAATGTTTGATTTTATACCATTCCCAATGTCAGTGATATGTAATAAAAATAATAGTAGCCCCAACACGTTGCCCTGTGCGACACCAGCGGGAATGTCCGTGGAGACATTCTTGAACCACAATAATAATCCTTCTCTGACCCCAGCAGCATCAAGCTTGTAACGGAGTTCGGCATGCTAAACAGTGTCAAAGTCCTTGCTCACAAAAGACGATCCTGGTATATTTGTTTTGATCAAAGTCTTGACAAAAAAGTGATTTAGATCTATTAATTGGAAGATAGTTGAATCACCTGATAGGAAACCATTTTGAAGTGATGTTAGTATTGAATTGTCCTTGAAGAAGTTATATATTATTTTCTCAGATATGTTTACAATAACGCTAAGGAGCGAAACAGGTCTGTAATTGGTGTAATCAATTGTTTTCCCTTTTTGAAAAGGGACAATTTGAAAATTGAAAGAGTTGGCATAGGGGATTATTAGTTTCAATTACAATATATGTTAACACGTTTGGGCTTACGTCGTCCGCTCCGGAAGATTTTGGTGTATTTAGGCTATTGAATAATAGTCATTAACAGTTACATCAAGATTATTTGTATTCATTTTCAGGGATGGAAAAGATATATAAGTACTTGGTAGTTCAGTTTGCTGTAAACAATGCATCATTTTCAACTATTATTGGGCGGGGCTCGTTTGAAGATGCAGTTTGTGTCTTGGTATACGTGTTTATTAGATTCCACCATTTTTCTTTATTATTAATTTTTGCGTCAATTTTCTTATGTATTCTTTTTTACATGTCCTTATTAAGTTTATGTAGTCATTTCTTACTTTGCAAAAGTTTTACCAACCAGTTTCCAAATTTCGTTTTTCTGCTCTCTCATGTAATTTATTTTTCTTCCGTTTTCTTCTTCTAATGTGGGGGGGGGGGGGGTAGTAGTCACGGTGGCTTTTGATTAAGACGCTGGTTCGCTAGCCTCGAGGTCGGGTGTTACCCCTTTTCAGTGATGCAGGAGGGAGGGCCTGAAAAGGACAGCTGTCTAGTCGTTAGAAAAACCGAGGTCCCGTGTACACATTGGCATGCAGGTAAAAGATACCTTGACAGTTGGAATTCGATATAAGAGTAGGCCGTAGTGCCGCTGTCCTGGCAAAATTTCCCTCATAGCACGCTGTATGGCGTATGCCCGTCTTCATTAGTCAAGTTCGGAGCAGAACATTAGAACGTTAAACCTCATTTCATTTCCTTTCATTTCTTCTAATGCTACTGTTCATCCAAAGTTTGTCGCTTTGCCTAAAAATTACAAATTTGTTTGGTATATTGATTTTAGCTATATTAATCAATTTAGTAGTGAATTGAATACAGGACGACCAACAAGATTGTACCAGTTAGTATTTAATCAAGATTTGTATTTTGGTAATTCCATATCATAACTTGTTTGATTTAGCGAACTCATGCCCCCACCCGCCAAAAAATAAGAAGAAATTTTCACATTACAAAATACACAAAGCCTTGTCAGATATATTAAAGCCCCTGGGAAAGTCATTTAATACGCGCATAGAACATATCCTGGGGTAATATTGCAAATATATTCAAATTTTTAACTCTTACATTTTCTGTTCTCCTATTGGCTAATGACACTTATTGTATAACCAATAACGTATAAGTCAAAATAACTGACGTCATACTTTGTAAGGGATAAATAGTGAGTCCCCTCAGTACTTCGATATGCACTACTGTTGCAGTAGAGGTTAAAGAATCCGCTAATACTCCTGTTCAACTCAGCTATCAGCATTGTGAAGAAGTTTTATCAGAAGTTTCAACATGCGGGCTCTGATACTAGTTTTCTTCTTGTCCACCTTGACAACCATCTGGGGATATACTAATCACTTTCGTCGGCCTAGCAACCGTCTCAGTTGCGAAGACGTTGTAAAACAGGGTTTATGTTATTGTGAAGATGTGTTGGAGAAATATGGTACTGGTTTGGCAAATCACCTGATCAAGCAATGTTGTACTGATGACGATGAAGCGAAAAAGGGTTCGTATTATTCATTCATTCATTCATTCGTTCATCCCCAGGGAGTACTTATATAGGTCTTGTTTCTGTATCTTTTGGAACATACTTATATAGATGATGTAGCGAAAAAGGGTTCGTATTATTCATTCATTCATTCATTCGTTCATCACCAGAGAGTACTTATGTAGGTCTTGTTTCTGTATCTTTTGGAACATACTTATATAGAGTTTTTCTGTATGCCTACGGGTAAAACACAATATTTGTCCAGTTTTCAGTTTTATGATATACACAGTTTGGAAACAACTTCCAGAATTTATAGTCCATTTCTAATATTCAACCTTGACAATATTGACCCTTCCTAATCCCCACCACAATTCAAATATCTTCGTTGTTGAGTTATGGCAATAAAAAAACATGTCCCAAAAATTGCCATTTCTTTGTGTTATGCTGTCTCACTTCAATAAATTGAATTTTGAAACTCAAATTAATATGTGTTTTGGGGAAGGATATACATGCATGCTTACAGAACATTTCCTATAATTAATTTCGGCAGTTGAATTATACACATTGAGTTATGACTAGATGGGGTTTAACGTCCACCTGACACAAGACAGGTTCAATTTTTCATTTCCATAATTCTCGTAAACTCTCTAAAACTTGTGCCATATGTTAGTCCCGAAATGCCCTAGTTTTTTTGTGTAGAGTGGATGTAAAACACACTCTCTCTCTCTCTCTCTCTCTCTCTCTCTCTCTTCTTAACAAAATGGGCGTGTTTTATTATCTAGTATTGTATATCTTTGTCTTTTTTAGTCATTGTTATAACCAATGCTGGCGAACAATTTGTTAAGATGTTGAATGGGGTGTTTGAACCACTTGATTTTTGTGATATAGTAGATAAAAAAGACGCCTGTCCTAAATGTTGTGCAGGTATGTACTTCTAATTAATTGATATTAAAAATCGATATTGAGACGGTTTATTTAGGGAAAAACTGGTATAACCAAATAATGCTTAAATTGTTTCAATGGCATTTAGTAATTGAACTGGAATATACACGTCACAATTCTATGGAATACAATTACTGCTTATTACTGAGCGACATTTCTATTAGGCTTCTCTAGTCATTACCAAAATGTCGCTCAGTAATAAGCAGTAATTCTATCCCATAGAATTGTGACCTGTATAAAATATATTTAGCATTAAAGAGAGATCTGTTGCTGTTCCAGTGTCATCTAAACTATTATTTAGACATTTTATTCACATGAAAAACACCAAATCAATCCTCCAGACTATCGGATGGATTAGGTATTGAGTGGATGCCTGTTATTATATCTTCGTTACAATCTAATATGGCCAACAAATTCAAAATCTTCCGAAAATGCATGACGTCACTCAACGAGACTGTTAACATACACTATGCCTATTTCAGGTTTTTTTTTTAGGTTTGAAATATTATCTAAATTATTATATTAGACATTAAATAACTTATCCGGACCATAATCAACTCACGATGTCATCGCTATCCTGTGATAATTATTGGATTAGGATCCGATTATTTGCTCAACTTTAATCATGAACTGATTAATCGAGACTATATTTCTATCGTACCGACTTTAATAGTGATGATCGAGGCTAGGCCGAAAATTCAATCGCTAAATTCTCGGTTCAGAGTGGATCAATTTGACAGAAATTTTCCGCAAATTCCTTTTACATTATCTTATTTTTAACTATTTTAGTGAGAACTGCCAGCTCTTTCTCTAGTCTCCCATAATATATCTTTAATTAATATCTGACAATAGCGGTGGACATAGCTTCCTTTTCTTATTATAATGAAAGGCTTATTGCGATTAAAAGTAATACGGATGTCATTACACCCGCTGTCTGAATCCCGAACAAAGTAGACATTTATAACGTCACTCAGAATAAAATAATTTGAATAAAATTTTCAATGTATTCATTTTTGGGACTCGGACTTCGTCGCTAACCGCTACTCATCTTATGCTTGTTGCTTTTCTTCTTCGTCTTGTGGTGACGCTCTTCGAAAACTCCTACGTCACCGTCAATGCAAGTCCGATCGAAATGAAAATTGGCATGAATTAGATGTTTGAATTTCATCCAACAACATGGTCAGTTCCTGTTCCATAATACGATCGTACTTGTTCATTCTCTATGTTAAACTATTATATAGCGAAAGCGGTCAGCTCCTTGTCTAAATTTTACATAAATGCCTATTTGGTTGGGTCAAATTTGAAGAATCGATCTGAATCGTTATGGTCAGTGAGCAATGTGCAGTAATGGATATCATCCATAATAAATTAGGTACAATCGAATAAATGAGTTGGACTATAGTCTAGAAAAACAGCTCGATGGGTTCTGGTACCAAACGACCTGTCGCCACAAGAGGCGAAGGCGAGAAAAGAAGGCCAGTGGCGATTGGATCTTTTATCGCGCTGGCATCACGGTTTAAAACTTACGAAAATATGCGTGAACCCATGGCGTGTAAATAATTTAAATATTCCCCCTAGACAATACGTGTCGTCAGTTGGGGGATTTAGTAATTCCTTTCAAAAATTGTCAAATTTAAAATCTTTAAAAGCAAAATCAATCCAACAAAGTTCAACTCCTTTCAGTATTTACAAAGATATGATTGAACTGAACATTTGTCAGAATTCTGTATCCACAATAACAATTCACGGAAATGTAGTTTAGAGACGTTATGCTAGATTATGGAATTAATATACAAATGTTGGCGTACCATTATTTCAAATAATGTTCCAAGCGTACATTATTTATATACTAGTTGAAATATTGGACATTGCGTAATATATAGATATAGCCCTCGTGTAATAACAATAGATATTAATTAATGTCTCGCCCTCGACCATTTTACTACACTTAAGAACTATTTGATATTTTACAGTGAATGGAAACTGGGGAGAGTGGACACGGTTCAGTCGTTGTTCTGCGTCATGTGGTTTTGGAGTGAAGTCCCGAAAGCGGTTCTGTAATAATCCTTCGCCGGCCAATGGAGGCGAAGATTGTCCGGGGTCTAATATAGAAAACAGAAAATGTATCTTTTCAAAATGTCCAGGTATGTAGTCTAGAGCAAAAAAAGAACCGCTCGCTTAGAGCCAAAAAGAACAAAAAAAAAACAGGCCACGGGTATATGCATTTATAGTTTGTTGACAAAATAATTCTCATTTGTAGTAGTATACTCATTTCAGTTAATCGTGTTGTAATTCATTGTGTTAATTGTGTTGTAATTCATTGTGTTGTGCATTTAGATATGAGAGTGAGAGAGACAGAGAGAGAGAGAGAGAGAGAGAGAAATAGGGAAAGAGAAGCGGGTGGGGGTAACGTCCACTCGACACAAACTAGGTCATTTCGGAACTGACATATGGATCAAGAAACCACACGAGGCTGGGCGTGCGACCCTACGTAAAAGTGATGCCATGGGCACCACTATAGACCACCTAATCCCCCATTAAAGCCACCCTCTACACCACACTAATACCCAATCTACTGCAATTACATACATATTTATTTATAGTCTGGAGGTCAGCGCGGAGGGGTGTCCATCAAATGGGCACAAAACCAGACCCCACTTTTCTAGAGTAAAATTTTTAGAATACGATACCAAGTGGTAATCAGTCCGCCGTCGGGTTCAAAGCTCAAAATGGGTTCATTTGCACTGAAAGTGAATGCGCGGTCATTCTTGTATCATGAAAATAAGCTGAAAATGATCAAAAGTAATCACACTTTCAGTAAAAATGTAAACTTGCTAAATTCACCTTTGTTCTTTGTGACCCCAGAGGGCAAAAGGTCACATTTTCCGTTTTAGCACTAGGAAGATTTAAAGTAATAAATGTCAGCGTAAAATATAAAAACTAAAGCGAAACCTGTTCTAATTAATAATAGGAACATTTAAATTTTATCTATAGGTGGTCTTAGCACCGAACTTTTACTTTGGAACGTCGAAAATGATCTTGCATAACAGAACCAAAACGCTTCGGAGCCTGTTTCAAAAATACGTAAAAACTGCTAAATCAAAATCTCTCCGAATTAGTTTTACAACGAATGCTATACATAATGATACTAGTTGTCTGAAAAAAATAATTGAATAGTTCCATGGCTGGACTCCACCCTGCAGGCCGCGTCACAAAGCCTGCCAAAATTTTCCCCGCTAACATTACCAATACAACATATATATCCTGTGAACTACTATGTGCAATGCATTCGTCGGTTTTATCTGCATCCATGTTCCTGCGAAATTCAGAAAAACTCATAAAAAATTTGCAAACCTTTAATCTCGTCGTCAGATGCGTGTTTTCCAGTCACAGATTAACGTCGGTTTTCCTAGACTGGGATTCTCGGAAATCCACGCGGCCTGCAGGCTGGAGTCCAACACTGAAACTATTCAGTTGTTTTTCAGATAACTAGTATCATTATGTATAACAATCATTGTGAAAATAAATCAGAGAGATTTCGATTTGACAGTTTTTACGTATTTTTGAAACAGGTTTCAAGGTGTGTTGGTTCTGTTATGCAAGATCATTTTCGACGTTCCAAAGTAAAAGTTCGGTACTAAGACCACCTAAAGATAAATTGTAAATGTTCCTATTATTAATTAGAACAGATTTCGCTTTAGTTTTTATATTTTACGTTGACATTTTATTGCTTTAAATCTTCTTAGTGCAAAAACGGTAAATTTCACCTTTTGACCTCCAGGGTCACTAAGATTAAAGGTGAATTTAGCAAGTTTACATTTTTATTGAAAGTGTGATTACTTTCGATCATTTTCAGCTTCTTTTCACAATACAAGAATGACTGTGCATTCACTTTCAGTGCAAATGAACTCATTTGACCTTTGACCCCGAATATCTCGAAAACGCCCCAACGGCGGACTGATTACCACTCGGCATCGTATTCTACGCAAAATTTTACTCTGGAAAAGTTGGGTCTGGTTTTGTGCCCATTTGATGCCCCCCCCCCTCGCTGAGCCTCCGGTCTATTATGAGTAAATCTAAGACTTACAGTGTTAATGTTAATGAATGAAACACTATTCGATTCCTGTGTTGTATTAAAACGTTATATGGATGGCCCCCATTTGTCAGTGATGCAAGATGACGTGCCTGGCAAGGAACGTAAGTGTCTAGTCGTTTGGGTGGTACAAAACACCCAGCTCATGTGTACACGTTGGTGTGTACGTAAAAGATCTCTTGGTAGTTGGAATTCTGACATGAATAGGCAGATGTACATGTACAATAAAACAATACACGGATCTAATGGTTCAATTTAAAAATGACAAACTCTACCGCATGACATCCTTTTTACACGTCACTTAACTTAGAGTTAGGTCCCTTGGCCCCTTAAAACATACGGCCCAACGTAATGACGAGCACATGGTTCGGAACAATTGAGATTGTCTTTCAGGCTTGATACTATTGTAGTTTTAGTTTTAGATTATTATATTTTTTTTAATCTGTTAACATCACCAAAAGAAGATTTATTTTTGATTGCGTTATTCGAGGGGCGGATGTTCTTACCAAACATTTAATTTTGATTAATTTCAGAGAAACTATGTGAAAGTTTCGATGGTTATCATTTTGATCCCGTCACCAGATGCTGTATCAAAGTCTTCCAGACGAAAAAAAACTTTTTTGGTGCCAAGAAAAAGTGTATGCTTGATGGCGGCGTGTTGTTGAAGTTGGACTCCACAGATAAACGTGATTTTTTGCAAACGCTAGTTGCCGGTAAATATACTTTATTTCATTTGGTGGAACATATCGGTTTGGACAACTGTTATTGCGTGGGCGGGGTTAAAATTCGATGACGCTATGTAGCGGCCTGGAGAGATGGGGACAGAGGCTGCAATAGCCTCGGGCATTGATTTTACGGAAGCGTCCAATCAAAGAATGAAATTGAAATAAGTCATATTTCGACGATTTAAGTGGAAAACACTTAACATATTTCGACAACTTTAAGAAGTGGTATTCTGTCTTTGTGTGTATGAAAGCTGTAGAACGGATTGGAACCATATTACAAAATAGTATACCAAATTTAGAACATGGTTGCCATTTAGGACCGAGATCTAATGCGAACGGCATATTTACTTTGGTGTACAAATTGTCCTTTTTAGTTTGATGAAAACGTCATTACATGTGTTTGGAAAGTTACTCGAACTCTAGTTATAGGGGGTGGTACTTGCATTAAAGTAGTTCAAAACAATAAATATGTTTAATGTTGTCAGTTAGAGACCAATGTGTAATCTGCCTATTTGGGGGGGGGGGGGCTAAGGCACGCGTTTTAAGTCATAAGTCATAAGGTCTATCATTAGGTCATCTGTTTGGGTTCAGTAAGAGGCAATCGGTAGTCCTACTCTTTGCCGAACACCCATCCACTAGGTCCATATTGGTCTTTTCGGCGGGAAAACCACATTCTTAATGCAACAGTAGCATTGGAGAGTGTGGGTTTTAATGCAATTTATCGTCCAATTATTACTGCTGCCCTCCCCCCCATATCCCCAAGGCATGAAATAAAATTGGATTTAACCTCCTACACCTCCAAACCGACCGGGATAATGAAGACATGCGTATGTCATGTAGTTTGTTAAGAGGAAAATGTTACCCGGACTGCGGTACTAAGGCCTAATCTTATTTCGAATTCCAACTGTGCTCGTCAATTTCTACACGTTACCCCGGTTTTACGTTCAACTGTCCTTGCTATACCGTCCGTCATGCACCGCCGACAAGGGTGAGCCACGCCACGCCGGAAAATCACTGTGAGCTTTATCGGGCCAACTCTCTGGATCGCCATTTTAGTGAGCCAACGGCTTATTCACTGGGTCACCACCACTGCTCCACTAGAAATAATCTTGTACGTGACAATGAGTAGGGTCGCCTGTCCAACCTCGTGAGTTTTCTCCGGGTCCTCCGGTTTCCTCCCGCTGCTAAAGACCCCTATGCGCAAGCTAATTATTGAAATAAAATTGAACCATATGTTAGATCTTGTTAATGTCGAGTGGACGTTAAACCCTCCCTCTCTCTCTCTCTCTCTCTCTCTCTCTCTCTCTATCTCTTTCTCTCTCTCTCTCTCTTTTTGTCTCTCCAATTTTAACTGTTGGCTATTTGTTGTTTTCTTTTTTACATTACTAGATAATAGTGCCGAAACTTTTTTTATTGGAGCGAGAGATATAAACGGTCATGATGAATTTGAACATCTAGACCACACACCTGTTAAATGGATTGGTAAATTACCCACGTCATCTAACCAAGATTGTGTTCGATATAAACGTATCATCAAGGAAATGGATGCGACTTTCTGTTCTAATGTGTTGAAGTTTGTGTGTGAGAGGGATGTCTCTTTAAAACCTCGCAAACCCCTTATCCTAACGTGAATATGCCTCTTATTTAAAGATGCATTATGTAAGAGATAAATCAGCCTCCCGGTATTTTTTCTAGATTCTAATGTTCTAAAGAATATTCATACGGCAAGCCAATAACCTTACCTCTCTAGGCCATCGGATGGCTTAGATATTAAATGAATCAGAATAATTTAATGATAAAATAGATAACTGAGACTTTGTTTATTTTACTTGGCAATCGAGGATATCCTGTCAAAACTACAAACATTAATAACTTCGCCCAAATTCTACTTTTGAAATATTAGCAAGAACGGCCAGCTATTTATCTGAATCTAACATAATGCATCTTTAACTAACAATTGTCGATAATTAAAAAAAATTTCTCAAACGTAATAATTATGTAAAACCATTTAGAGATTATATTCAAATCTACCGAAAAGCATATTTTACTCAAGCAGCAATATCTTGCGGGTTTCTGTAATAAATTTATTAAGTAAACTTTGACCCCTTTTTCGAGCTACTCTCAATAAATAAATACGGATCAACTGTGTGTTGTGTTATATATATATAAATATACCTGAAATGGAATGAAATAAAATAGTATTTAACGTCCTACTGTTCTGCTCCAACTCGGCTAAGGAACACTGGCATACGCCATACAGTGTGTTATGAGCGAAATTTTGTCCGGACAACGGCGCTAGGTCTACTCTAATATCGAATTCCAACTGCCAAAGAATATTTTACGCAAGTCAGTATGTACACGGGGCCTGGGTTTTTCGTCCCTTTCGAACAACTATACGTTGTCTCGACATTTTGAACAATCTGCTCGTAGCTACAAGGTTCTCTTTTATTTTGTTCCATTAAATCAGGACGCACATTTCTTATTTTTAACGAAGCCTTCATTGTCGATCAAAACAAGACCGTATTGGAAATGAAATGCAATGTGGTTTAACTTCCTACTGTTCTGCTCCGAACTGGGCTGATGAAGACGGACATACGCCATACAGTGTGCTATGAGGGATATTTTGCCCTACTCTTATATCGAATTCAAACTGTCAAGGGATCTTTTACGTGCACGCCAATGTGTACACGGGACCTCGGTTTTACATCACATCCGAACGACTAGACGGCTGTCCTGACAAGGGGGGATACGTCGGAAAAATGGATGAACTTTCTTGGCCTATGCAGGCATCGAACACCCGACCTCCAGACTAGCGAGTCAGCGTCTTACCTACTTAGCCACCGTGACCCCCATGCCCCATTGGCATTTATCGGCTTTGGCAACTGGACAATATAAACTTATTATAATAAACTATGCCTGTGAAATGTTAGTGATGATCTAAATCCCCTCTTAGGGTGCCTGCAATGGGAAAATGACGAAAGGTAATCGGATTCCATTTGGCCGAAGAAACCCGTTCCGGTTTTAAAATATAGAGTTGGTAAAATGGCCAGCATGTTGTCGTTTGAGCATGTAACTTATTTAAAGCTTATGATTCTTGTTGCAAATTGCGGATGTGACTCCATCCATATAAACCATAACATGGATTAAGGTGTAATTGGCACCTTATATAAGGCGTATTTGGCGCGGACTTAAAACAACATTGGAGGATAAAGTACGCATATTATGTAATATTTCCTCATTGTGCGCTTCATATCAGTTTGACGTTGTAGGAAATACTTTTGATGTATTTGATGGCTTTTATTATATTACGAACATCATTTGACCTAAAACGAACTGCATGAGTCGTGTGAAAATATTTTTCGTGCAGCGTCCAACCAATATACCCATTTTGACAAAGTAAGCCGATGGGGTGTTTGATTTATAGCCTTCTCATTATGATGCTAAAATTGTATTTGATTGAGCGAGAAATAGCAAGAAAAGGTTTGTACAACGTGGTTTCTTGAAACCTGTGCTACTCATAATTAATGACAGAATTATTTGCTTTATTGCCAACAGCCAAGGTCAATGTGTACATGGGAATTCGATCCGAACCATCCGAACTACATACAATACGTTGTCACTTGCCAGACCCTCTGACCTGCACCACTGACCAGCGGAGGTGGGGGGGGGGGCATGCCGGAAAATACCGATGAACTTTCTCGGCCAACGCATGGATCGAACACGGGACCTCCAGGTTGGTCAGCCAATGTATCACTCACTAAGCTACCGTGGTTCTCAGAAATGCAAGTAAAAAAGGATTTATTCCTTTCAAACCATATTACTTCCGTTTTTTCTACAATGAGTTATCACAGCACTTTAATCTTATTGGCAGACAAAAACGAAAACTTACTAAATCGTTGATAAAAACGTTGTAGATTTGTTAATATAACCCTACCATCACCTCAAACAGAGATCTACCTTCAAGATCATCTAACCAAAAATTATCAGTATCTGTCGATCCACTCGTAGTTCCAAACAGAAAGCTCCTGGTACATTCAGAGTTATTTGCGAACCACCAACCACCACCAAACTTTTTAGGACAGCGGTTACTGTCGGTATAGTCAACGTCGTAGGTAGAGAAGGGCCTCCCGGATAGATCAAGCATTCCGGTAATGGAATTACCACAGGATTTGGGGTCGTCAACCGGTTTTAAGTCAACAGATAAAGTGTAGCCTTCTGATTTGTTTCCAAGTTTCAAAATGTTGTAATATACCATACAGGTTGTCCACAGCGGATCACTCTTGATGATAAACTGCAAATAATAACTCAACGTAGAATTATTTTGCATTATCGCGTGTAAGGGTTTCAGACCTATCCAACTGTTCTTGGACACCTCCCCAAATCCCCTTTCATACTCCGATAGAGACCGATCGAAACTTTCCGGAACACATTTGACACTTCGTTTCAAAATTTGCGTTCCACCTTTGAAACGAAGATGGCACATAACCTCAAGCGGTTCTGTTGATGCCAATGGTTTAATGTTTACTAGGACATATTTAGAACTTGTATTCAGTGGTCTGTGCATAGCTTCTTTACAATCTGTAAAATGACAACATAAGAAATGTGAACATAGGAGAATTCTAGATCGAAGACGGTCTGGGTTTAGGTTTAGGGTTAGGGTAAGCACTAGCACTCAACAGATGACGTCATATGTCCTAGACCGTCTCCGATTGACAAGGATTCTTTTCTCAGCGATAAACATCTACGACTTGAGGTCACAAATGTTTTCAGTGTTCCATACACACACATTAGGCGATTTTTGAAAGACTATAATCGACCAATCTGTGTTCTGCGCTTTTAAATTTTCGCGAAGAATTTGTTGGCCAGTGTGAAGGTGCTGAAGACTGGAATAAAGTCCCGAGGAGGCTATAGTTTTTGTGCTCCAGTGACTGCATCAACACCTGAAGCACGAAATAAAGCCAACATACCTTTTACCACAGACTGACACTGATCACCATAATATCCCAATCTACAAGTTATCACCTGTGACGATATCCATCCAACATCCTGCGGGTAAAAATAACGGAACATTTCAAGAAAAGGGTATTTCATTTCTGTACTGGTGTACACCTGAAAGACAGTCTTTGTTGTATATCGTACATAGATCAAAACCGATACTTTCGTAGATGCCATAAAGGTTTGTGTACAGTATGCAATCCCGGGCCCTATTTCTCGAAATCTTAACTAAAAATAAAATCCAAATTTTAACAGATACTTCAATTTTGATTGGCTAAGCACTAAAATCAATCTAATATTATCAAATCAAATTACTAAAATTTGGATTTTATCTTAGTTAAAATTTCGTGAAACGGGCCCCAAGTATATAAGGGATTTCATTTCTGTGGTGTACACCTGAAAGACAGTCTTTGTTGTATATCGTACATAGATCAAAACCGATACTCCCGTAGATGCCATAAACGTTTATGTACAGAATACAATCCAGGTATATAGGGGATTAAAAAATCATTAGAATACAGACTTCATATTGATACAGTTAAACGTTTTAAAAACTATGCTTTTCTGATCAAAAAGGAATATTTTTTTTTTAAGAACATGTAGACCTGTTTTCTGATAGTTTAGTTCTGACGACAATTGGTATATTATTTTGTATGTATATTTTCTTCGTTTTTAACTCCCGATTCAAAGTTAATTCTGTATAACCAATCTTTAGTCGAGGGTTTGAAATCTACACTAATATTTGTTTTTGTCGTTCGTCTGTCTGTTCAGGGTTGGCGGCTATAATAGAGCTCTCCCGAAGCTGAAATTTCAGGTAGCTCGGACTGCGGAGTTACATAGGCCAGGTGGCGTTGGCCTGCCTGTCCTGGAGTTACAGGCACAACACATTACATAAATGACAATGTAAATATGTTTCATAGAGCGGAAATATGAATGTTCATTTTACAGTCGTTACAGCAATTTTTGAGAAGCCAGTTGTCTATTTCTGCTTTTCTGAAATGACTTCTGTCATCCTTTAGTTTCTGGGCCCGATTCCTAGAAAATTCTTAAAGTAAGCACAAACTCATGTTTCACTTTTTCTTACATAAGAAACCGTCTCTAGAAAATTCTCAAGACCATTCTTACGTAAGCACAAGTCAAGTATTAGTCTAAGCACATTGTGCCTGGTAAACTGAGGCTACGGTGCTTCTAACGTCATAAAAGCAATTTTGGTTTGCGAATTACGTCATAAATTGATCGGTTGCTTCCCGGCAAATGGTCGATTTAGATGCATTTGACATGACCCCTATACACAATAAAATGTGCCTCAAGCTTGTAAAAAAAAAACAAAAAAAAACAAAACGCAAGCGCATGCAAACAGGCTGAGTAATTGTGAGAGCACCTGATCTTAAAGTAGCCCGTGTGTTCGTGTTGTTTACTAATTGGTAAATAAATAAAATGATTTCACGGTAGAAGCCAAATTTTCTATAGCCTAGCATTTTTCTCGAGAATAAATTCTTTATAAGTTTTGCTTTGTCTTTCAATTGTCTCTTTGGTATCACAAGATGTAGGAAATGCCGTCGAATAACTGTACGGTCAGCCATCTTGTTTAAAGCAGAAACGGGCTTAAGGTTGGTAAGCAAGCTGTATACCTTTCTTGGGACTTGTGCTTAGACTGACACTGTTTAAGAACGGGGGCTTGGGTGGCCGAATGGTTAGCACGTGCGTGCTGTATCATAAGGCCTGTCATTAACATCTAAGCACAAGACGTAGGTTTTTCATTGAGAGGTCATTCTTTAACCGATGGCTTACATTAAAAAGGAACATGTGACACACGAAACGGTCACAGCTGGAATAATATTAATTTATACTGACCTTTCTAAAGCAGGAACAACTTGCAGAATCATCCGACATGATACAATCATTACCATCTTCATATAAATTACATGAGGAATCAGAAGCGCAGTAAATAAATCGTCTACACTGGGGATCCTGGGTACAGGAAATCCAACAGTCCGCCTGTCTGTTTACTTCACTGTATGAAATATGATTGGAATCATCGCAAGTATTTTGTAGAATTTTCGTTTTAGTAAATTGAGAAAATTGTTGAACCTCTGCTATACAGTTGGGTAGGATACCACAAACAGTGAATAG